TTTGGGGGGGGGGGGGGGGGGGACCATGAAAGACACATTCATTTTATGATTAAAGTTACATTATCTAAACTACATGTGCTTTAGAATATTTTTGATTTGTTTCAGCTACAACAGTTACTCTAGAAGGTGGATCACCTGGGTATACTAGTACATCAGGTCGAGTAATAGTAACTAAACATGGTGTAAAAGGACGAGTCTGTGGTCAGTATTGGGAAGACATTGATGCTACAATCGTTTGCAAACAGCTGAGCAGTAGAAACCGGGGTGGAGTAGCCTATAAATTCTCCCAAAGATCAAATGGTCCGTATTGGTTGTCGGAGTTGGGATGTTTTGGCAATGAAACATCTTTGCTACAATGTCCAGTAGGACCAGAGGGATGTTCATCATACAGCTATTATAAAGATGCTGGTGTACTCTGCTATACTTCAAGACGAGGTTTGTATCATGAAATTCCGATACCGAATTTATTACATGAATTCTGATAAAGGGAATTCTAAATCCGAGATGACAAACTCAGACTCAAAATGGCATCATTTGTTCCTGAGGGTATAGCATATACTTTCTCCAAAGCGATGTCAGATAATGACAGAGTTCATACATTAGTTACATTAGTTAGTGCAGGTTCATTGTCGAATATAGGAACATGTCAGCATTCAAAAAGTAATGTAATTTTAAAAAATATGTTTTATAGAGCCATACTTGTCTCTAGTCGGAGGAACATCTACAGGTCAAGTTAAAATCACGTATGATTCTGATACTGGTTATATTTGTGCTGATAGATACGTTTATAGTTCAACTGCCAAAGTGATTTGTAAGCAGCTTGGTTTCACTGATGGTATAGCAGACAAGTAAGATGATACAGTTTTATTTTATTCAACGAATTCACACCCTGTCGGATGTCATTTGCAAAAGCAAACAACATGCTAAAACATAAGCGCCAAAGTGACTGTATCTTAACCTTTATATATTTCATACAACAGACCAACAGTCAGTGGTGGAAATGCTTTCATTGATAGTCCATACTGTCGAGGATATGAAACATCTATATATCAATGTAGTAATAGTGGTTGGAGAAGTAAGAGTACATGTGGAAAACAAGCGAGAGTCAGATGTTTCAAACACGGTAAGATCTCAAGGTTCCAGATGTGGCCTGGTGTGCAGGTTAAAGATCCCTCGGCGATTGAACTAAACATTGGAATGCAAACTCCCGATTCATTTAATCTTTCAACGTCAATTAGTATTATTCTATTGTGCTAAATGAAGCCGGATTTTATTATCCTTGATTCTAATGTTTTGATTTAAATGTTTCAGTAAAATTATCCCGGGGTAGAGTGACGTCAACATCAGCCCAAGGACAGGTTCAACTGTTTGCCCAGAACCAATGGAAGACTGTGTGTGGTGATATGTTTGATGACAATGAAGCAGGTGTTGCTTGTCGGGAACTTGGGTTCAACTACGGTAAAGCACTGCCTAAGGGATCTTTTGGTAGCCAGTATGTTTATTCCAGGTGGTCAATAAATACCGTTGGTGGATTTAACTGCACTGGATCTGAACCGTCACTTGCCAATTGCAGCTTTAATGCTAGTCCGTATAACTGTCGTCGTAATTATCCGTTCACCAACTATGCTTCCCTGTCTTGCGGTAATACCCCTTTCAATACTGGTGAGTATTCTTAATATATACAAAGTTTTATGCTCCAACTTTTCTATGTGGACCTTTATTATCGAACCATCGTGTCCAAACCACACCCCCATTCGTCACACTTCCGTTCATAAGACCATGTCAAAATCCGTATTCGTGATGCGATGTTGTCACACGTGTCTGTAAACGCTGTAGATTATACAATCTTCAACCGAATTTCAATATACTTGCATAACCTATGCATTATAGACTAAACAATCATAACGTATGTCAAAATCAGTTTGGATTCTTTTGTACCCTTTGTACCAAGTGGTCAAATTCGAGTACTGTGTCCAAACAGTCTTTATATTTTTCTAGGTTTTACTGTTAGACTGGATGATGACTTCCCATCCGATGTAACAGTAAATATGTATGGTGTTGATGGTAACATTTGTTCTGATATGTGGGGTGATGAAGAAGCTAATGTTGTCTGTAAACAGATGGGATACCAATCTGGTATAGCAATTGGGTCACCAAATTATTACTATGGTTCTAGCAAAGCAAGACTTTTGTCTGCATTTAACTGTACCGGAACGGAAGGCCGATTACAAGATTGTCCATATTCTACAACTATTCCTTCGTCATGTTCATCCCCCAGAAGAATGTCGAAAGCCAGAGTTTACTGTTTTACTTCACAACACGGCAAGTATATCTTTGGCTTATTTATTATCATGTACCCTAAACCAATAATCTCCAGTATAAATAAAAAATATAGGTTGTAAAAAATTCCTGCTCAGTTTCAAATTTTATTTTAGAGGTATCCATATCATTAATCAATGGACCAACTGGAAATCAAGGTATCGTTCAAATAACGATTGATGGTAGACCCGGAACTCTTTGCGGATCAACATTCTCCTCTACATCAGCCAAGGTCCTGTGTAAACAGATGGGATACCTTGACGGTACAGCACAATCTAGAAGTTTGTATGGTAACACTACGGGATTTTCCTACATGTATCAACCGTCATGTGATGGTACAGAAAGCAAGATATGGAACTGTAAAAATCAAGGATGGAATGTGACCACCCGTTACTGTGCTGCTCATAATAATGATGCAAGAGTCAAATGTACTGGATATGGTAGGTTTATTTACTCTTAGTATGTGCGATCATCAACGTACAAATAAAATCTACATATATATATAAGGAAGTCTTTGCCAAAATACGACGCTCAAATCAATTTCTTCTCTTTACAGTGCGACTCCGACCAAACACCCAATATGGTGCAGTGCAACTATATGATCCTACGGTAAGACGATACGGTTTAGTATGTGCTGATAACTTCACAGATGTAGACGCTACAGTGGCCTGTACAGAAATGGGGTATGAGTATGGTATAAGTATATGCTGCTCTGCGTTCGGTTATCAGTACTACAGCATAGCGTATGCTAAAATGTCTTGTAATGGACGTGAACCATCACTCATAAACTGTACTTATGAAACTAGCTTAACATATTGTCCAAGTAGGAAATATGCTTCTGTTGCCTGTTCAAACATAGCTTCTAGCTCAGGTAAGTTGAATCATTTATCATTTGGTGTATCATTTTGTATTGAGACTCGTCTCAATGAAAGCACTGGCCTAGGTCACAGAGTAAAAATTAGTTATCATTAGGATGTTCGGGCTGAATTGGCCATGATCGTTTATAATTCGTTAATGAAATCTCTCTGCTCACTTGCGGACGTGTGGTCAATATTTTCTCTAAGTTAGATATGAATGAGATATGAAATAAGATGAAAACATGGCAAATGCTTTTGCAGCTTAAAACATTAGAATCATAGCGATATAGTCTACACATTTTCTTTATCGGTTGATAGGGCCCATGTTTTGACTTTATTATAGGCTACGATTTAAAGATCGGATCATCAAATACAGCCTCCTATGGCAGAGTGAGTGTTAGTCATGTGGGAATACCGGGTTATATTTGTACTGACGGATTTGATGACAAAGATGCTACCGTTATCTGTAAGATGAAAGGATTTGCTGGTGGTTTCGCCTATGTGTACAGAAATTATTATAGTTCAAGCATGAGATGGCTATCTAATATCCAGTGTAGTGGCACCGAATCTTCATTGAGTAGATGTAAAGGTATGGTTTGGGGTGGTATATCTACCTGCAGTCGTTATGGCAATGCCGCTGTCTACTGCTACCAAACTTCTGGTAAGTTAATTTGGAATTCGGAACTATTCTGAAAGCTCTCATAATTTTCCAAGAATATTCTCATTATTCTCAATGGTAATTCTCATCTTTTCTCCAAGATAAATTCCATCTCTTCCAAGATTATTCTCATCTTTTTCGAAGATAATTCTCATCTTTCGACAAGATAATTCTCATCTTTCGCCAAGATAATTCTCATCTTCCGCCAAGATATTTCTCATCTGATAATGATAATTAATATCCTTATCAATGATAATCCTAAATGATTATTCTTTTACATAGCTTTTAATAAACTACTAATATTAAACCTCTTTTCATCACAGGTTTGGAGCTTCGTCTGAATGGAACTAAGAGAGGTTATGGACGAGCTGAAGTCGCTATAGATGGAGTGTGGGGTAGAATGTGTACAGGTTATTCCTCCTATTACACTGCTAATGCTGTCTGTAAACAGTTGGGTTTCACTGGTGGTAACAGTGTCAGCTCACGTTCTAGTGGTAGAGGTCGCATCTATATTCGAAGTGTTTCCTGTAACAGTAACGCAGAGTCTTTAAACCAGTGTTCAATTAGTTGGGGAACAACCAGATACTGTAGAGAGCTGAATGTACAATGTTATGGAAGAGGTAAGTTTGGATGATCAATTGATTTTCAATTTTTACAATTGCCAAGTTCCATTAAATGTTACATGCTTATACATTTACTGACAACTGCAAAATGCTATCGAGCCTAATTAAATGTAGTTTTCTGTTGGTAATATAGGCCTGCAATTGGGACCACATTTTCGGACTGTTCGTATGATAAATTTTTAGACAAGAGAGGTGCAGTTGAATTTATCATATTTTTCACTATTTACAGTTCGCTTGAGTGGTTACTACCGATTGCCAAATTATGGTAGAGTAGAAATGAAACTGACAGATAGCTGGGTACCAGTGTGCGATGACAAGTTTACTGACACTGCAGCTCAAGTTGTCTGTAAAAATCTTGGTTATGTGGATGGAAAGAAACAATGTTGCAGTGCAATCGGCATCATACGTTACGGTCAAAAAGCCAACATCACTATTGATAATTGTCGTGGTACTGAAAGCAGCTTAACAGAATGCCAATATACTCCTGGAGTTTGTGCAACTGGAAAATATGTCAGTGTTTTGTGTTCAAATACAGTTTTACGTCCATCAAGTAAGTCATCTCTTGAATTTATTTTTGTGTTATATTCTTTGAAACGAATTTCTGAAGTTATATAATATGTAATGTACATTGTACAGGACCAGCTTCCTTTCTGTGTGGCAGTTACTTACTTAATATCTTTTATCAACGGTTTATGAAGTGGTTTAATAATTCTTTATTATAGCTATAACAGTACGACTAACATCAAGTTCTCTTACATATCGTGGAGCTGTTGATGCCAAGAAATATGGTTTCTATGGACCAATTTGTGGCAGTGGTTGGACAGATGCTAATGCAAATGTTACATGCAAACAACTTGGCTTCCTGGGTGGAATAGCTGAAAGAAGCTCTTCCTCTTACAGTATGATGCCCATGGTTTTGGGTGGTTATAACTGTACCGGGTTAGAGAATAATCTAGATTCGTGCTCTTCTAAGGGTTTTGATGAAGACAAGGGATGTGAATACAGTTATTATTATCGACAAAAGGCCGCAGTTCTCTGCTACAACTCCGGAGGTAATTCATTTTTATTTTTATTATTATTATTTCATATTTTATTGGTTTAATTCTTATTCAAGTTGCTCGACAAGCTACTATACTTTTTAATTGTCTCTCTCTAATTTTACAGGTATTGGTCTAGATATTGTAAATGGTACCGTAGGAAGTGCTGGCAGAGTACAACTAACGTATGGTGGTATATCAGGAAGAGTGTGCATATCATATGATAATGCTGCAGTTGCTTCAGTAGCATGCCGTCAGATGGGCTATAAAGGTGGATTTGCTGACAGAACCACATACGCTCCTTATACGGTAATGTTACTTCATGTCCAAAAGATCACGTTGTCAGTGATGCAGGTCGGAGGATCTAACATGGAAAAAGCGTACAGATGGGACAATAAACCGGGTGTGCTACAGGCTAAACACGTTAAAGAAGCCTCGGCAGTTAGAAATCGAAAGAGAGAAGGGTAATGCCGCTGTCCTGTTTCTTCATTGCACCTTGCTTGGTGTTGCCTGTCTTCACTAGCCCAATAAGTAGGACGTAAAACTCCATTTCATTTCATTTGTAATCTTCATTTTGAAATCTGCTTCTTTTAAATCATTAATCATCTGTTTTCTATTACATTACTCATTGTCGATTATAATTTTCAGGCTCCTCGGGGTACCACGACCTGGTTAAGTGGGTTATCATGTACAGGTAAAGAAACCTCATTGCTTCAATGTCGACACAGTTGGAAACCAAGAACATCGTATTATTGGTATAGATGTCGGGACCTCGGTGTTGTTTGTTATAATGATAGTAAGTCATCAAGTTTTTCATCACTCATTGACCTTCGTGTCTTGCCAAACCTTTAACAGTGATCTGTAAGTTGCATGTTGAATCTTGCTTTTGTGGTTTCTGCTTTCCCAAACTTTTGTCATGTAACCTTTAATGTTCTGTCTTTCAGTTCGGCTTACTAATGGTAATCATCTGTCCACTGGTTCTATAGAAGTTAACATCAATAATAACTGGGGATCTGTTTGCGATCACAACTGGAAAGCTGCAAACACTAGTAAGTATAAACATTATTTAATATTTTACTGTATCTATATGCAAACATTATTTAATGTCAATTATAAAATATTTCTACTGTTAAAATGGTGCTCAATTGTAGAGCGATATAGAAAAGCTAGCGTCTTCATATTTTTCTGACAATCCATCCTTAATCGATGTACCAACCAATTAAAAATTATGCATTTTTCATCGTACGTCGTATTTCTTTCTGTTTTGTAGGAGTTGCTTGTAAACAGTTAGGGTATGATGATGGGCTAACTGCTTGTTGTTCAGCCTACGGAAATCATCCTAAAGCCATCATAGAGAATGTTAATTGTGCTGGAACTGAATCTCGTCTTCAAGACTGTACTCATGACAATCCACACAAATCATCTTGCTACCAACACAATGTTGCTGTCATTTGTTACAAGGGAACCAAACCAACAAGTAAGTAAACCTAGATAATGTAACTGTATTTATACAATATACTTCCTCAAAGTCTCTCTTCATTTGCCATCGTATCCCGAATACGGGTTTTGACAAGTCTTATACCTCGAGGAACTATGACTCTTTGTGGGTGTGGATTGGACACGATGCTCATTCGCAAACGTTTTAAGTCTCATGCAAATGTAATCAGAATAATGTCAAATAATGGTCGTTTGCTGTGGAACATTTTTTAAAACTTCCCCTTTGTCAATATTCATTGTAGCTTACACTTGGAAATTGGGTGGTGGAAACAACTACACGGGAGAAGTTTTGGTTGATTACATGGGTACTACTGGTAGAATATGCTCTGATAATTGGGATGACAATGATGCTAGAGTAGTATGTAAAGCCCTGGGTTTTAGAAATGGAACTGCTTATAACCATGCTAGATTTGATTATTACTATGCCTCACATGGACCATTCTGGTTAAATAATGTTGGATGTACTGGTAGTGAAGCCACTCTTAATGACTGTCCTCTGCCCACGACGCCTTTAGGGGGAGTATCAAAATGTAATTCAGGGAAAGCTGCAGGAGTTTTATGTGCCGATATTTCCGGTAAGTGATTTATAAGAAATGATTGATCAATTTTCACAAAAGACAGTTACGGTCAGATTGTATGTGCATTGTTCATCCTTCAATCAGGGTTTTTTTTCTAAAATATTATTAAAGAATTACACTAGGAACACGTTATGTTTCAGGTATTTACTACAGAATCAATGGACCGCAAGATAATATGGGACGTGTTGAAGTATCTGTAAATGGAGTTTGGGGTTCGATTTGCAACACCGGTTTTGATAACAGAGAAGCCAATGTTTTCTGTCGAACGCTTGGATATTCGGACGGTCGAGCCCAAGTTGTATCATATCCAAACCCATCTGGACCTGTTTTTAAATCAAACTTCCAGTGTACAGGAGACGAAAATAACCTTGCAGCCTGTCCACACCAAGGTTGGCTCAAGGCCACAGACTATCGGTGTTCCAATCATCGCCGTGATGCTAGTATAATTTGCTATGATCAAGGTAATCGTCTCAATACCATTCTACCACCTGGTAGCTCATGCTGTCTATATATCGACGCTCACTTATCTTACTAATGAACAAAGTATTGTTAATATCTCAAATTGAGCTATATCTTCTGGTTAATCCTATATTTAAAGATTAAATTCTTATGCTAATATGCTTGTTTTCAGTGCGACTAGCAACCGGATTTGGTCCAGATATAAAACAAGGCCCAGTTCAATACTACAGTAATGGTACCTGGAATTTAGTTTGTGATACTAACTTCAATGATCTAAGTGCGAAACGTATTTGTCAAGATATCGGATTCTTCGATGGAAAAGCTATCTGCTGTTCAGCATATGGAATCGGTTTCCAGTTCTGGTATAATGGAGGTTACAGAATCAGTAATATGACAATGGCTTGTACTGGAAACGAAAAGAGTTCGATGGAATGTTTACAAGAATCCACTTGTGAATCACAAAATTATGCTTCTGCCATTTGCTTCAATGATACGGATGTTATAAATGAAAGTGAGTCTCCCATTTTCATATTTGATTACTCTTGATTGTCACGAAATGATGTAATGACCATGATTAATGATTTGAAATCTGTAAAAGTTAGTCAAATGGACTATAATATAGTGAAATGGTGTGGTTTATCAAAATGTTATATAATCAATATATCATATATCTAAATTAATATTCATGCTTCTTTCCAGATTACGACTTCCATTTCCATGATTCGACAGATAAATCTGGTCGTATTGAAGTATCTCATTATAATACGAAGGGTAGAATTTGCAGTACTTTTTGGGATGATACTAATGCTAGAGTTTATTGTAAGAAGCGAGGATATCCAGATGGTATAGCTTATCACTCTTCACGATGGACATGGACTTCAGTCACAGAAAGGGGACCTTTTTGGGTTGGAAGTATGAACTGTACAGGATCTGAACCTTCATTAAAAAATTGCAGTTTTACAGATCGTTTAACGTTAGGTAACTGCTCTCAAGCTGATGTTGGAGCTGTTTCATGTTTCGATGATACAAGTGGTGAGAATTTTTACCAGATATTTCATTAGAACGCATCATAGTCGATAGAGAGATTGTGATATTTCGCTGATTTGATAAATAGCATTTTTTTGCTTATGACAGGTATGGGTTTAAATATTTCCAAAGGTTCTTAATACATTTGGTCATTTTTCTAGGTATCCAATACCGATTAGCTGGAGGAGATAAGAAAGAAGGTCGAGTGGAGATCAGTGTAGGTGGAGTCTGGGGAACAGTTTGTGACTTATTTTGGGATAAAAGAGAAGCTGGAGTGTTATGTCGCTCCTTGGGTTATTCTGATGGCTATTCTGTCAGAGGTGCACACTATGGCCCAGGAAGCGGTCCTGTATGGTTGAGTAGATTACGATGTACTGGTACAGAGACTGATCTTCACAGATGCCCGCATAACGGTTTTCAGAGTGAAGTTGTCGATGGTTCTACATACAGCTGGCGTAAATGTCAATCACATGATGATGACGCCTCCGTAGTTTGTGTTGATAAATGTAAGTGAAGCAGTTCTTTCCGAAAATAAGATATTATTATCCATTGATAATAAATTCAACTCATTTTACTGTATCACTCAGAATTCTTTCTGTACCTATAACATCAACATTTTTATATTTGCAGTGAAGTTGAACTTGGGACTCAATGCTTCCATGGGAGCTGTCGAAGTTTATGTTTCACCTTCTTGGTTAGGAGTTTGTGATGATGGTTTTGATGATAATGCTGCCGCAGTAGTGTGTAGAACTATGGGTTATCCAAATGGTGTGAAGCTTCCTGGTTCTAGCTTTGGTGTTACAGATGGTCCCATTGGTGTGACAAAAGTTAAATGCAGTGCTGTTATGAAGACCTTTTCTCAATGTGCCCAAACTATATCCAGAACCTGCCCGAGTGGATTATATGCCTCAGTTTATTGTAGTATGGATGATATTGTTGATGATGGTAAGTCGAACAGTTAACAAGATTTATCATTTGTTTTTAACAACATGTTTGACTATTAGTTAATATCAATTTATGTATACTTTAGGCATCAAAGTAGAACTGGATCCTGACTCTACATCTGGACAGTCCGGTCTGGTCAAAGTCCATAAAGGAGGAGTGTGGGGTAGTGTTTGTATGGCTGGTATCGACAAAGTCTTTGCTACTGTTGCCTGTCGCGAATTTGGTTTTGGGGGCGGGATTCCATACACTTCCAGAGAAAAAGATATTAGACCAATTCTTATGGCAGATGTAAAATGTAATGGTGCAGAGCGATCGCTTAAGGATTGTAGTTATACAGCCAAATCTAAAAATAATTGGTGTGATTATTATGCACCCAGAGCAGGTGTTCTTTGTTACAATACAAGTAAGTTTTAAGCAAACATACATACATTTACATACAACTTTTCATATCTTTGATGACAACATTATTTTGGGTCAGAAAACTGTGTGTTTTTGGCAATGGTTTTGCTGGACATATTTTCACAAGAATGAAGTTTCCACGGGTATAAATGTCCTCAATAGTTTTTTGTTTCGATATTAACATCATCCCTTTTCACAAATACATAAAAGTTCCCTTTGCTGTTTTCAAATGTATGTAGATAACATCAGACTTTCCTGTTTTGTAGGTATACAATTCCGTCTTACTGGTGATACTGATAAGAGCAGAGGACGAATTGAAATGAATGTTGATGGACAATGGGGAGCCTTCTGTAATTCCTGGACAGATTCTCGTATTGGCAGAGTTGTGTGTAAACAACAGGGGTTTGTAGATGGTATAATGGTATCAGGAAATAAATATATATCACCCGATGATGAACCAATGTGGTATACCAGTACTCGTTGTATTGGAAATGAGAGCTCAATCACAACATGCTCGAGTGATGGGTTCCAGTATAACGGTTACTACAGACGATATTATGAATGGGCTTGCAGACGAAGAACTGGTCCCATTTCAGTACAGTGCTATAACCAGGAATTTAGTACGTCTCCATTTCTTTAAATATGCTTTATTTGTCACATTGAATATGTTCATTGGGTGCTTTTTAAGCACGTTAACAACATTTTCAATGAATTCTTATTATACTACCTAATTGACTGATAGCAAATACTCCATATTTAAGGGATGGGTGTTTGAAACCGAAAATAGCATTCCTGGTGAATCAAAATTATATTCGCTTACAGCATGTTTGCGTTTTTGACGCAAGTTTGGTGTCCGTTTATGTTATAATGACCCTGTAACAGAACATGATTCAGTTAAGTTACCTTCTGTGAACCTTTGACACAATGGATTCCTTCTTTGAGCTTATAGCTATAACTATTGATTGTAGCCGTTGGTTTAAATATTTTTACATGTATGCCGTTTCTCTCACTTCAGAGATAAGTCAACTACGTTTAGCAGATGGAACCAATAGTTCTGGAAGAGTGGAAGTATTCTTAGAAGGTCCAAATCAGTGGGGAACAGTGTGTGATGATTATTGGTCAGATGTTGATGCCACCGTTGTTTGCAATCAACTTGGTTTTGCTACTGGTACAGCTATAAAACGAGCAGCTGTGTTTGGCCAAGGCACTGGTCAAATTTGGTTAGACGACGTTGCATGTACAGGCTCGGAAATGAACTTAAAGGATTGTCCAAGTAACGGATTCTCTGTCCATAATTGTCAACATACAGAGGATGCGGGTGTAACTTGTAAAGGTAAGACTATGACGAACAAAAGCTGTAATCCAATGCACCCACTCTTAAATCAGTTAACTTATAACTAGAGAAATATGCATGGAAGATACATGGATCGTTTAACGAAAATAAGTTGTTTTTTGTTGGACCACCAACGACTTCCAATCCAGAAGGCCTAGTTTTTCATGGTTACATAATCATCCCTCTATTATATAATGGAACTGGTCTCATATTATGTAGTCACATTTTAACTGTGTATGATTTTTATTTATAGGTGTATATGTTCCGCCTACCACACCTCCCATTGTTTCAACTAAACCTACCGGCAAAGGTGGTCCGGTAACAGAGCAAATCACTGGTGGTAAATCTGGTTCTGATTCTGGTACAGCTGCTGCCATTGCAGTGCCCATAGTCATCATAATCATCGTGGGTGCTGTTCTTGGGTTCTTATATTATAAACGCTATGGAAACAGATTTAAAGACTTGCGAGAAGATCTTGTTGACGAGGCACCAAAGCATGGTGGTGGTGGTGTTTCATTGCGACCAAGTGGTGCGTTCTTCTCAAAATTTAGATCAGGTGGCGCTTCATCCTCCGCTCAACCAGGGGTCACCAATCCTTCTTATGAATTTGCACAGCCATCGACATTCAGTCCTGAATCCGATTCATAAGTCAAGATACGTCTCATTCATTTGTTATTCTGTTAAAGTTATTAATATATAAATTTGTTTCATTGTTTAATGTGATAAAATTAATGTGATTTAATGATAACTGTATAATATTATTTATAATTATGAATACCAGACTATTTTTATCATTTTACAGAATGTTAGCCTATCTTTCTACTTTTTTATACATGTACTATACTTTTGGTGTGTTTTTTGTAAATATTCATGTAAATAAATAGTAGTTTACATCATCATCTGTCGATTTATTTCTTTTATAATGGCTGCCTTCAAAAATTATAGATATACTGTATACGGTAAAATTTATAATTTATCCAATTCTTAACTATCCATACGGCCTGTTGAGTCATGCTATGTCCACCTAATTTTCCTCCATAAAGACCCTCTTCTAAACTAGCATTACCTCGGCTGGATACATGAGAGTGAATCATTCGTTAACACACGGTGCCGCTTCAATTAGGGGTGGAAAAAAAGCTAAAAAGAAACTGTCCCGGTTAGCATTAGCCTCACCACTTTCCATTTTTTGTTATCATTTTACATAGACATATTGTGAAAGAATTGCTTGTGACCCCAAAGGAAAATTTCGTAGGCCCTACCAAATGTTTCCAAGAAACGCTGTCTGGGGTGTATCGTTCACAGGCAATATCTGCAGAATCGCCTTCCTTTTCAAATACTTCTCGGAAAATTATCAACAAAATCCCATCAAGCCTACTCACAAAGACTTATTTACAAAACTGTCCAGTTCCATTCTCAACACATTCATGTCCCACCCAGTTTTCACTAAGAACTGAAATATAAAGAGAAAATCCTATAAACGACAAGAGCAACACAAATACATACATATACATAAGAGTGCTTTTCGGCCCAATAATGTCGAATTTGTATCTCCTCTTTTTTGAATGAAATGAAAAGAGTTTTGCATCCTACATAATTCCTGCACCTGATTGAGCTAATGAGGACAGACATCATTTTAATAACCTAAGAAAAGAAGGAATAGGTTGATCATTCAGTCAGTATTAAATAAAATATTTATATTCTATATTAGTACTATGGCTCTGCTTAACTCAGTGCCGTATATAGGTATATGTTTATATACGAAACTGCTTCTACTTATAAAAAAAACAACTGTTGTCATAGAGTATCAGTTACCTCCCCTAACGGAAGCTCTTCTGTAGGGAAGGTAAAATTATATTCATCCCACAATTCCCCATTCGGAAATACACCCGAGAGTGATGTCATCTCCGTAATATAAAAATACCATAAATAAACCCAACAAAGGCTATATATACATTCATGACTTTTTGAGGCGTTGTGACATTTATTCTGGAATTAGATGTGATAAACGTAAAACGCATTTTCCCTCACAATTTAGTGATTTTAAGTATTTCGTAGAAGCTTTCCGATTGTGACGTCACAATCATGAAGTCAGTGTAGTCTGCCAAAGAAGGCTGAGAAAGCAAAACAAAAATAATTCTTGCCTCATATAACTATTTTCACTCGATTGACTCTTTTATATTACAAGAAACAAGATGGACAGTGATGAAGATTGTATGCCCGATGATACTGAATCAGAACCGTCTGATAATGATGATGATGACGAATTGTCCATTGAAATGGGGAATGCAGAGCAATCTGCTGCAAACGACAGACAGGATGAAGAAGAATTCCATTACAATGTCCTGTCTGCTGACGAGATTGTTAAATTTATGGTTGATACTATCAAAGAAGTGAATGCAGTTGTTCAGGTTTGTATAATTGTGCATCTTCGCAATGTCAAATTATTGTGAACTTCATACACCTTGACTACAAATTGCAATATAGTCACTTTCTAAGGTTTGTAAATTGGATTGTACACTAGTGCATACAGCCAATCAGAGGCCCTGACTTAAGGTTTTTGAACACAAAGCCATTATGTCTACAGCCTTTCTACCGAGGGCTCTGATTGGCTGTATTCACCTGGGAGCAACCCTCTCAAATCGCATCATTTTCTGATACAAGAATAGTGGCTATTGCAGTCAAGGTATAATAAGGTTTGTAATGCTTGATATTGTTTAGATAGTATTTGAGAGGACTATCGATAGTACTGTTTGCCCTTTCCAAAACTGAAAGCATGATACAGACTTTTAGCATTAGAAATAGGCTTATTTGACAGAGGTCAGCCAGGTAAAGGTCACTAAAGGGAGGACCAGTTTTATGAAGTATTGCCTGAATAGTTCATAGAATACTAAGTTAAAATGAATTTGTCCGTCCTTCTGTTATCTTGTGCTCACAACAGTTGCAGTCTTTTTTAAGGATCTTTTTTGTTTTTGAGTTGTGTGTTTATACCAATGCAAATTTTACTGCAATCAATTTACATGATGATCATAGGCAAGTTTAAGCAAGTTTTGACCAAATGCCATTGTTCATATGAGGATTCTGTTATTTGTAAAACCATCTATTGCTTTGTCAATTACTGATTTAAAAATCTTTTCTAAAATAACATAATGAAAGTTGTCAGGTAAATAATCAACAGGGATATAAAGTATTTCATCAACTTCTTTTATTTCAGATTCCTGCAACTATTACTAGAATTTTATTAAATCATTTTAAATGGGATAAAGAAAAATTAATGGAAAGGTAAGATAGAGACTTTTGTTATAATTCTTTTGAAATATTGTGACTGCTTTTATGTTTAAGATTGAAGAAATGTATTTAATTTCTATTAAGGTATTATGATGGTGATCAAGAAAGGTTATTTTCTGAAGCCCATGTTGTAAATCCACATAAACGGGATTCAGCTAGTGGTAGATCTAGGGTGAGTAAAGCCATTATGTTTTCAGTTTTATGAGACTTAAGTGTGAGTTTTGCAGAGACTTCAACAAGAAATTTCTTATATATACTTGTTCATTTTGATTGAATCTGATGCAAAAGGTATTTTTGGTATTGGTAACCTTAAATTTCTGTTTTGTGTTAATTAGGTAATAAGCTAGCTTAAAGAAAAAAATTTATCTGATTTGCCCAGAAGTGAATGTGTTGGCTGCTTAGAGTTTCTTCTAGATGAAGAATTGTTATTTTTTGTATATTAGATTTGATGATGTTGATGATTTTATTTCAGCAGAGAGTGACTCGTTCAAATGCTGGAAATGAAGAACTAATTTGTGAAATCTGTTGTCTTGGTAAAGTTTCTGCAGTAAGTATACTTTTAACCAGATCTTGATATGTGTATGGGATGGTTGATTCAGTTTTGAATGCTAACAGATTGTGTGGGATGGACCGTTGTTTTTTTTTTGGTCATTTTTCAAAGGGAAATAGTTGCCTTAGAAAAAAGTGATGACAAACTATTTTTCGTTAGTATGTTTTCATGCTAGAGAAAGAGACACCAGGGTTGATTTCTAAAAAGTGTTACACTGTCAGTGTGCAAAGTAATTATTAAATACTTCCCTGTAATCATAAGTTTATAGAAATTTTTATTATAGAAAATGCCAATGATATTTGTTTTACAGGACATGACAGGTTTAGAATGTGGACATAAATTCTGTGCAGAATGTTGGACTGACTACCTCACAGCTAAAATAATGGATGAAGGTATGGGTCAGACAATCTCCTGTGCTGCATATAACTGTGATATTTTAGTTGATGATGCCACTGTCATGTAAGTAGATTTTGAAATAAATCAGTTTTGTATTTCAAGAAATATCATTTTCTCATTGACCATCTTTGTTGGATGAGTTGCAGTTTTGGAATATTAACCTGCAATAGTCCTTCCAATCCTAATAATTGATTTTAAATTTGAACCATGTATCAGTGTTATCTTTAAGAATGGGCATCTTAATATGTGTTTACTTTTCAGGTCCCTATTAAAAGAACCCAAAGTAAGATTGAAATATCAACAAATTATAACTAATAGCTTTGTAGATGTAAGTTTATTTTATTTTTGAACATTTATGTATAAGCTGAACAATTATGTATAAGCTGATTGTATTCTTTTACGAAACAAAGAGTGAAAGTATGTGTTGTCATTTAAATACATAATATGCCTAAATTATGAATGTATGTGTATTACCATTATCACAATATCTACATTTGAATTGCGTTAAGATTAACTAGTCCTGATTTTTTGATTTGATATCTATTTCAGTGTAATAGGTTATTACGATGGTGTCCAGCACCAGATTGTGGTCATGTATTAAAAGTTAAATATTATGATTGTAAACCTGTAAAGTGTTCTTGTAAACATATTTTCTGGTAAGGAATGTGTTTTATTTTGTTTGTATCAGACCAGCCAATCAACACTCCTGAAAACAGCCATTTTTACATTTCTTTTCTAATGTGAACGAACCAGTTGAATGATATCTGAGAATGGGTAACTCCTCTTCATTTAAATTCACCTCCTGAATTCTAGATAAAGTGAGCCACAGTCTCAACTATTTATTAACAATGGGGTGTGGTTTAAACAATGATGTCTCTCACCTTATTGATTTTGTATGCCAAGGTTGCCAAGTCAATGTTTATCTATGATAAAAGTTGCATACTTTTAGTTTTGCATGTGGTGAAAACTGGCATGATCCTGTAAGATGTGTCTGGTTAAAGAAATGGATAAAAAAATGTGATGATGATAGTGAAACATCTAATTGGATTGCTGCTAATACTAAGGTAGGAATCAGATCTAAGAAGTGCTAGTTTTAGTCAATGACTGTTTCTATAACATTGTATTAGATAGCTGTTAAACAATACTACATGGTGTTGTTACAAGAGCTTATTGAAATTATAAGTATGTATTCCTGCTCCTTCAAATAAGCTGAATTTTATGTGTACTTTACAACAACAAGCATTCCAACATCTACATAAGTAGAAGTATTTTGATTTGAAGGAAGGAAGTACTCCTTTCAAGATAAAAAAAATACATATCTTATTACCTGATGCAGAGATAAGTTGTATGAGATATTTATGATTGTGATTATACTTTATAGGAATGTCCTAAATGTAATGTTACCATAGAAAAAGATGGAGGTTGTAATCATATTGTATGTAAAAATCATAATTGTAAAGCTGATTTCTGTTGGGTTTGTTTAGGTCCCTGGGAACCACATGGATCCTCATGGTAAGATTATTTTTTATTATGAGTCTTAGTATTTCTGATCTTTGATTCCATTAGCATTCTTAAAATGCTTGTGTTGGCAAGAAATGAGTCGATCAAATGCATGGTCTTTTCTAAATTTAAGCTTGATTAGTAAGCACAATTGAATTACTTGGCTGTTAATGCTAGCACTATTTTGTTATTGAAGTTTTTAAAGTAGATGACTATCTGTGTTTATATTTTAGGTATAACTGTAATAGATATAATGAAGATGAAGCAAGAAAAGCCAGAGATAATCAAGAGGTATTTCTTTAATAATTATCATTGTTGACTTAATTTTATTGAATATCATGAGAGAATATCTGACATTATGTTATTAAGTTTTAATGTACAATATTATGATAAAACTTTAATGGAACTTAAACATTTTATCATTTAAAACTGTCATCGTTTTAATCTTTACCACAAAAAAGGTAGCATATTACTGCATTTGAAATCAATGGTGGCTAGTAGACATATTTTTTGTTCGTAACATACCTTATTTTTTATATTACAGAAATCTAGGTCAGCTTTACAGAGATATCTTTTTTACTGTAATAGATATATGAATCATATGCAGAGTTTAAAGTTTGAAAACAAGGTAAGTTATATATAGGATAATACGCTGGCTAATGATAAAAGACTATAATTTTAAATTAATTAATCTAATAATAATAATATATTTTGTTGTCCCTACCTTATCATGCAGACAAATGAAATCTTAAGAACACAAGTTATATGGATATACTACTTCTCGGTTTAATACATACTACATTTCAAAACACATACAGGTAACGTTAACAAATTACTTGATAATGTTTCCTGTATGTGTTTCGAAATGTAGTATGTAATAAAGCTAGAAGTAGTATATCAATATAACTTGTGTTCTTAATGTTTACCTTCCTGCTTCTATATGTCTTACAAAGATTAAATGAAATCTTTTAGATATTCTGTAGAGAATAATGTGACAAACAAATTAAAAAGTAATACATTTGATTTCTATTTCAGTTGTATGCATCAGTTAAAACTAAAATGGAAGAGATGCAACAACACAATATGTCCTGGATTGAAGTTCAATTTCTACAAAAGGCAGTTGATGTATTGTGTCAATGTAGACAAACTTTAATGTATACCTATGTTTTTGCTTACTTCCTAAAGAAAAACAACCAATCCATTATATTTGAGGTAAGTACTTGAATGGAAATGTGTCAGTGTATTGATGAATAATTAAAGAGGAGTCGAACAAGATTGAAAATGGCAACAGGTCTGACTTATGTGCTGTGAGGAAAATTCAACTGATTACTCATTGAGCTATCTCACTCTGCTGGTTGAAAAATTTGTGATATGGAAAGCACTATGTGTAAGATGTAGAATACATAATGTTTAACGAGAACTGGTAATGGTTATATTTATTATTTTTAGGACAACCAAAAGGATTTAGAAAATGCTACAGAACAGTTATCAGAATATTTAGAAAGAGATATATCATCAGAAATGTTACATGATATAAAACAGAAAGTACAAGATAAATATAGGTGAGCAAAATTAATCTGTACTAGATCATATGACTTCTGAATATGTCAAAACTATAAATTTCAGCAAAAGAATACTTCAACTTGATAAGAAATTACTTACTTATGGAGAGATTTACAAGTAATTCGAAAACGCAAAGGTTATGTTATGAGAAACATAACTTAAATTTAAGAAATTTGGTAAAAAGATGACTTTAACAATATTAATCTCACAAAATCGCTTAGTTTGAATATTTTTGGTATTGAACCTTTTGGCGTTACTTATTTAACTATAAAATGTTGGAAAAAAAATTGTTTTATAATGACCTATGTCATTTATTTCAGATATTGTGAAAGTAGACGTAAGGTCTTATTAGATCATGTACATGAAGGTTATGAAAAAGATTTATGGGATCACTTTGATACATTTTAAAGCTAGTAATCATAGGAATTTAACCGGATTCTTCATGGATCACATATATTCAAGACAGCATCTAGATCATTATGGTCTTTAGTTTTATTTTTTAATATTTATTTACATAGTTTTTTTTGTAAAAATAATGTAAATAAATGATGTTGAATCTTTAAATCTATGAATCTGTGGAATGAGGTAATAGTGTGAAAATATCTGAAATAAATCAATGTAATCATAGTCTGCATTTTATTTTGCATTTGGGTATTTTTGTTTGAAATAATTATGATCTTAACAATAGGAGTGATTTGGCCATTGTTCTAATGCATATTTTTTTCCACCCTTCTCTTCCCTATCCACGTATTTACGAAGCTGATTGAGAAAGTTTGACTGTTTATGATACTAAAAATGCCTACAGACCTGAAGCTCAATGTTTATAACCACAGATTTTGGTTTTGACTGTAATAAGATCCAGAATTTAATATAAGAAAAAGAAATGTTTATTTATATGAGTTTAGCAAATAATTTATATATTGTTGTTATTTATTTGTTATCTATTATATTTCGCAAAGGGACTTCAATATTTCACTTGCCTTCAATTGGTCAGTATATTTTTAATACACAACTAAGGAGGGTTCAAAGCCTATTTAAGGACAATCTACTTATTAGCTGGGTAGAAATATAGTGAAGAAACCGTGCCGGTCAAACCAACATTTTGTCCAATATATGAAAATATAGTAGACTGTACTAGCACATGCATGAATAGTTTAAGCAGTATACCCTTATTATCGAAAATTTGGTTTTAACCTGGTTTTGAATAAAAAAGTGGCATATTCACAGCCAATTTGAATCTTGATCTCAACTGAAAAAGTTGAATTTTGGAAAAGGCTATTGTATTATAACTAATCCCTCAAATTTGATTTGAAGGCAAAGCAAAAATAGTACATTCTTTTTGAAAAATATTACTTATTAAATCAAGGTAGAGATTTAAAATGGATGTGAACTATGTTTGTGTGTTTTATTTCTACGTAAGAACCATTACATAGTTCCATATAAAAATACTGGCTGATAATGATGTATTGATTGAAAGTAGCCCTTCCACATATCTCTTATAGGATACAAGTTGTATATTTATAAAGTATTTGTTATATTTCTTGTTACACATTCATTAGTGACATTTCTAAGGATCTTTACAATATTCCCATCTTATGAATTTTAAGACATTTATGGGCCACAATGTCACCCAATCAAAGACCTTGACTAACATTAGTTTAAATAATGATATTTTTGACAATGTGCTCCTGGTCATTAATATATTTTACATTTTAATTGTCTATGGAATAAGAAATGACATGGTTAGAGGCCTTTTAAATTGATCTTGAGTTTAAATGTATCATAATGGAGATGTAATACATGTGAAATTAGCTGATAATGTTTTGAACGATTTTTTGCTTGTGTGGTTTCTACTGTATGTTGTGAGTTAATATATGATTGATATATGAAAGCTTTATATATTAAATGGTTGTATCAAAATGGCAGTGTTAGTATCTATTCTAAACAGTTTCAATATAATATCTTTCACTTGTATTTTAGTATGTCTAGAGACAATAATTTTTTTTCATCTATAACCGAAAAAAACCTGTATCATTTTTCAAAATGGGTCAGCAGTATTTGTGATTTATTGAGCACCTAATAATTTTTTGAGGATAGATTATGTATGTGGTGGACAGAGCTGAAAAGTTACCAGTGTAAAATATTAGTGGTAGAATTTGGAAAAGTTACTTATAGAGATGTAGCTTCTCTTGAACAATATCTGCACATTTACTTTTGTTTGATAAAAAAAATGACTTCTTATATAATTACTTTTTGTCCGAAAAACAAAATTATTACTGAATTGATTTCAATTCTGATTATGTTTCTAAAAGTTAAATTGCTATTACTAGACATAATTGACCTATTGAAATCTTTGGTTATTAGATGCTGTTGATTTAGAGCCTATTTATCTGTTGCACTTTATTTTTCAGAGACATTACTTTTTTAGGTTGATGTATTATTTGAAAAATAACATGAAGCCTACTATAATTCTATTTTGCTCAAACTTAATTTGGATTTTATCTTATCATCCTGTTATTTGAATTCTTTCTAAGGAAATACCTATCTTGTTGAATCGCCTAATTTTGCAGAATTCCATTGATATATTCATTTATTAATGCTTGGTTTTCTATTTTATATGATTGCTAGATATTTTAAACCTTATTATTTTGCTACAAGAGTAAATATTGAGTTGTGAATACCTTGTATATAGATGTTCAAATAAAAAAAATTATTACTATTCAAAATTGTTTCATTACTAGAGACAGACCTGCAAGCAATAACAGAAGTCACAGCAACCAGAGTGTTTAAAGTAATTGATCCTCTTGCACATTATTTACTATGCTGAACTAGTATAGCAAATATCATTTCTATTAGTAATTTTACTCTTGTCTTACACGTTTCGATTATTCTGAAACTAATGGTTGACACATTCAGATCTCAATCTCCATTGTGTTCTATCTGAGGTCAGCTGTATATCTTTATTCAGTACAGTAACGATCATTGTGCTAGGACATCACCAAGCATGATTAACTTAATCTTGAAAGTTGACAATGTCGTCGTTGTTTTCATGATAATTATTTGCATTCATTATAGAAGGGAATCAAGTTTATCATATTGGAAAATGTCTACCCAAAGTCCCCAACCAAGTGTTTGTTACTGCAAAAGGTCAAGAAGCATAAATTGTTGGATGGTCGAGTCATTTATAATATGTCGAGTTGTCTATTGGTCGAGTTATCTGTTGGTCGATTTGTCCAAGGAGTAATTATTGTATGTTATTTGAAAACCTGCAAAAAATATTTATTAGTTTGATATTATATAATGTAAACCTAGAAAAAACATATAAAATGAAACCTAATCTCGACTAAAAAATTGAATTTCGAACGTTTCTGTAATCTATACATATTTCTGTAATTAAATAATTTAATTCAATAATTACTCTTATCAAAACAAGAAAAATGGCGTCGAAAAATAAAAACGTGGTTCCTGGCAAATCAGATAAAAATGAAGCACATTATCCACCAAAGAGTTTATCTGATATCAAAAATAAAGAAATCAGGAAGCAGTTATACGCTAAAATGAAGAAAGAAAAGAAGAAGGTGTGTACTTTGATTCATAATTATCATAACCACTCTGAATAACGTGTGGTGTCTCCGTTTTACCAAGCAACTGTTAGCGAGTTAGTACTCAGTCATTAGTAATCCGTAGTCTAATTTGTTTGATGTTTAGATATGACAACATTTTAGAATGTATCTCAGATCATAAACCATTCAACCAGTTCCAGAAAGTATCTCACAGTGGGAAAATTTACTATAACTTGGAGTCATTACCATACTCATACTAAAGTCATACTGTAAAAGTGTTAAAACTTCCTTAGTTCTTACCAAACAAATTTATCAGCTTCAAAATAGTAAGAAGGTTATGATTATAATTACTATTTCAGCAAAAGATTGCAGTAAAAAAGAAAAAGAAGGCAGAGGCAAAACTGTTAGGCGATAAAGCTCCACCAAAGGCAGTGCCCAAAACCTTAGAAAGTATGAGAATTAAAGATGAAACGATGGTCAATGCAGATGATGAAGAGGTGTGTATCTTAGGATTGATAATTAATTTAAACTTAATTTAAATTTGCAGTTTTCCTGATTATTTATAGATTATGTACGATCCATTCCAGTAACAACAGGAAGGTTTAGTCCCCTTGTATGTAATGTAAACTTTAAATTGGAAGTTATGTTAGAATGTGTTGCATTTTATACCTATTTTAATTGTGAAAGAAATCATTGATTTAAAAAAAAAACATGCTAAATGGAATATAGTAAAATTATGAATTGTCATTTTCAGGTGATAAAAGATGAATCCCAAGATGAAATGTCATCATATTTTAACAGACAATCCACTCCTAAAATATTAATTACATCAGACGATAGAATTAATTCTGTAAGCAATCTCAAATACTTTTCTCTTCTAAATTGATATTTAGATATTTTTGGTTTCATGCCGTTTTTGACATGTCATTTCAAGATAAAGAAAAATATTACGGAGTTATTCCCTTCCCTATTCCCTTATGTATTCATATAGATTATTGAAGAAATTGGTTTATGATGTGAGCTAGAAGTCCATATAAGTATATGATTTGTTTGTAAGTGGATGTTCAATTATTCTTATGTTTTTGGCCTTTTTACAGAAAACCAGAAAGTTTTGTAAAGAGCTTGCCAGAATTATACCAAATGCAACAACAATGAAAAGAAGGGGATTTGATTTAAAGAAAATTATTCCACAAGCTGTCAGTAAAGACTTTACAGATTTAATTGTTATTAATGAAGATAGAAAAATACCGAGTATCCTTTTGTTTTAAGTTTGATATTTGGGAAACTAGATTATTAATTTTCTATTCTGTTTTAGAGGCAATTGACACAAACACAATTAATGAATAATCAAAGGATACTTATCACTGTTATCCATAAATTTTAGGATGTTTTTCAAAAGCTAATTCTGTTTTTTTAACCATCAAAAATATCAAACATAACTTCTGAACTTGTCTGCCAAGCTATCTTTAGAAATTGATGCAGCTTACTTATATTCAAACACAAAAATAATGTGCCTTAACCTAAACAAGATGGAATGGTTGTCTGTCATCTCCCAAATGGTCCTACAGCACACTTTAAGTTAACCTCTGTAAAGCTATCTAAAGAGATAAAGGTAAGATATGAATTCACCACCTGATTAGATACGTATTAATGTTACCAATGAAATCATTTCATCAACATTTGCATGTGAGAATAATAATAACTTTTTGGAAGTGATGCTTTGTAAATACAGGTAGAAACTACATTCTAAAGAGGATTTTCATATTATTTATGTAAAAGTGATCAAATACAAATAAGCATGTGTTTAAATATTTCAGGGTGTTGGAGAATGGACTAGTCATAAACCTGAAGTGATATTAAATAATTTTAATACCAGATTAGGCCATTCTGTTGGTAGAATGTTTGCCTCTTTATTCCCTTATGATCCAAATTTTCAAGGCAGACGTGTGATGACTTTTCATAACCAGAGAGATTTTATCTTTTTCCGACAACATAGGTAAGTAATCTGTTTTCTTCAGAACATTGATTATCTTTTTGTCTTTGAATGAAATTCTTCTTACTTCTCCAAATTACAGAAATAAGCACATTTTTATTGTGTAAATGCTTTCTAGACAAAAATAGCATAAAAGTCTAGATATGATTCAGCTTTGATTGTACTATGTCAGAGCACTGTATAATAACTTTTTCAACTTTACACTAATTTCTGTAATATGAATTTATAAAACATCAAACAGAAATTAAAGCTTTGAACTTTGAACATGGTAGCATTCAATTTTACCAATTTTAATGGTCCTACTGTTTAGTTTATTTTAGTATTGGTATTATATATACTTATTAAAATTTATTTGCAGATATATCTTTAGAAATTCTAAGCGAGTGGGTTTACATGAATTAGGACCAAGATTTACTCTTAAATTAAGATCTTTACAGAAAGGAACGTTTGATTCTAAATATGGCGAATATGAATGGGTTCATAAGGTAAGGCTTTCAAGTGTATCACAAAAAAATTATTTTTATGCCAAAAGTAGTTGTCTCCCCTTTCCTCATTTCAAAAGAAAATTAGTTGTATCTCGCAGCTTGACTATAAAACTCAATTTTTAATCTTTATTAAATTTGTAGAGACATGAAATGGAAACCAGCCGAAGAAAATTTCATATATGATGAATCAACAGTGGATGATGAATTATCTGTGCTGGTTCTCCATGAAAAAATGGTGGTTCATACCAGGAAGGCTCTTGGCTCTTACAGAGTATGGTTATCTTTTGAAATCCAGTATCTCACTGAAGAACTCAGGAAATGCACTTTAATCCTGGAAAACTGTGATGTATATAAATGGAAAAAATTTCTCAATAAGCAAACAGTTATATTTTCATCATGTTAAATCTTGGAAGAATGATAACAACACATGTACATGATAAATGAATAAATTCAACAACAATCTCGACATAATATAAAATCACCACAGATACTTCGACTAGTATTCTGAACACAATCCCATCAATCAACACCAATTTTAATGCTGTGTATTTCTATAAGTTGATTCTCCTGGATATGTCACCATTACAGTACAGAAGCACAAATTCAATGCACTTCAGGAAAAACTGTATTCTTGAAGGCATGGCAAGGTTAGTGCATAGGAGTGGCCTTTACGTCATTTGAAAGTCTTAGGTGGAAGTAAATACATGTGTAACCGTTTATGAAAATATTTCCAGCTTCTAAATTTCCTGGTACTATTCTGTTTGGTCACACTACTGCTTTATCTTATATTGATTAGTCAGTTCCGTGTAAACTATATGGTAAATATAATAAACTAAATGACCCTTTATTCCATTTATGTATCTTCTGAGTAACATCTATTGGAAAGAGAGAACAGTTTGTCCACCTTTTTGTCCAGGTTTAGCTTTATAAGATAATTTACTTGGTTTTATTTTGGAAACATTTTCATCTCCAGACACATATCGGCTTTCATCACCTACAAAAAAAAAATAACTTTAATTGCAAGGCTGTGCTGTAGTTCTTTTAGGTTGTAAACTATCGGAACATGCATAATTATAGAAGAATAAGTGACAAGAGCTAGCTTGCCAACAATTAGGAGTCGTTCTTATTCGTTCATGTATGAAATGTAAGCAATGAGAGTTATTGGCTTGGTCTGTACCTTTAGGGTAAATTTTAGAAAAAAAATAAGCTGATTTCGATCCAAATGTGCATTATGGACTACAAATACAATCTCAGTGCGTTTTGAGATTAATGAATCTAAAGATTATAGAAGTAATTAGCCAGCTTACATAGACGTATTTAATTGTTCTGACCTGACATATAGGCTGAGTCTCTATCAATATACTGTCCTTCTGATCTAGATCTATATATAGAATTCTGAAATATACAACATATTTACTACAATATATGAATGATTATTATTATGGTCAGTCTTTTTCTTGGCATATTTGTGTAATTCCAGGTACTATTAAAATTACCAACACAAACAGCCCATATAAATTCAATTTCTTTGTTTCTACAACTATTGCCTTCCAATTGTGAAAATGTAAATATTAAAATGAATGGTTGAATTAAAACACATGCATTACAATTGGTAACCAAGATTGTTATAAGATGAAGTGATTTAATCTTACCTGTCTAAAAGGTATATTCTGATCGAAGTCCATAGATGGTGATTCTTCGAATGAAGTTGGTCTGTCTCTTCTAATTGGTGGTCTTACTTCAACTTCATCTAAAATATATAGTTAATTAACAGATATGGCAAAATTTATTTGGTCAAGCTTAGACTGCAAAATTAAGGAATTATCTCCATATGCTTGTGAATCATGTTGTAAGTCATTTTAAGCATGCTCACATGCTAATATGCTAATATTAACTATCAATTATAAAAACAAATAATGCTGTTCTTAAAAAGATATTTGAAAAGATTTCTGCATGTGAAGGTATTTAGAGCTGACATTTGCATTAGTCCAAATTAGTTTGCAATTCAAATTTGGAAAGATGCACATTGAATCTGTTAATGACCTAAACTCAAATCATAATGAAAGAAAACCTCTTAATTTTATCTGCATAGTTCTAGGCCTAGCCTTCATTCTAAGTTGCTTTAAACACTTGAATTTCTGAAACATTTTTAGCTAGAAAAAAGAATAGCTATACCTTGATGAAATTGTTGACTACGTCTTAAAGGTTGAGCAAGACCAACACTAATTTTCTGTATGGAAGGATGAAAGATGTTGTTTTGAACAGAATGGCGTAACACAGGACGGCGTAGTAGATTCCTAGTTGTAGATGTTAAATCAGCACTAAATTTGGCAGGTTTTCGAAAGTAGGAATCATGTTCTGTTTTCTTTACACTTGGTCTGTCTTCTGATATTTTATAAATATTAGGTGTAGACACAAAGTTTTTGGTTATATTGTTATTATTATTCTCATACATTTGTATTTTATCTCTTATGGTTATACCAGATACATCTATAGCATTATTTTCTTGAAGTCTTTTCACCAATTGATTACCTTCTATGGGCAAACTCTTGGTTTTAGTGGGAGAAACCCTATCTGGAGTTGTCTGTCTTGATGTTCTGTACAAGTAATTAGCAGAATGATATCTTGATTTAGAACTAAGTAAACTCTGAGGTACATGTCTCTTAGTTTTATCAACATCATTTGACTGTAACAATTGATTACATCTCCACATATTGTCAATTTCTTTTTCAAAAGGTCCATAATCATTCTCCATTTCAAGAGTATGTAGATTGGGTTCTGAATAACAATTAGCACTGTGTTTCTCAGGAAAATATTTACGCATGTAGGCTTTATGTGAAGGACTGAGACGTCGGTTTAAATTATTCTTTTTATATCTTCCTTCCTTTTCATATCCATATCCACCATGAAAATCACTGTCATAATGATCAACTGATAAATGTGACTGTTGACTGTTTAATTTTCGACCTTCCATTTCAGCTAGAATATACTGATTTGGTTTTTCTTGTGAGTTGCCATCTGAACTAATCTGTGAATCAGTTAAATCCATATTATTTGATTTAAGTTTATCCAATTTTACACGATCTATATCACTTTCTCTATCTGAGTTGTCTATTTGTCGACCTTTTTTAGCATCTTTACTATTCGAAGACACGGTGTCCTGACCTTCTACTTCATTATTATTGATATTGTAGAATTCTTCATCGTCTTCTGCTGAAGCTGGTAATAATTGTAGTCCAGTGTCATTATGGAATGCTTTATGACATGACTAAAATATGAAAATAATTCAGATAAAGAACACTAAATCAAATCAATTAAAAATAACATGTATTGTGATTCAATGCATTAATTTATAATCAGGTCACATTCCCCAAATATTACAAGCTTGCACAGGAAACACTAGATGGTTATTGATGCAGCTAGCTTTTCCTTTCTTCAACATACTGGTGTAAGTGGTAATAACTTGAAAATATTTTCCAATATTCCAGGTTATTTAAGCATTTGCGAGAGTCAACTACACCATTTGATTTTTTAAAAAATGATGCATTTTAAAATATAAACTAAGTACTGTTACTGTTTTTGTTAATAAAATGAAAGTAGATGACAAACCTCTAAGACTTTATAAGGTAGTTGAGGAAATAAACGGTGTAGTTGTTCTAATGACATGGCTATAATTTCAGTTATACTTGCTTTCTTTAATAATAGCTGAATGCTAAAAGAAAATGTAAATTGTAATTGTAAGATATGTCTCAATGCTTATAAACAATAAAACAATATTAGCATTATGGAATAGCAGTACAATTATAGCTTCCAAAACAAAAATAACCTACCATTTCCAAAGCCACGAAAAGAAAAAAAAAAAACCAAACACACACCAATTCCTTCGTTCTTCAAAGTATTTTGGATTTGTTTTTGTTTTCCCTACATTTTTCATTTGTAAATGCTGTCACCATTAGCCTTAGCAGGTGCAGAAAATTTTGTCTTGTTGGTTACATTACAGATTTAATTATTTTAACTATTTACATGATACTTGTTACCAGTAATTTATAAGATGTATCAAGACCACTTAAACAGATCAAAGTCACTTGTTAGCATAAAATCAACATATTAAAATTTAGATACAACAGTATACCGGGTAATACCTTGTTTAGACAATGACATTCCAAACACTGGACTAGAATATAAATTACTCTTACACATATACACCTGTTTGAAAATGAGTAGTGCTTGTTTCTCTTTCAAGAATAAAATTTGTAGAGTTATATAGTGTTCAGATATATTGAATAATCTTTAGCACTTCACATTCAAATAAAAGCTGTATTGTTTAAGTTTCCTATTCTGTTATATTTTACATATTTGGCCTACCTATGCACTTGAACATATTCCAACAGAATTGATTTATATAATAACACACTGGATAATTTGTATTCCTTATTGTCACCTTACAACATGCTGAACAAATAAATCAACTCTTAACAAACAGAATAATGTTAATAGTGTTATAAAATTGATAAAATATTTTCTAAATTAAACATAATGTTTGTTATGATTTAATCAAGATTTGAATGGAATTATTTTAAATATGTCTTATCAAAATAAACTGCTATATTTATTATGGAAATTAGAAAAAACACATTAACAGATTGCATAATTTGATTAATAACATCATTATTTTTCACTTATTAAAGATAGTTAATGGAATCATTTCAACTGATATTTTAGATTTCAAGATGGGAATTATTGTTTTTGAAATTGAGACTCTAGAATTTTTTTTAGTTTTAATCCATTTTTTGGCTACTTAATTCCAGATATTTGAAATTTAGAATAATAAATAAATTTCATGAAAAGTCTGAATCAATTTTCTGACCAGAAACTTCATATAATGCAACATTAAAGAAAAAAGTCATGGGTTATTTTTTCAAAAATTGAGGTTAAGAATTACATCATCCATAGAATAATATGGCAAATGTTTGGTTTGTTAAGCTTTGATATTATATTATCTATTGTGTAAATGGTTAAAACCAAAAAATGCTTAATTACCTGTATGAATTTAAACAAGGTAGACATAATAACATCTTCTCTTCCTGCAATAAATAATTATATAAACTTTTATACTTGAATTTAAAAAAATGTTTTAAGAAACACGAGAATATTTGAAATTATAGTTTAGTTTTAAAAACTTATAACATAGTATGGAATGTGAAATCAATTATTTTACTCTAGAAAGCAATAGATATTTTCCCAATTGTTAAAACAGCAAGATTTTTTACACTGTTAAAACTATGTACACTGTAGTTCAAACATCTACCGTATAGATCTGAATAGTTGGACATTCTCAGTTAGCAAGCCAAATCAATGCAGTCTACCAGATAGAGTGCTTTTAAAGTAAGAAGAGAAACATGCAGAAAATTATTTTTTGTATGTTTTATTATTAAGACATAGAATATCATGCACTCTTGTCTCTTTGTCATATTGGACATGAAAGAAACTATCCTATTGGCATTAAAGGGACATGCAGACTTTAAAACTGGTGAAAAATATTTTTGAAAATAGCAGTAATTTCAAGTTTTGATTGGTACTATTCATGTTGAATTGGTTGGATATGCGGGTTTCTTACTTTAAATACATCATTCTGACCCATACACATGTTCAGTTGACCTATTAAATTCCAACACAAATAAATTTTTTATGATGTAAACTGTAAATATAGAAGTTGTAAAGGAAAACAGTTTCTATTGATTGTTTTCAAGTTGGGCAGAAACTTGTTAAAATATTTCTCAAGTCTCACAATTCTAGGTTGATCATTTTTTTTTTCATTGTAAAATCTTCTAAAAGTCCCTGTAGTTTCTACTTTTTCTTTGAAAAAATCTTCTTTAAATATTCTGATAGAAGTAGCTTTAAGTACCATTTAAGAATCTGTTTTAAGAAAGCATTTTGGCAGTATTGTGTCGTTTGTAAACTTGTTTTGCTATATATACATATGCTTCAAAAATCTTGCACACATAGTCTTGAAAGAAGGTAAAAATATCATGCAAATCAAACTAAAAAATTGAATTAATACACCATCACCAAAGAAACTAAAAAGCAACGAACCAAACTTGCAGGTTACTCTTTCTCCGAAAGATTAAAGACTTCCTACCTTAGTAAAATTTTGAGTTAACCATGGTCTTTCTAAATTCTCATGTGGAGAAATTGTACAAACCATATCACATATTTCTCTTATTATACAACAAATATCTTCTCTTTGATGGCACAATAAAACCTGCAGAAATATTTCAGCACACACAATCAATAAACTCAAAACTTTCAATAATTTCCAAAACATTTAGTTGTGATATTCAATTTACTGGATGAAAAGTGAAGAGATCTATGAAATAAAATGATGAGAAAGGAGATTAATACCTGATATCTGATGATACATTTTAGATATAAAATCAGCTAAATCCTATTTTTAAATTCTCCTTAATCCTATAATCCCAGAATAAATGGAATATTTATGTATTTAAGACTTTAGAAAGGATATCGCACCGACTCTAAGTTATTCTACATATTGTATGACTACCGTTATTGATCTTTCACAAACCAATGGACAAATGTTGTTTGAATTTTCAAGGGGAATTAATCTTTGTTTATTTTTTGAATCTTAAAGTAAATTGAACAACATTTTCCATGTTATTTCTACCACATGAAAATTTGCTTGAATATTTGAGAGAATATAGTGAATAGAGTTTGATTTCATAATTGAAACTTTGTAGTAAATCATTTTTAAGAATAATAGTAAAATGATCTTTGTAGTGAATCATTTATAAAAATAGTAAATTGATGTTTATAGTAAATTATTATAAGAATAGTAAATTGATGTTTATAGTAAATCATTATAAGAATAGTAAATTGATGTTTGTGGTAAATCATTAATAAGAATAGTAAATTGATGTTTGTAGTAATCCATAAGAGCAGTAACTTGATGTTAGTAGTAATCCATAAGAATAGTAAATTGATGTTTGTGTTAAATCGTTCATAGTATTAAAATGGTGATTGCAGTAATCATGTTTGTAGTAAATCATTTATAAGAATAATAAAATCATGTTGTAGTAATCATTTATAAGAATAATAAAACCATGTTGTAGTAAATAGTAAATCACTCATAAGAATGTTAAAGTGTGGGAAACTTCAATAATCTAATTAAGGTAATTTTATGATTTATTTTCACAGAAAAACCCATTACTAATCTCCTAATTAATTCTCACTTCACTTAACAACCTCTCATTTGTCCTGCCCCTTGAGTTTATTTCTTACCTGTAATCAGTGATCTTTTCTCAGCTTCTTAACACAATAGTTTGGATACTCGTTACATAAAGAGTCATTAGATACATAGATTTTGTCAAGTCAGGTTGTTGATTCTACAAGAGTTGTAAGATAATATTCTGGATTTTCTCTTGATATAGTTTGAAGGTATGTAAAGTGTTTTGTAGTTTTATATTAGATATAGAATAATATAAATAATACTTTTATATTAGCAAAAAAAGCAGCATTTTAGTACAGCGTTGTTAATTTTAGTAATTTATGTAAATGTCATGTTTCAGGAATATAGTATAAGAATATCAAAATGATGTTTGTAGTAAATTATTCATAAGAATAGTATAATGATGTTTGAAGTAAATTATTCATAAGAATAGTATAATGATGTTTGAAGTAAATTACTCATAAGATTAGTATAATGACGTTTGTAGTAAATCATTCATAAGAATAGTATAATGACGTTTGTAGTAAATCATTCATAAGAATAGTAAAATGATGTTTGAAGTAAATCATTCATAAGAATAGTATAATGATGTTTGAAGTAAATTATTCTTAAGAATAGTAAAATGATGTTTGTAGTAAATCATTCATCAGAATAGTAAAATGATGTTTGTAGTAAATTATTCATAAGAATAGTAAAATGGTGTTTGTAGTAAATCATTCATCAGAATAGTAAAATGATGTTTGTAGTAAATTATTCATAAGAATAGTAAAAAGGTGTTTGTAGTAAATCATTCATCAGAATAGTAAAATGATGTTTGAAGTAAATCATTCTTAAGAATAGTATAATGATGTTTGTAGTAAATCAATAATAAGAATATTAAAATGATGTTTGTAGTAAATCATTCATCAGAATAGTAAAATGATGTTTGAAGTAAATTATTCATAAGAATAGTATAATGATGTTTGTAGTAAATCAATAATAAGAATAGTAAAATGATGTTTGTAGTAAATCAATAATAAGAATAGTAAAATGATGTTTGTAGTAAATCATTCAAAAGAATAGTAAAATGATGTTTGTAGTAAATCATTAATAAGGATAGTCATGTGAAGTTTGTAATAAATGAATATTTTTTCTTTTTTTGTAAAATGACTAATTAGTTAATTATTATTATAAAGTATAAATATTTGAGTGCAATGTTTTATTCAATGCTGTAATAGTGATGTTTTTGTTTTTTTCAAAATGGAATTAAATTATTTGGTAGTAAAACAAACAATACCTTAAAAGATATATCATGCTGTCCTTTGTGAGTTATGTTACCTAATGCTGCTTCTAATTTGAACAGATTTGATAATACTTTTGATGTTAATGGGTATCTGAAAAAATAATATTGAATTGGATTATAAATCATTAAATGGCACATTAAGAGATTCACAAAGATTAGAAATTTCTTATGTTGATATGATTTTAATTACATTATAATGTACAAAGTTAATAATCATTCAGAATAATATTTAAATAGACTATTATGTTCTGAACATGTCTAGGCCAAACCTTGTATAGTCTTCATAAAAATTGTTTTTTACTCACCCTTTAGTATTGTCAAATGTAAACAGAATAATCCAACATTTCTGATATTTAAATGAGAAGGAAGCAAGTTTTCTAGTGATTGGTTCTATATTCATCTCCTCTTTTAAACATAACAAGTCTTGTAATATTACAGCTTGGTTTTGATCTATTATTATATCGGCATATGATTTTGTGGAATATTTGGCTAAAGTTGTATAGTCTCTTTCAATAACTAGTACATTATACCTAGAAATTAAAAAATTAAAAGTATTATACAAGTACCAAGGGGTATACTGCAAAATTATTATTATGTGGGGTTAAAAATGCACTTTAACAATTGCAAAATATGCTGAACCTAAATGACAGTTGATTCAGGGTTTTTGGACATTTTTTTTAGTATATTGATAAATTTCGTCCAGTACAATTTTTCTTACTTTGATTCTAATATTTGTAAGATGTCTTTATGTTGTGTTAACTTGGTAGAACCTATCACACTAATAGTTCTATATTGGTTACTCTGGTTCTTATCTGTTACACTCTTATTCTCTATTCTAGTATTATCTGAAAGTATGAAAAAGTGTTCCTTTTCAAAGTCTAACTAAATGGACATCCAAAGAATTCAAATATGGATACTCTTTGCTACAGAGTACAATATTAGATTGATTTGGGTCTCAAGGCAAGGCAGTGCCGGTGTCTGATGTTACCTACAATCAGCATGGTGTTAGCTCCCTTTCTCATTCACAGAATAATTTTCAACTTACTTTTATCTTCATCTCTGCTGCCAGAATGATCCAAACCTGTGCCTTGAACCATAAACCCTACAAACTCAACTGAATTACTATCACAAACAGTTTTTAGTACTGAATCATCACCACTTTCATATTCAAATAAGCATAGAATATCACTTAGGTCTATATCTTCTAATTTCTTCTGACACAGAATATAACAGTTATCTTTACGGTTTCTGAAAGTAAAGATTGGAATACAAACATGGTGCAAAAATAACTCTATAAATCTATAACAACTCCTATTATTTCCAAAAGAGGGCCTTGGGACATAATGGTTTTACATATGAATGTGTAATGGCTAACATTTAGATGAGAGTTATTTGTTTAACTCTTAATATTCTCATTAGATAACTTCATTAGACATGGACATTTATTCTTATTCAATCCTTACTTACTTGAGTTGGTCCCAACAATCATTTTCTTGAACAATATAGGGTATAATGAAACCATCTACTGTTAAACAATCTTTTAACACAGACATTAAACTCATAATTGGTCTTTTTACAGCTATTAGTATCTATAATAACAAAGATTCAAAACTAAATACATTTCTATTCCTTAATATTTCTCTCTTGTCTTTCATCCTATATGCTTAAATCTTTCATTTCCAGGTGCAATTGAATCAAAACTTCTTCTAGTTAAGCCCATTGTAGGCTTTCAACCCTTATAACCATAAAAGATTTTTTCATGTTATTTTTCCTGATGTGTTTTGAGTCGTACCTTATCTGTTCTTCTCCTTTGTAAGATATTGGTAGCCTCTCTACAAACAGCTAATATTTTAGGATGTATAATATTCTCATTTTGATACTGATATTGTTGATGGAACAGCTTCTGTCGTATTTCTTTTAATGATGCTAAAATCATATCAAAATATAAAAGTGAACTAGTAAATGAACAGTTAAAATCTTGAGTACCTGTATAATGATATGGCAAAGCACAATGAAGACTTACTGTCAACACAAGTGACTGTTATTAAAATTTTGTCCCCTTATTAATAATTTGATGGATATCTATTTGAGCTTGTTGATTGGCCAATTTGAAATTATTCCGACATCATGAATATTTATTGAAGAGATGATGAACACAACTGTACATGAAATGAACTACTTCTAAAAGCAGTTGCAAATGGTTATTAACATTTATTTATCCTGGTGAAACTGCTTTAACTTACATTGTAATATATGAGAATATTTATCTTGTAGTAAACTAAGTTGTGAAATAGCTGATTCTAAACAACTATTGATAACATTGTCAGTTGTCGTCTTTATACAATGAAGTAATAGCATGGCTTTGTAATTCTCATCTTTCTCAACTGAAATTACAAAAGAGATATTCACAATTATAACTTAGGTAATGCCAACACTTTTTTCCACTTAGCATATTTTTATTTCATGTACATGTAGTGTAGTGTAGTGTATTATGAGAATAATCAAAGTGAAATCAGTATATAAAAGTTAGTTAACTTTTAATCTTTTGGCACTTTGCTGATCATAGCAAGAGCAACCCCATATTTTAAATTTGCGTACACATGCAAGCAGGCCTTTAAAGGATAGGATACTATAAGTGTAAATATCAATATACTTACTATTGATATGAGAATCAAGTAGTTGTTTTTCTTTCTGTTTAAGTAGAAATCTAGTAGAATCTATACTAGTTGTATGATAGTTAAATGACAATGGAATATCCCCTGTTTTCTGTAATAAACTTATATAGGGTTTCACAAATATTTCTAACTCCTTTAATACTTCACAAAATGGCCCTGAAAAGTAAACCGTATTATAATCCTTTATTTCAGGGATTTTAAAGAGGTTTTCTAAAATCTTAATGTGGAGCTCAGACAATAATGGCATCAATTAGCACCATTTCTAGATTTCTCTGGTTCCTGCAATTCCACAAAAATAAGTGCTTCACGATGTCACTCATTGCAAAATATGTTTGTATCATATAAGGCCCTTTGAAATTAGTGCAGTCTTCAAACACTTAGTTTTAACAAAAATTTCCAAGCTCCAAGCAAGAAAGTCTTATATATTATTAGGATAACTGTCTTATGATATTATAATTGATATGAATGATATTATCACTATACCTGAAAATTGTACAGACACCATCCTACACTGTGAGTTCATTCTGTTGAATTGTATTGGTTTCTGTAATATGGGTTTGCTTATTATAAAATCCTGACCACCTAACTTTCCTTTCATCTTACTGTTATTCAGATCTGAAATATAACAACAATAGGTCAATATTTTACACCCTTGTATATTTTCTTAATTTTCATAGAATGCATATTAAACACATAAACATTAATGAATGGTGTCCCAGAAGAGTGAGTACATAAAATATGATACAGACAACTCCTCAGTCAATTTCACATGTATGAATAAATAATTTACTATAGAATCAACATTCTTGTAAAGTATATTGTGATGATCTGAGCAGGGTTCTTATATAAGTAAATTTAATATATAGTTGAATAACTGGCTATAACTACAAATACTAATAGAACACAAACAAACACACCCACCTTTTACCATTGTCACTTTATCTACTGTTGTTTTCTCCTGCATACTTAAAAACAATTCTAATGGATCAACTGTTTCCATAGTAACACTTTCTGATATTTCTAAATTAGATATGAAATTAAAAGCGTGTGCTCATTTTACCTAATTAATAGGAAGTAGATTAGAGAATGATATTGATTTGTCTGGATTATAATAATTTACAATTCTGATATTGAATGATAATATGACATCATTGGCACCAATTATATAATGGTAATGGTATACTGAGCAATATTAAAACATAAATTATTTAGTTGTTAATATACCATAGAATAGTAAAATATTACATGGTATTAGTCTCATCTCCAACTCAATAATTATACACATAAATCACAATTTCTAAAGTCTTGATAGAATCAAGAAATAATTTTTTGAGATTTTACATGAGATTAATTGTTTCTAATATTTATTCTTTTAATAATAAGATTACTTGGACTACATCTGGTTATTTTATCGATCAATAATTTGTATTGATGAGTTCATACTATCATGACTTCATAATGTCCGAAGTGACAAATTAATGATAATGAATTATCAGTTCTCAATTGAACTGACTGAATTATTAGTTGTTATCAATGAACTATTACATAACTAAATATCACACAAGATAAATTACTGATTTTTCAAACCTAATAAAGCATGCAAGATGCTGTAAACTTTGAACAGTATTTTTCAATAACAAAGATTGCTGTAAGATCTGAACCCTTTTCATCCAGCAATTCAATTCACATAGGAGAGGGTACTATAGGCGAAAGCCTGTTCCCTAATCCTATTATGTAAATAAATATTGTTTATATAAAAAAAAAATTCAATTTACTTTCAAGAGTTATTAAAATAACACAAAAATATTTATACCTGAAAACAATTTATCATCAAAGACTATTTTTGAAGTTAAAATTGGTGTTTTAGACCCTGAAACAACATTTTCACCTACAGGTGTTGATCTACCATTTGTTCCGGTGTTTTGAGTTATAACAGATACTTGATTTAAATTGTTAGACATAGAACATGTTGACTTCATAGTTTTCTCAGGTAATCTTTCTTCATTGGTAATATCTGTGTTAGGTATTACAGTTTGTGTAATTGGTGTTCTGGTAGTGTTTCTAGGACTGGAATGACATGACTCTGGTGATAAACATAACATCTCAATGTCTTGAGTTGAAATAGAGACTGTTTTTAATGGCGAGGTAGCAGGTGAGGAATTATAGGAGACTCCACCTACAGAGCATGAAGATTGTGAAACTTTACTAGATCCCATAGACCATGATGTAGCTGCTGACTGACACATCAACATCATTTCAGCATCAGGAGACAACTGATCAAGTCCTTTAACATTATTAAATGTTGAATCTTTTATAGGTGTTGAATGCTGATCAGCTGTTGAAGTTGTTTGGAATTTGTCAGTGGATTCAAGACAAGGGATCTTTGTTGGTGGAGAAGAAATCCTTTGAAAAGATTTAAGGGCTGTGGCTGTTGGTGATGAAAAATGTTGTCTCTTTGGCATACTTTGCTGATGAGACACTGTCATTGCTATTCCTTTTTTTGGTGTCATAAATGCCTGCACATTTTCTTCAACAACTATTGGTTTGTTCGCATCTTCTTTAGGTCCTTCCACATCTGTTGATGTCTCTACTCTGTATTCTTCATAAGGCTGAAATACATCTTCATCCTTGTAAATAGAGCTGATACACTTGGTGTTTTCATCTTCTTTTCTTGTTAGTATCTTTACTGAAATAAATATATCAATATAGGATGGTGATTATAATTTAATAATCCAAATTTCAGTGAAATGATAGGGGCAAAAAGAAAGATGTACAGTTTACCTTTAAATTCTTCTATTGGTTTTAGAACATGTTCTTTTCTAGCCTTCTTGGACCAGTTTTCTATCTCAGATGTTTTATTCTTGGTTGGTGGAAAGGGGTCCCATGACAGTTTTAACTCAGTTTCACCAAGTTTACTTTCATTTTCTATTTTAACATTTTTCATCATATTCATCATAATATGTTTTACATTTAAAATCTTCACTGAGGTTTCTGTATCTGGTAATGGACAAAAACAATAAAAAGAATATATAAAATTTAAAACGAAAGATGAATTTAGCTGTATTTGAAAATCATGTCCCAATTAATTTGAAATAAATCATAGTAATGGTGGAAACAAGACTGGACTGACATTCACACATACAAGCTATCAGATTTTTAAATCATCAGCCCTTTTTTATACAAAATTCTTCAAATGTGTATAGATATATTTTTTTTGAAAAAGACACACAAAATATTCAAAAGTGTCAAAACTTCAACATGTATGATCTAGAGATGCCCTGAAAATCAAATGTACTACCTCAATACACCTTAACAATTTTACTTACAAGGTAGCCTGATACACAAGTCTTCGTCATAACATTTTTCTTTCTGCCATAATTTATTCAGAAAATAGTTTTCTTCAGAGTCTCTCAGTAAAAATCTGAAACATAATTTGATATAATTCCGTTTAACATTTATCAAATCAATTATAGCTTTTTTCAATTGAATCTATAAAAGACATGGACAATACATTTTTCCACCAAACATATTACAGCAACAATATTAGATTTTTCCAGATAACAAAACGTGAAACGTTACCTTTTAGATTTTAGGGAAGGTACAGCGTAGGGCTGACAATCTAATGATTTAATACCATCTTCAATATAATCTTGAGAACTGATAGAATTATAAGTAAATAAAGGTGATTCGATAACTTTGTCTTGGCTGCTTTCTTTCTTATCTCCTAAAAATATTCAAAATTCCAATGAAATTATGAAGGTAAACAAGTAACAAGGATAACAATTATCATCGATATTTGTGATTTCTTCAATAAAGATTTACCTTTAGCATTTATTTCTAAGAAATTTTCTGGTTTTATTGTGACATGTTCAAATTCTTCTTTTTCACAAGCTAAATGACTTTCTCCAAAACCACTCTTGAACAGTTCCTCTGCAAAATATTTGATAGCATCTAGATAAAGTACTGGAAGTGAATAAAAATCAGAAATTTCTTATAATAGTAGATCAAGGGCAAAACTCATCTCAAATTATTGACACAATGGGATCTTACATCCTCATGCTGGTTTCAAAACCTTTAGTTAATTTCCATTATGTAGACTGAGCAAACTAAACCAGCATACTTAACAAAAGAAGAAAAATACATATCTACCTTGATGCTGCTTGCTTGATCCTGCAGGACTCAGTGACTCCGGCTGACTGGAATCCAATAAATCTTGAAAACTGGAGCCGACAATATCTTCCTCCATACATTGAATTGGTGAAAATATTTCTTCTAATAATGTCTGCAGAAAGAAAAATGGGAAAATGCTTTAATTACAGAACACTCACTATAGCAAAAAATATCCAAATCAACCCTTTAAGGAATACTAAGTTATTTTGAAAGTTGATCTAAGCTATCATTGAATTTTACTGAAAGTATACAAATCGCTATTAATCAGCATTCAAATGATGAAAAACACTACCTCAGTAACTTGCAATATCTGTGTATCAAAAACTTCCAATCCAGTCTCACCTGATTGCTCAATACCAATCTTACTATCATTTATAAATGTTAATTCATTTCTGAAACACAAGCAAGATTATCTTCTCAAGTCAAATTAATGCTCTTTCTATGCCCTCTAAATTAACATGTTCTTGCTTCTGAAACAACTTTAGTCAATGCAGATGAGCACTAAACCTCTAAAATATTAAGAAGACCTAGCTGTATTTTCAAATTCAAGATTAGGATATAGACATGAGGAGTCTTTTGCATATTCAGCCTAGACTAAGCCTAAGACAGTATATATTAATATGAGAATTAAAGAACTGTAAAGCCCAGAGAAAAGGAATGATTATACTTACTGAAACAACCTTTGCTCAGTGTATGGTTGTCCAGTCTTATCACAGAATGGATCTTTCACTGGCTTTGGCTGAAGTCTTGATAGCAAATGCCATAACTGAGGAATTTGAACATCATTTTCAATTTCTAAGGTTTCTTCTATAAAGTATTGACCTGGATAAAGAAGAAGTAACCTAAGTATTTATAGGTGAGACGTTAAAGTCTTTGTTGAAAGAAAACAGTTCAAAAGCAAAAGTTACCTTTGACTTTGAACAATAAATTTAATAATTCAATATTGGCAAATTTATACATCTAAACCTAAATCAACAAAAAAAACAAGAAATCACTATACTCTACCATTACAGCTAATATCATCAAATTTCGAAATAGTTTCTTTGGTGAATGACTCTACTTCTCTTAACTCTGACAAATTTAAGAAATCTGGTTCATTCTCCTCTTGAAGTGTACAGTGGTCAAAATATGAGCATTGCGATTCTGGATTGGAACTAGGAATACAGTCTATTTCATCATCATCCACAGGAGCTACTCTAGAATTAAAATTTTAATTTGAATTTCAGCATAATGAAAACTTTGAAGACTAAAGGGAAACAACTCTATAAATCATGGAGACTAATGGGAGATAACTCTACATGAAATGATTTCATTTACTTTACAATTTTAATAATAAATCATATATTCAAACCTTGTATAGCAATATGATTCAGGCTTCAAACATTCACATGGAATTTTTATCCCTAAGAAATCTGACCAGAAATTTTCTTCAACTTCTATGTTGATCTTAGGAATATTTGCTGAAAATGAAAAGCAGAATGTTACAGTCAACAGATTACACCCAATATCTATCATTCACAATTTGTTAATCTTCTACATGTAATGAACAACATAATTTAAAAATTATTATTATGATATGTAAAAAAAAAACCTTGAGAGTATACTGTTGCAAAGAAAGCCTTACTGATGTTGGTCCAATAATCTGTGTGATAAATATCTTTGTGAGGATTTCCATGATGAATATACCAGTTAGTTTCTTCCAAATATTCTGGTACAGTTAATACTGAACGACAAATGAACTCTCTTCTTCACAACTGTCTAAAAGTAGAAATGTTAGCTTATTTTCTGAATTGATGTGGATCATTTAGCAACTAACAATTGGCATGTCCATCATAATTAGATGCAGGGTTAACAATTCTTTTTTAAATTTTTAGTTAATCATGAAAAAATTACATGTATTTATTACCTATTAGCCATAATTTAGTGGGATATAGAGTGACATCCAGTTAAGATCATTATTCATGCTCTTTCAATATTCTTTGATAGAAGAGGCTAATGCTGTAGATATTGATGTATGATCATCATCATATCAAGTCATATATGATTTTAGCACAAATCTTGTCTTTAAAATTGTCTTTAGTATCTTGAAACTGAAAGGAAAGACTCCAAAGTTTCGACTACTAGACTAGCTAGGCATAGAACTGTAAACTGTTCAGTGAGCTTATACAGTTCTATGGCCTAGCCAAGTTTAGAAACAGGCATTACAGGTCTACTTGGACGATGTAGTGATTCTGCAAGTCTGTCACAGTTTGGAGTTGTAAATTTACTCATTGTAAAATATAATATGATTATGGGTCATTTTCATGTGTCTGGCTGGGACTGTGACCCTGGACGTATGACTAGGTGGGAAGTGTGTTATAATAGGCTAGTGCAATGGGTCTAGTTGAGTATATCATAGCTTATGAAATACCAGCCATACAAGACTATGATTTTATGTAATTGGCAGTGGAGTAATTATGCTTTTCTGAAGCAGAGCCTTGTAAAAATTCGTCTGCATAACATTTTGAACCTCACACACAGAAGAGCTTTAGAGTTACGCCCCTTTAAAAATCAAATTATCAGACCACAAAAGACACATGCAATAAATAGATTTTAATACCATGATTAATATATCATAAATAGTAACATATAAAAGTAATATAAAAGAAGTATCACAGATAAGTAAATCTAACAAGTTTGTAAATAATGCTTTTATCCAAAAAACATAACAGTAAAAAAATTATTTCATAAATTTCACAAATTAGACAAATTTCAGATAAGAAAATAGGACAGTTTTAGTAAGAATGTCTTAGCCAGTTTAACCAGTCAAATAAACACAGAATTTGGATCACTTGTGGAAGACAATCCAGAGAGAATCTTATTTAAATCGTAAATAACAACTATCAATAGAAATAGAAAGCACTAAAACAATATAAAGACTGAGACATTGACTGATTATTATTCAGAATATGATAAGAAAGCGTGGCAAGTCTGGAATATTATATATCTGACTAGAACTACAACTAGACCTATCTTATAACTATTACAGTACACAATAAGGAAAACATAAAATGAGTTCAACTATTTTTAATGAAGTCCACAACTGAATGTTACCTAATACCTAATGCAGATATGGATTTCAAGCTTGACCAAATTTGATCAATTTGTACAATAATTGAATTTTTTTTCCTCAAGACAATCCATTCTAAGTTGAAAAATTCATAGAAATTGATTGTTTTTTCATATTTTTTTTATTTAAATACAGGGCCCAGGGTTTAAATAATAGTGATCCTACTCCCAATCTTTATTGCCTAGCCGAGTAAGAAAAGAATGTATATTGACTTGTCCATTCTGAGCTGACTCTCTCAGAGCTTTTGTGACGACATAATCAGGTATATTCAAATTACAAGCTTCGTTATGTAACCTGGTCCAGTTCCAAACATCATCATATGGTAATATGCCTGCAAAATAAAAAGAAATAAGAATAAAAACAAGGTTATTTTATTTCCCACATCTAAAATGTTACAAGTACAGAGATCCTACATTCCATTTAAAGTGATATTAACTTTGAAAATTAAAAAATTAGGTTATTACCATAATTGTTGACATCTTGACCATATAAAGCATTAGCTAATTCCATAAATCTTTTAAACCATGGTGAGCTACTATCAGCCTTCTTATTTCTTTTCATCACCTATAAAGATACATGTAAATATACTTAACATGAAATAATTTTTATACCTACATGTATTAAAATTACTTAGAAAATAAAACTTCTGCACTACAAAGTTTAAGTGATCAAAATTATGCTGGACCTCATTTAAAAAATCAGCTTGTTTCAAATGACAAACTTCTCCTGGTCTTCATACAGAAAATAGACTTAGTAAATTAATTACCTCATAATTTTTCTCTAATTCCTTTAGTTCTTTATCCATTCTATCTATTTCTGCGTGAGGTATAACTTCTCGTCTTTCTTGTGGTGGTTGAGGCTGGTATTGAGTAGGTTCCTCTCTATCATAACTATTACTCAGTGGTTTCATATCTTGACTTCTTTTTAGGTGCTTCAAGAAAAAAAAAAAGATCAGTTTATATACTTCAATCTTGCTCTAGTAACAATTTCAACAAAACAATTTATATAGGGCAAATTGTATAATGTATAGCTTTAAACTCTTCCATGAGCATGGTTATAAATTTGCGAACTTGTTCAGTACAAATGATTGTTTAATAAGCAAGACATTGTCACCTCTTCTTTTCTCCATAATGGGGTATGAGGTGGTGGACTTTTAGCTTTTGGCCATTCTGTGGTGGGATGTGGTACCTGTTTAGCATATTCTAATGGTTTCTTACTACGAGGTATGTAAAGACCTGTTTTAGATGGTTGAACTCTTTCAAGGAAATACACAAACTTTATCCAACTGAAATAACAGAAAGAGTAGCCATTAATAATAAGTTTGAATCATCCTTGGGCGAGCTATTGAAATTTCCATTCTTGGCACTGATATATTTATTGCCTTGAGGGGGATAGGAACCCAGAGCACCTCATCACAAAAACTCCGTACTAAACAATAGTGGTTCTAAAATTTGGATATATAATTCTGTAATGAACCTACTTGTATTGGCCATCTTTATTAAGATCTTGACATCGACTTAATATCTGTTGTAATAATGATTCTGTTAATGGTATACGGAAATCTCGACATATATCTTTTATCTGTAAAAAGCATATTTTACCATGAATATTTACAGTATGCAGAAAGAGATTGAAATAAAGAGTGTGACATCCCAATGTAATAGCAAGGGTGTAAGTGTCTTTAAGGTGCAGTCTTACTTCTGTATCTGCATCAGTAAAAAATATGGTGGTGATACGAGTATCCTCTTACATTGTGATTAAAACAGTAATCAATCATACATTAATCATCATTCATTACCTGATTATAAGATAAAGTTTCTCTAACTTCTCTATCATGATATTGGAAATCGGCTATCAATCTCTCAAAATTGATCTCATACTCATCAGCTTTTAGTTGTTGTTCTGTCATATGTAATAACTTAGTGACATCTCTATCATTAAATATATGCTCCATTCTTTCTGTTATTCTGCAAAACAGACAGATAAAAGTAATGTGCTAGAGGCTATCAAGAAATACTCATATTTTGGAGACACCCACAACCAGAGCATACATAGCAGAACGGAAGATGAATAATGAAAGTAATATTACATACGGAGTAGCTGGTCTTGATTCATAGTATTCTGGTTTTTCACCAATCATCTTAAAATCTATTGGACTATATCTCCCTGCTCTCGGACTGAAAAAATAATAAAACAATAAACTCACCCTTTTGTCTGAATTTTTTTCCTTAATTCAGCTTATGATAGACACATTGCTGAGACACATGAGATGGCCACAAATATTAGTTAAAGATTTTAAACACACAAATAATACAGCCTTGACACCATCACAATATTCAAGTGGGCTTTGTCAGTTCATCTCAGATACAGGTATATAATGTGACAAATTAGATCAAAATATTACCTTCTTCCAAAGTTCTTTAAAGCTGTACCAATAAATGATAAGAATTTTTCATAATTTACTCTTCCTGGTTCTTTGTCAGGATCTATAAACTGACCAGCTACTATTCTGATAGAATCTGATGATAGATTCACCTTAAATAGACAAATAAAATAGTTTCACAAAAAGATGCTATTCTACTTATTGGTCTCCTGCAGTCTGTGTTTTGACAAAGTGGTCTTTTTGTCATCATAGAGATATTATATTACAAGTAAGTAATCTCCATTTACAGGGAGCTAAAATCCTTAGGTTATCTTACTTATCTACAGTAGAGTGGACTGAAATATGATTCTAAGCTCCAATCCACTATGCTATGCCCTCTTATGTTAGATTTTCCTTGATATGCAGCTAGGCCTCGACTACATATTTTCGTATCCTTTAAAGCATATACTAGATTATCTAAGATACGGACTGAAAAATGATTCTAAGCTCCAATTGACTAAGTATGGCTTGACCTAATACATGTATTCCATTATGCAAGATGTGCTGATAGGCCCAAACCACATACCTTCATATCCTGTAAAGCATATACAAGATATTTATAAGGACAATAACCACTCATTGATTTGTCACCATTTTTAGTGATGTGAATATAAACATGACGTAATTTCATTGGATCTTCTCCCTCAAGTTCTTCACCAATGACCTTTAATAGCTGCCATTCTTCATCATCATCTAATCGAATTGGACGCTCAGGTAAAAATTCACCTCTTGGTAAACCACGAATTAATTCTTCCTTTATATCAATAAATCTGTTGCCTGGTGGAGTTTTCTGTTGTCTATGTTGAGTGAACTCTGGTGTTTTGTTAACTGGGGGTGGAACATAGCGGGGAGACATCATAATTTCAGCTTTATCTTTTGGATCATATAATAAACGTTCTTTTTTCAATGGAATAGTTTTTGGTTGACTGTTGAATTCATCTCTGTCATCAAAATCACTTAATCTTCCATTTTGAGAAGGAAATAATCCATTTTTATTTCTAAATCGTTTAGTCCATGGCTCTGGTTCAAACACTGTTGACATGTCCATATTTCTCACCCTATTAGCATTGATGGGAGGGAGTGTTGGGTATTTACGAGTTAAATCTTTTGAATCGGGACGTCTGTTATATGTTGACGGACCAGTTTGATCTTCATCTTTAAACTGTAGAATATACATCACAAAATGAAATAGAAATCTTAATTAATAATCAGATTTCAAACAAATGCTTGAGGTTGATCAAGTTTGATAGAACTGTTCTAATATATAAAATGAAATGAAATGAATGGAGTTTTACGTTTTATTACTTTTCTGCACCATGTGGGCTAATGAAGACGGCAACGCCATGTAGGGTGCAATGAGGGAAATTTTGCCAGGACAGCGGCATTAGCCTGCTCTTTTTCGATTTCCAACTGTCGAGGGATCTTTAACGTGCACAGCCTGTAGCACACAGGGCCTCGGTTTATTGTCCCATCCGAACGACTAAACGCTTTTTCCATGTCAGCCCCTCGTACCTGCATCACTGATCACTGACAGGGGGAAACCGAGTTGAAAAATCCGAAGGTATTTTCTCGACCTATGCCGGGATTGAACCCTGGACCTTCAGGTTAGTGAGCAAGCGTCTCACTCGCTGAGCCACCGCGGCTCCTAACTCATATATATAAAAGGACACAAGTAAGCCTACCTTATATTGTGTAAAATATCATATTTATAATCAATGAATAAGATGTTGTTTAAACCATCCATTATTTCAATATTCATAGCTTACCGATTTGTTAACTGCATTAAATTTCTGTGCATATTCTCGTAATAGTGTTGGATCTACATAGTTTGGTTTATCAGCATACTGATATAATGTGTCTAGTTTTGGTGCTGAATACATACCACCAGCACTGAAATAGTTCATAGCTAATGATGGAAAGTTTTCAATAATTAACTCATTGATACTTATCAACAGCTCATCTTTGACTGTCAACACATTTTTCAGATATCTCCATGAAGAAAATGAAAAAGAACCCCAAAAAACACCTGTCAATAGATTAATAATTTCAAAAACTTTTTTTTAAAGTACTCACACTCTGTATGGTTTTTCAAGTACAGGTACATATTTACCACCCACAATCTTTGAGGCAAACAATGGGGTAAAATCTGTTCCATATGGACCATCTCTAGGAGAACTAGGTACAGGAACCTGTACTTCTAATCTGGAGCGTTCACTCTGAAATTAGGCAGGCAGTACTAAATGATAACCAAAAAAGGGCTTTGTTGTAACATCATATATAAGTGAAATGGTATATAATCTACAGTATATACCTCATCCTGCTTGGTGTTTAGCAAAATGAAGAAACAATAAGTTTAAAACTAAGTGCATATTGTTTACACTGTATGCATATATAATTCCCTCTAGTATACATGTAATCTGCTAGTACAAAGAGCAATTCAGATCCAGCTTGACGTTTGTTTTTAGGGTTTTTTTAATGATATTATACTTTTCCCAATAATCAAGCCTTTACTGTTATGGTCTTGTTTATACATGTTCAATTCTTATCAAATATTAGTATGAGAAACAATCCAAGAAACAACAAAAACTACCTTAAAATGCTTCCTTCCGGTTCTTTTATTCCCATCAGGCAATCTACCTGCCCAAACCCAGGCCATTTTTCACTAAATGTTATAGCTTATAAACCTACTAGTATGTTATAACCAAGCAATTGAGATATTCTTAATCACCAATGTACTTAATCTAAATCATATCAACAAGTAGTTGTATATAACAACCATATCATACTACTTGAAGTTATAATGAAATATCAACATCAATTTAACATATCAATTTCACATTGCAGATATATTGTTGTGTCATATTAATACTTATATTTCAATTTTCAAAAAAAAAAACACCTTAAAAATTCATATTAAATATAAGCCTATTTCACTCCAATTTGACAGAATGCATATTAACATCATAGCTGTAGTGAATGTTAGACCAAGTTATCAATAAAATCAAACCCTGACTTTATTTGATTTTGAAAGAAATTTGCTTTTTTTAACACATTGATTGTTCTCAGGATATGTCTACATGATCAAGTCTAATGACCCTCTAGATTTTATTCAGGACGTCTAGTATAATGAGTAAATCCAAGCTGAGAAGAATAATATCTAATCTGTATTATATCTCGATAATATCAAATAATAAAGAGATTATAAAAATAACAATGCTTCAATCAAGTAGAAAATAAGGTTAATCTGCTCAGAATAATTCAGGTCAGATTATATCAGCTCAATGCATTTAATGCAAGTTTGTTATATTCTATCTTACAATGAAGAATTATTCAGTAGACCTACACATTATTAGAAAGCTCTATTCAACTGTGAAAAGGAAATTTCGTAAAAATTTTTTAAAGCATATCAAAATTGTTAACTTATCATTAAAGGACTTGATTAGCCATTTTCAGGAGTTAATGTGGATCTTGAAAATATTCAAATAGTCTTCAGAAGTACAAGAAAATGGCATAATCCCCTCAAATATATCTCAAACTACAAAATTCACTTTCTATTTCTATGCCTTTTCTATTTATGGTGGGGTTTCAAAAATCTACTATGGAAAACTTGTGTCTTCTTGGACAAGCGAATTACCTCTATGATGATTTTTTAAATTTCATCAAAGACCTTTAGTCAGGTAAGTAACAAAGTTTTGGTTAAAAGGCCACCTGCATTCATTGTACATGTAAACATAAACCCATTTATACAATAAATCAACACATTAGCCACTTAACTGATCAAACAAATTGTTTTATATCTAACAAATATTTGATGATTATCATATTGACAACCTTACTCTAAAATAAATAAAACTGTTACAAAGATCCTGACAAATTCATACTAATTATGGAAGATAAACTACTTGAAAATAATGTTTTCATAGATAACTGACTCCTTGGTAACAACAAACGATGTCTTTCTTTACCCACTATCTTGGTAAGTAGGGAACAAAACTATTAATGGTATTCAATTATTTGTCTGTGTTAATCTATTGAGTACAGTGAACAATATACAATAAAGATTTAGTACGTTACAAGCCACTTATTAAAAATTCTTGATATATAGTGAAAGAAATAGGTTTTTAAGACCGATTGATTTGAAAAAAAGTCTGGCATAGGGCATGTTATCTTTTGTATGAATTGATTTTATTTACAAAAAATTCACCTTTATCAGGACCTGATATTAACTAGTTTTTAATAAAAATCGAGATTAAAGAGACATGTACTAGAGGGAGATCAATAAATCAATGTACATGTTTTAGTTGATTGATAGAAGAACTGTGAATATCATCAATCAGAATTGTCAAGTCAAGCACTTACATTCCAATACTTAAAGGGACCGTCAAGAGGTTTTCTAAACTTTTAATTTGGATTGGGAATACTTGGGGATTGTAAAGATGTTTTCTAGAACTTTATGTGCATAGGGGACGCTGATAGCATTTGCATCGTTCCAAATCAAGTAGACGTCTGATGTTCTGCAGTTCCACTATGCCTTTTATAACATCACTAGTGCAAAAGTCCTTAAATATCAATAGCTGATTTTGCAATAGAGATACATCATAAAATGCTTACTTTTAGTGGAATTGCAAAAGTCACAGACATCTGACTGAAAATGGAATTGCGGAAATTGATGATATCAGTGTCCCAAATACACAAAAAAAGTTTAGAAAACCTCTTTGTAATCCCTTAACTGCAAGCACCACTGACATCTGACTGAAAATTGGAAAGGTTGATGCTAGGAAAGCCGCCTACAAGGTTTACCAAACCTATTTACAATCCCTTTAACAGAAATCAGTTCCTAATCAATCAAATTATTAACATCCCATAAATAGATTCTACATAGAATAAAGAAACACAAAGAAAGAACAATGACCTGTTACAATGTTCCACTGAGCTGCATGAGCTGCATAATATAGATAACAACCACCTTGTTTAAGCCATGCCCCATTATCAATACATTTGTATAAGGCAGTAGATTTTAACCAAAAGAGCAAGTACTGATATTATAAGCAAATTGTCGTGTGCATGTTCATATTATAAAACAACTGTATGTCAATGCATGTTGGTTGGTCAGTTTTAAAATTACGTTAAATCTAGGAATATTTATTACCTCAGATAAAGCGGTTAATCTACTTAAGTAAACGATGGTAGAAATTTTAACAGTTTTGGACATGCTGAAGAGAAGATGACATATCAACATGATGTGACAATCTAGTTAGCATGAATTATCGCATCTATTGATGCTGATCAGTGAAAATTTCAGAGAAGACAATTTATATAAAACTTGTGAGATCATGGATGGCAAGTGTATAGTAGAAGTGCGGAAGTCAATATCTTCTATCTAATCAGATCAGTGAATTGATAAACTTACAAATGGTTCTAGAGTAGTAAAAAGTATTAAATCAAATCAAGAAGTGAATGTAATTCCAACTATAATGAATATAATCCCAACAAATTATTCTATTACCGTATCTAATAAACCTCAATTCAAGTTAATATATGGTAAATGTCAGAGAGATACCGGTAATAAATAGTACACAAAAAACTTTGATGGCAACTTCATGATTTTACAGGAGACAATTTTCAGTCCAAAATTCAAGTTACTTTCACAAAAATTTCTGAAAAGGAAGTTTGTGTATTTAAAATCATAGGCCTATATCATAAACTGTTCGAAACAGGTTGGAATAGAGACAGATGTTTCGATCTATCTATGGACATGCTGATGTTCTAAGAAGACAAAATAATGACAATTCAAATTTGCATACAGGTATTAGTGAAATAACAGAAAAAATTCAATTCTGCATTTGCTACATTGTCTATCTGGTCAAACTTCTGTAAATGGTCAATGAGTAGGTTTAGCTTTAAAAGTACCGTAGCTTATATAATGACTATGTCAGGTAGCCTATGCATTTGATCAATGACAATGACATACATAAATCTACTTTTATCTAGTATGTCAAAGGAGTATGTTGTTATTATATCTCCAACACTTTTACATTCTAAAATGACATCAGAATATAATGAAAAGCTAGTTCTTACCCTTCGTCCAAGTTTTGGCATTATCAATAAAATATCAATTTTCAGTTTACAAAATGATTCAAACTCATCATATAGAATCTGTTCTAACCATGACAATCTACACAACTCTTAATTTCTAGAATGATAGAATGACAATAGTGTTGCTAACACGCTTTATCAGTACTGACATGTCATTCATTCACTACACTGAATGATTTACATGTGAAAGGCTAAGATTTTTACTGCATTGTTCTTTTTATAGTTTCGTTGCTGTTTACAACTTCATAAAGAGTTAAGGACCTTAGTTTCGTATCCAAACTTAATCGTGTAATTTTGTTCAATGCTTCAAAATTATGGGAACTATTTGATATTTTCTTGACTTACCAAGATAAATACAAAAATTATTAACTATAATAACTTGGATTTTTGGATTAACAGCAAAAGTTCATTTGCTATAATGTAAGATTTATTTTCGTATTTAGCAGACGAATTTTAATTGGACAGCCAACACAATATACGCAAACACGAAACACTTTCTCAACTACTTTTCTGAAACCTAGCACTGAAAACAGTGACTGTGAGATAAAATTTGAGTAAATAGCCTAGTTGATGTCAATTGTCATTTTACTGAAAGGGTAACTTTCTGCAATCAGGAAATCTTTCGTCAAATGTTGTTCAATGCCAATGGCTTAAGCAACTTTAGTACATGTATAATATAAAGTCTTTAGGCTTCACAACCAACACAAGTAGGCTAGGAGTAGGTCCAGCAAGGCATCCAGAAACATAATCTTGCTGCAGTATGCAATTACTTTTATGTGTTCTGGTTCTCAGGTCTTTGAAACATTTTTAATGACATAATCACAAGAAAATTTATTGGTTTTTCTATGTTCAGGGCAAAATGAAAAATGTACAGACTTTTATCTCCATAAAATCTTTTCAAACAAAATCCTTTGTGATATTTTCATTGATTAGTTGTTAAAAATGCTTTTTCCACCAAAATAATTTATAATTTCTTGACTGGCATCCAGAAAATAGGCAGTTCAATCCAAACCAGATTCTATTGACCATTGTGATGAAAATACTTTGAAACACTTTTAGTTAAGCCAGTAAAACATAAGAAATGTAGTTTGTAATAAATTCTTTATTCATAAACTGTTAATATTTTGCTATACTGAGTGATCAACAAATGTAATATGTGATTATGCAAGTACATGCACCAAGAAATTATAGGCTATTGCCAAACAAATCATAAAATTTAGCCTACTAACTTGGTTTCGCTATAAAAATAAAATTCTTCATAATAAACCCTGAGAAATTTGCTTTATCTATTTTTTATCAAATCAAAAATAAAAAGTGTATACAAGTTTCATGATGTACAAAAATGTTAATAAATTTTTACTGGTTTGCGTAAAAGGATAAAAAAGAATAGGATTTATAGAATATAAACTTCAATTTAACAAATATATCATGAAATATTAAACTGACAAAATTACATTGACAAATGTAACAAATGTTCCTTGATTTAAATAGTAACTTTAGTCAAGCACCAATTGTTAGAGCAAATGTTTATTTTGAAATAAAGGAGAATATAATGACAACAATGAAATAAGTAATACTGATATAATAATGGATTATAGATTTCATATTTTCAACATACGTATACAGGAACTTCAACCACCTTGAAACACATAAAATGTTTAGTGTTTTAAATCCATTCATTAACAAATAAAAAGACTATTCTTCACTATAACAAGCCTACTACTATTGAAATTGTAGTAAAAATGTTACAGAAAATCATTAAAAATAAAAATTCATACAATAACACAATAATTCAAATAGTTATATATGATTTACCGGTAGACAAAAAGAAGACTGGTGCTGTAGATTTTTCCGGATTTGCATAGATGATAAAGAAAATTGCCAATCTATAATACAAATTAGCACAAAGATAAAAAATACTCTACCTGCAAAACTCACAGAGCTTTGACATATTCATCAATAACTTTATCAATAAATGAAAAAAAACAAAGAAAATTTGGCTTAAAAATAAAAGATGATTGCTCTATTAACTGTTGTTGCATTACAACTGATTAGTTAGTAGGTAAAATAACTGCTGCTGTATTAGATACACTAGTGGTGTTTAAGGGTATGCCACGTCTAGGTTCATATGGTGTATCTCTCTTAACCATGGTGATACAATCTATAATAGGACAAACTGATACACACAGTGTACAACCTGAAAATATATAATTAAGATTATCAGTAAATTCCCTAGAGCTATGGGAACACAAGCATATTTTTTTCTTCCAATCAATATATTAAAATTGCTAAAAGAAAATTGTCTATGTCAACCACAAATCGCATGTGAAGTTTATTTTGGCTGCTCTCAAAAATTTGTTACGTGTGCCTATCATGCATAACAATTTACAGGCGATCTGATGGAAAATACACATATATTCTTCAGTTATAGTATTGTATTCTTTCAGTTTACATACTTTTCTACTTTTCATAAATTATTAGGCTTGATCAAAAACATACCTGTACAATCTTCAGTGACATGAGGTAAATGAGTTAGAGGATCAAATGTAATAGCTTGATAACCAGAATCATTACATGTCATATAACATTTCCCACAGTTAATACACATATCCTACAAAAATTAACAAAATAAAAAATTAACTGATAGAAATAGATGACATTAAACACACGAATACTGGAATTCTGGTGATGGATTTGATACTTGTTACAGATCAAAAGTTATTTCCATATAAAGTTGACTATAAGCAACCTATGGATGATTATCAGGATGTGTACTTTCAGGTTTACTTCTGTTGATAATAAAATTTACTTACATCATCCACCAAGGCTACAACTTGCTGTTTATTATCTAAATCACCATATGATCCAATCATAGGTAAGGCTTTACCAATAACATCCTGTAAAATATCAATTATACTTTAATACAGGCTAGAAACCACACCATAAGATATTGTTTTCTCCAATACTACTTTTTAAACTATACAATGAATCTTTTATAAATGACGGTGTTATTTAAATTTTACTACAAAGTAATGGATGTTCCATTTGTATCAATATTGAATATCCAGTCGAGCACAACATTTTTTCATTTGTCATCTATATAGAGATGTTATTTGTTAGGTGATGTGTCTGCATTTCCTCACTCTTGTTCTGAAAACCAAATTACACTTGTATTCCCAAACCAATCTACTGTATAGATACATATTAGACATTCAACCCACCTGAACATGTAGTACAGAAGTATTAGGTGTATATGCAGGACGAACAGGCTCAGGTTTATATATATCATCTAATAAATCTATCTTAACTTTATTCTTAGCAAGAACTTCCTTTCTTTTCTCTTTATATTCTCCAAAATTAGGCAGATCCTTGGGGAGGTGAAAGAACATATAAATTTTTTTTAACCATATAAAGCATTAGTCAAATGCATCATTACTTCTTCACAAGGCATGTATTTATTAATGATTAGGTCTCCCCTTTTCATTCATGTTCTTTTCTGATGAGGTCAATGGGGCCAGCGAGATTTTCTTATTTGTTTATTCCAATGGCGTCACCATTTCAGTAAGCGTTAAAAGGAGCTTAACCTATTTTATCAACAGAATTCATAAACCTGACCTAATAAGGAGATGATAACTTCCAGAGACCTGGAAATGATGCTGAGCTAATATGTGAGCTAAATGTTTGCTGTTTCTGGAACACCTGACAGCCATAGGTAAATTTTCTCCTTAAGATTTCCATTTGTACATTCTGTGTCACCTACCTCTCCAATGATATCTTTTATTTTTGGTACAGGTTTACCAAGCTGATGTTTTGGTGTTGGTGGACTTTGACCACTCCAACCATTCAATTCCTTTACAGATTTCAGGTACAATAGTGTTTTTAAGCCTGAGATGTAGTCCTCTACTACAGTAAAATCTTGATTCTGTATAGCACTACACACCTGTGATACAAAAGTATTTGCCTTATCTGGTCATTCAATTAAATTCTATAATTTATTATAATCTAGTATTCTTTGAAAAAAGAAATTGATTTAATGAATATAATAGGTATCATACCAACCTGAAGAGCACTGGCACCAGCTAGTAGAAACTGTAGACCAGAATCAGCAGCATCGATACCACCAGTAGCGAGAATAGGAAATCCTGGTAGTTCTCTTGCTATAGCAGATACAGCACGTAAAGCAATTGGTCTAATGGCGTTACCAGATAGTCCACCATATGTAGTACGGTGTTCCTTACCAATATTTGGCCATGCTGTAGCATCAGGTCTTATTCCCATTAATCCTGATACAGTATTAGTAGCTGTTACACCATCAGCTTTACCTACAAAAAAAACTTTAGAGATATTTCACAAGGATCAATGCACTTGAAGTTATAGTCACAAATCACCAAGTCATGATTGCCACAGACAGATTTGATGTGTTTTCACTAAGTCAAGGTCAAGAACTCACAAACCATTTTTATCAACTTGACCAAGATCTCATCAATAAGAACCTGCATACCAAGCTTCATCGAAATCAGATGAATTTGCAACTTCTATTCTGCCAACAAGAAATGTGGTTGGACAGATGGACAGCTAGTCGGAAACAACTTCAATATCTATGCAAGATTTAAACAAACCGCTGACCTACCTTCATAAGCTGCTTTGGCAATAGTCACAATACTAGTAACATTGGGTGTTAATTTAGCAAAGAATGGTATTTTAACTGCTGCTCTCACCCATCTACAGATATTTCTGACTAATTCAGCATCCTGCAAGTACAAGTTGATAAAATAATGTAAATGTGAATGGTCAAAAAAACAAAACTGGAAAAGAACAATAAACTTGCAATTTTACATCTCCTGTTATTGGCATCTGGGTGTTGATAGTGGTAATAAGAATAGTGAATGTGCCCATTTAATTCCAAGTAAGAGATCAAGATTATAAATGTGTGAATCCCTTACCTGTCCACAAGCTAAACCCATTCCTCTTTCTCCCATACCATGTGGACATGACAGATTCAATTCTAATGCATCAGCTCCAGCAGCCTATAAAAAATTTTGAAAACTGAAATATTAATAACATCAAATAAAGTGTCAAATAAAGGCATGCTATAATTTGCTTCACAAAGAAAACAGTAAATTTTAAAAACTTTCGTAAGATAATTTATCAACCAACAAGGCAATGCAACAATGCAAAATGGAAAACTAATAATATTTATATTTTCTTACCTCTGACATCTTAGCCAGATCTGTCCAATCTTCCTGACTATAACTACACATGATACTGGCAATAACAATCTGAAATTAAATCAAAATATCCCATGGTACAAACTAGTAAACTGGTAACCATTTATTTTTGGCTTATAAAACTATAACAAAATGTCTTAAAAAGTTGATATACAATGGAAAGCTACCTTCGTAAAGTTACAATTTCTAAATTTGATAACTTATCACTTTCTTCATTGCCATAAGCAATAAAGTGAAATATGTCTATGCAACACTGATTGCTTAATAAATATCCAATGAGACAGTGATTTCTTATCTGAATTAATTGCAATTGAAATTGTCTCTTCTCATAAGCTTAAGCCCATCTGTATACTTCATAAAAGAATTATATTATTTTTGTTATAATTGTTATATATGTTTTTAAAAGATATTAGCTATATTTGATACCTTGTCTGGAAAGTCTTGTTTCAATTCAGTTACACTTTTACACCAATAAGCTGCTGTTTTCTCACTGATCAACTCAATATTCAAGAACGAACCTTGACCTGGTCCATACAGATGACCTGATGTTGTTCCTTTTACAATTCTTGGAGATACATTAGTAACTATGTCCTATAAAAAAAAGATACACAATTATGATTGTTATCAAGAATGATGGCTTCAAGATGATAAAAATATTTCATTTCTAATCTAGAAATATCAAACAGAACTTGAATCAGAGTTTTACACTATGTGATCTTCAGACAACTAAACTACTACAGTTTGACAAGTAGAACTTATTCTCATATCTACATTTTCTAAACGTTTGTTTAAAGACGTGTGCTTTGGAGGATGAATGATCTATTTAATAGAAAAGTTCCCAATACTTTTTTTTACCTTATCCAAAGAATAAGTTTTGGTTAAAGCAAATCCCCATCCTTGTTCAAAAGCCCTTCTAATCATAGCACTGCTAGTTGTTGGTGGAGCACTGGCCAGACCAAAGGGATTAGGGAACTTCAATCCACAGATCTCAACACTTATATCCACTGTATCAATTGGGGTGAAAAAATTTGGTAAACATGGAGCTTCAGGAATCTTAACTCCATCCAAATTCTGAAATAAAATTTTTATTATAAAAATTACACACAAAAGGATTTAGTATAATCATTCCTTGGCCCCTATTCATTTATCAAACTAAATAGTCAGATTAACCTTTACATGGATGATCTTGCCAAAATATTTTTGATTTGTTTAAAAATAAATCAACAGCCCTGGATCTTGGACATCTTCAAAATAGATCTGTACTTGTATTTAGCTGTATTTAGTATAACTTTGCTTGATAAAAATGAAACAAAAGGCCTTTTTCACCTATAAAGTTAAGGAATCAAACTCATTGTTCCAGGTCATTTTCAAACAATGGTTTCATGTGGAACATGATAATGTCACTTTGCTCCCTAATTATGAATTTTTATTACCTGTAAATATCTATGTATAAACCATGATGCACATTTACCATCATTGACACTTTCTACTGTAGTTTGAGCTACACCAGCAATATCTCCTCCACAATACACCCATGGTTCTGATGTTACCATAGTATTATTATCAATTTCTGGTAATTTCCATTTATTCAATTTAATAGGTTCCAATGCCTTTATAACTAGAATATCATACTTTCAGTTAGTTATTAAAGATAGATATCACACATCAAACTTGTAATGCATAACAACTCATTATGAAGCACATTATCAATATCATATTTTCAATAAGTTATGAAAGTTAAAGGTTGTTGTATATCTTTATTTTGGGAAACTGTCAGTGCTTTTAGTTATAATATATAACGGTTGAAGTATAGGGCCTACTATGATAATGTGGTAGTTGCAAATCGACTGAAGTATATTATGAATTTTATTTAATCTAGTTTATTGTCTAGCAACAAACAAATGTAAAGTGAATTACTTAATAAAATATACATAATAACATACATAGATTATCAATAAACGCTCAGCCCCGCTGGCTTATCATTATCTTAAAAAATTAAAGTTATCTTATCTATTGTAGGCATCTACATTATATAATTTAGTAATCACATTTATGTCCCTTTTCCCAAAAGTACCCAAGATAGCTTTGACCTTTACTTCAAAGTTCAATTTCTGCCAAGAATCTAAGAACATTATGAAAATTTTCGAGTAATCCAAACACAACTCGTAAGACTTTGACATATATTTAAAAAAAAAATTAATAAATATGATCAAGCTTTGAATGATTAATTTCATTTTAACGTGACTAACCATCCTCATCAACCAAACCAGAGCCGAAAGCTGAGATAACATAGTTAGCTTTTAGTCTGACAGTTTGTTCTTCATCTTCTATCCAATTACCATCATCATCTTGTTCTGTTTTTACAAACTCCATTCCACTGATCTTATTATTACTGTTATTTAACAGAACTTTTCTTGGAGACATAAATGGCAGGAATTCACATTTCTCAACTCTAGCTAATTCCATCTAAAATCATTCAAGAAAAAATTGAAAATGATGTTTAAAATTACCAACATACAGATTGTGTTCTTGGTGACAATTCCTTTTTAACATACAGAATGATTGAAAGATTAAAATAGGGTTGAATGGCGGTCTTGTGTTCTAATCGTAGTTGACATGTTAAAGTCTTGTAATCTTGGATAAGACATTTTGAGTACATACTGCTGTTAATGGGTACAGATAATCTGAATAGATCATTGGCAAGAGGTTTGATCAACTATTAAAGAATTTAACATTGTAGACTATGTTGATTCTTTTGCTTTCCTTTACACAAACAAATGCACAAACTAAGATTTCATATTATATGAAGTGCTTTGGTGGCATTTTAGTAAATATCTAAAAAACTGATTATGCATTTTATCATCTCTGGGATAAACTATCATACCTCTTCAGGAACAGCTCTTATATTGGTAAAACCTTTCCTGAATACAACAAACACTCTCTTGGCACCACATCTTAAAGCAGATGTAGCACAATCAAAGGCTGTATCCCCTGCCCCTAATACTATAACATTACCAGTCAGTTGGGGTAGCTGCGATTTACAAGCACACAGACCTGAAATAGTCACATCATTTTCAAGCTGAAATTCAATTAGAATTTTGTAAATATAATCAACTTACAAGAAAAAAAAAAAAATTCATTCATGTTTTATCAGCTGTTATGCCGACTTGCTTAATTACTTCATATTGTTTTAGATTCAAATCATATTGTATAGTTTTCACAGTTGATTACACCTACCTGCTTTACTGGCCTGAGAAACCACTGGTAGAAAGGTTTTAGATGTAAAGAATCCTTGTTCTTCTTTCAGATCAGCAAATATTGGAATTTTCTTGGCATCAGGTAAACCTTGAAAGAGACATAAGTCAATCAATACAAGATATTTTCCCTTGAATTTATCAACAATTAAGTCTTAACTTAAACCAACTCCTTTAGTTCTGAATTTCAGTTTGCATGGGGTGAGGTTTAGAATGTTTTCACTGTATAAGAAGCATAGTCTTAAACAATATCAATAAAATGTTCTAACCAATTCCAACAAAGACAGCTTTATAACCATTGGATTTTAATGATGTAAGAGACAGATCTTTTGAACCCAATGCACGACCTCTTTCAATCTGAAAGCACAATTAAAGATTTTATGGATTCATATCAAATCTTAAGGTATAAATGTGCCACAAAATAAAGTGAAATTTGAATCACAATGTTATTAACATGTGCATGACCATGAGACTACAGATTTGAACTTGTAGTTGCTTTTTCATGTCAACCTCAAAATTGATAATGTGTTAGACAGTTGGCAAAATCCTGTACTAGTATGTATATCAATCAGTCTGCCAGGGTACAAATATAAATTCACAGGCAAGCATGACTTTGCTCCACATGTACTTAAGAAAAATCTTTACCTTAACACCTAAATCTTTCATGAGTTCAATTTCAAAATCAACAACACTGAATGGCAGACGAAACTGAGGTATTTCAGAAGAACTGAAATAGAAGAAATACAAATATCATTAAACAGACAGTTTCTGATCACTAATTCTAACACTAGCTACATTTACAGAGCTAATTCATTTCACAGCTTGGTTTTATTTTCTGTGGCTTAGCTGACTTCCATTTCTGCTTATTGCAATAAGACTCTGACTATTTCTCCCACAACCAAAATTTATAATTTTATTGTTTGAAATAATTCTCTAAACTATTGTAAAATGGTTAGCCATTCTCTGAATTCTTTCTATGAGCACCTTTTTTTTTCCAATATGGAAAAGACATGAGAATTTCCAACACTTATCTACCCCAAGCTGTGTTTACTACTTATTATTTCTTACCTCAATCCACCATTGTACTGATTCTTCTCAAAGATAGTTATATCAGAATAACCCAGTCGAGCTAGAAATGTTGCACAACTAATACTAGCTGGGCCACATCCTAGTAAAGCTATTTTAGATTTATAGGTAGCTGGTAGTTTATCTATAGCTGGTAAACTGGGATCTCGAATCTGTGGTACCTTCATACTTTTAAAGATCTACAATTCAAGACAATTTCTCTTTTAATGAAAGGAATATTGGTTGAAACTCAAAAGACATTCAAATTAACATTGTCAATATGGAGGTCACAAGGGTAAAGGGAGCTACTGCATTTTCAAAAAAAAGTAGTCAATCTTCCTTTTTTTAATCTTATTCAAATTTTACGGAAAATGGCTGAACCTTGCATGGAGCTATAGAATTTTCATTATTTGCAATTGTAGTAGACGAACATGGATGGACATTCATCAAAGCCATAGCAAAATTGTCATACCTCTGTAGCAAACTGTTGTAAGCCACCAATATTGATAGGTCCTTCTTCTGATGCATATAGATTACATCCTCCAACACATAGATCACTGGTTGGACAAACCATACCACATGTTAATCCCAGTGGATTATCAGAAAATATCGCTTTGGCTGCACCATAGTAATTCTAAGGAATAACATTTGACAAACATCAATAAAGCCTAAAGGCAATTAACATGTTTAAAGAAGAAATATAAGCCAACTGACAAAAGTTAATTTAATTTGTCAAGAATATGTAAAAAAAAATCAAGAAAAGCAGACTTGTTTGAGCTCCGGAGAACTAAAATCACTAAAGGACATTACATAGGTTTCATCAGATATAACAGTTTTTAAACATTGATCAGTCATTAGGAATTTATTTCATTATTGTCAATAAATAGCTTCACAGTAGTTGACTCACGGTTTGTTTTTACTCTTGGACTCAAAAACAAGAAATGATCGATCAGTAATTCATCATATTTACCATGTTAGAAATACATCCTATGAAATATTTGACATCCAATTGAGTTGGGCAGCTTTTCTGACAAGGAGCATCGGCACATTTCAAACATCTTGATGCCTCCTTTAATGCAGCTCTTTCACTCAATGTTGTATGCTTAATATCATCAAAGTTTTTAGTCAAAGGCTCACATTTCTGAAAAAAATAATTTAAACCTATAGACATCAAAGTATACTTAAAGACAGTATTCAGTGTTAAAACGTAATGATATACATGTATAATGAAAAATACTGCTAATCAATAAAAATGAAATCTGTGGAAATCTGCATCAGAGTTTTCTAGAATTTGGCATTAAATCATTTTCAAAACTACAGTTTTGCATACATTTACCAATATCAAGAGCATACAGAACCCACCAAGAGCTAGTTTGGGTATTCTTATAATCTAAAGAAACAAAACTTAATACATGAAGTTTTAAATTTGGTCATAACTCAAATTTAGCAAACATGTTACATATTTTACTTTCTATTAAGAACATTCAAATTACAGGAAATCAAGATGGCTTTGCAATGTTTTAGTTCAGAAAAATAAAAGTGCACTTTTCTTGAAAAAGTTTCCAACAAAATGTTTTCATTGACAAGTGTTTCATGTTTATTTTTCCAATGAAATACAATAAATAGATAACATGAAAGTAGGACAGATATTATTAGTAGGTATATTTTTAACAGCTGTAGGTTGACCTTATTATTACCCGTATGTAGGTTTAAAGTCAATTCCACTATCAGTTCATGACTCAACATAAGATGTACTTCTGAACTCTGAAGGTCACAATTATCATTTAAAGAAATGACATCTTATTCATAAGTAATTGCCTTAAGTAAATGCTCTAATTTTATTGTACTTGTGGTGAAGTACCACAAAAGATATAAAAGCCCACAAACAAAAAACTTTGATTGCAGCTATGAGCCAACATCAAGGAATATCAATAATCGTATAAAAATCAAGAAAAACAAATCAATCCATGAATTTTAATAGACAAATAGTAGCCTGATTAAAAAAAAAAAAACCAATTCTGTTGTGTTTATCATATTTAAGCGAAATGAATTCATCACCACATAACAAGTTAAATTGTATATTCAATAAAAACCACAATAATATATTAGCAATAAAAGCTAATCAATAAAGCTATATTATGTAAAAACCTAATCAACAAAGCCTTGACAATCTAGTGATTACATGAAAAGTTTTCATTCATAAAGCCTTGATAATCTCATTTATATATTTTCTATGCAAACCAAGATTTCTCTTTTGGATTAACATTAAAGGCAATAACTAAACTAAACTAAATGTGAAAATGGGACTCCATTAAGATCTCTTCAATAAAACATGATTTTTGTCTATATCAGATTATAATACCTGTTGCAAAGGTGTTATGTATTTAGGCTAAATCAAGCGAAATCCAATCAAAACTGTAGTGGACCTCTTTCAATGTGACTGACAGACAACCGTAAAGGGGAGACAGCAATATACATCCACATTAGATTAATAAGTATTCAACTTACAGTACCACAAGATTTATCATCATTTCTTTTCCAGTGCTTCTTATTTTTCTTTGTAGTAGCACTTGGTACCATCTGAGCATGATGTCTTACTTTTGGATTCAAGTTCAACAAATTCTAACAAAAAAAGGAGAAAAGAAAGACAATCTATTTGAAAGATCATCATTTGTTTCCCACTGACCTCTATCTAACTTTAATTGTAAATCAGAAGTTTGTGTCACTAATAAAAACCTAGAAGTTGGTGTTCAATGTCAGAAAGGATTACCCCACTGCCCTTGTTATCTATTTGCAAATACAAATGCATAAATCCAATATTTGTTTAATTCTTACAAAGGTCAAATTCCTTTGTTATTAAGTTATCAATATAAGAGAAAGAGAAGTATTCAAGATAGTTTTACACTATAAAAAAACAACCTATGGACTATGGATTTTTAATTCAGTTGAACCCTAGACAAAATTATGCATCACCAAACAATAAGCTTATCTAATAATATATTTCATTTCCTGTGCATAGTAGAACATTTAACTGCACAAACCAAACTATGTGAGAAAAAAATCTTTATTATGTACCGTTCTAATTAAGTTAGTATAATTTTATAAAGAGTTGGCCATACACTTTATAGTCCTATAATGTAAAGGCAAGGCTGGATAAATAATAGTGTGCCTGACATATTTTTGATACCCATCAATTTTATATTAGATAAGCTTAAACATTGAAGTATTGATCTCTTGCACACATATGAATATGAAAGCGTAAAGGAATGATTGGAAACATTAGAAGCGTTTTTTGTTGACCATAGCCTACTGAAGAAATATTGCGATATAGGCCAATTCATATATATTTATCATATTTGAAATATGAGACTCTATTAACACTGTATGTATTTGTGTTGATGAAAATGCTAAAGATGGAACAATTATCTTTAGGAAAATATAAGTTTATGGAAGAGATTGAAGTCAAAATATTTGATAGAGGAAATTTGTGGAAGGTAAGACAGTAAGTGTAGGTAGGCTATTCCTTTAAAATTTTAAATCATCAAACCTTATACATGTATTTCTATGTGCCTTAAAGTATTATCATAAAACATGTGACATGCAATTGAAAATTTTATTTTGGATATTTGTGAAATTAAAAAATATTTCAATTCTGAGATCGTTGTGGACACTGCTGAAGTGTTGGTAGACGAGTAGGGCAGGATTATCATATACAGCCTTATAGATTAAGAAATAAGAAGTCCTGTTTTGTCTATGCTGCAGAGAAATTGTAAAGATATAATAGCAACAACATATGCAAATAACAAATTGTATAAATAAAAAAGCTGTTCACCTCAATATCAGGAACCTCCTTGCTAAGTTTGCCTGACATCATGAACTACTTGTTCTCAAAGCCAGCTCTTTCAGTCACTGACCAACTTACAGTTACATCGACAGCTTTCAGTATTTAATAGTCTTGACAGACCGTTTCTATATATAACTCTATGGTCTGGACAAACAAATATAGGTCAAATAAGCCATGATTATCCAGACCTAATTTTACAATTTATTATCTCCCTTGGATGCATTTTCAGTAAAGAGGCGAATTAGGTCATTCCTGAAAGAAGAAAAAAAAATTGGAAAAAATCAGTAAAAGCGTAGATCCAAAGACGACAAGCAATAGATCAACATCATGTCGAAGTCAACTGTAGCTTATTTTTATGATCAAGATGTTGGCAATTTTCACTATGGTGAGAATATCGAGTTTTCAGTTTTATGCTCAACAGTTCTCATCCGCAAACACTCAATAAGTCCAAAACTACTATTATTGTTGTTGTTTATATAAACTGAAATATAATTGGATTCTGACACTGGCACTATCACTAGTAGCTACAGTGGGATACTTGGCCTACTAGACTTTGTTTTTAACTCAATCTTAATGAAATGTAAAATTGCAGCCTATGTTTGTTTTTTCTTAAGGTTTAAGTCACTAACTAAGTGTAGTAACCTGCAGAAAAATAAACACAAAAGAAACACTTACACTTACTCCTACTTGATCAGTTGATCTAGACCTGTGTTTAGGAAAATAGTTGTACTGAAATAGGTTGTGGTCACCACAATAGGGGTAAATTTACCTGCTGGATTGGTTGGAGCCGCATGGAGAAATCATCTATTTATTTATTATTGAAAGATTGTAACTTTTAATTTGTTATAAGCTAATCTAATTTTCAATTGGGTTTATTTACATCATGGTCACCAGTTAATGCTGTGAAGCTGAAAAATGATTTAAATAAAAAACTCATTTGTTTTCTTACAGGTCAAGGGCATCCAATGAAACCTTACAGAATCACATTAACTCATGGCTTAGTTCTTCATTATGGATTGTACAAGAAGATGAAGGTAACAGCTTAACATGTGGTTCTTTAATTTTCAGCATTTTTTTTTTACATGTATGAGATTCATTATGATATTTATACCGAAATATGCAGCTATAACACATTTTTATACTCCCTAAGCTCCCTTTGGAATACTTATAGGCATAGATCAGAGGCACCCATGTCTTTCTTTCCATTCAAATTACCTCATTAACACTCAAGAACCTACAGTTTTAAAGTGAGATTGATATGCTTGCTATGGGTAAACATAATGAATTAAAGATTATATTTGAATTTGAGCACTTTTTGATGCTAAGAAATAGAGTTAACACTGCATATTGAGGTTATTTTTGAAGGAATACAATGAATATTTTCAAAGTTTCTACAAAATTTCTGGAGTATTATACTTATATTTATAATTAAAAGAAATCAAAGATTTATCAGAGTACTGGTACACTAATAATATTTACAGGTATACAGACCATATAGAGCCACCTTTCATGATATGTGTAGATTTCATTCTGAGGAATATGTTGATTTTTTAAGAAGAATTTCTCCTCAAAATGTACAAGAATTCACTAAGTGTTTGAGTATGTTTAATGTGGGTGAAGATTGGTGAGTAACAGTTGATTATATTCAAGCAGATTTTCTTTAAAAGCTGATCTTAAAACATGTGGAAACAATCATTCACTTCTTACATTGATGTTTGTTCACTTGTGTTTTCATTTACATTTGTGCAAGGAATCAGGCATCTTTAACTAGAACTAGATAAAATTAGATTTTGAAACAAATAAAATGTGATTGAATCAAAATGTTTTTATTACGGTATTATTATATTATATATCATCTTACAAGCAATATTGTTATTTTCAGTCCTGTATTTGATGGAATGTTTGATTTTTGTTCAATGTACACAGGGGCATCTTTAGAGGGAGCTGTTAAACTCAATAATGAGGTTAGTCTGATTGTTTTCCTGTTGATATTTTTGTTGTTGTTTATGTTACTAATGTAGACAGACAAGCACATGCAGTTTGTAATTTTATTTCCCCTTTTTGAGGTCTTTCATCAAAAAGCTAATAGGCTTTGTCAACATCTCCGAACAGCACCATCCGACTAATAGATAAGAGAAACCATTATTTGTATTCTGTATGACTCTGAATAATTAATTTCAATCAATCTTTCCTACAGCATTGTGATATTGCTGTGAACTGGTCAGGAGGTTTACATCATGCTAAAAAATATGAGGTAGGTAAATTTTTATTTATCTTAAAGCAGTCTTCTTTCTGTTCAGACTTTGTCTAAATATTCAGAAGTCCATGATACTGTAGCCAGACTTGATTGTTCAGGGGCATGGTTCCTGCGTACTCGAAATTCGTGGATTATCATGGAATTTTAAAATGGGTTTTCAAGGTCTGGAATTACGCTGCACCTGCTTATGTAGCAGTAATATATAAGGACGATTCCATTCTGTAAGGTAAGTTTGATATGCCAATCCATTCCCCTTGCCCCCTGTAGCTATGAGCCTGTTGAAAATAAATTGAAATATCTCCTGTATTTGTTGAATGTTAATTATTGATGTATTGATGTATATTTTTAGGCATCAGGGTTTTGTTATGTCAATGATATTGTGATATCTATATTAGAGTTGTTAAAGTAAGTAGGACAATCAATGGGGATATTTGGGAATATAAGAAAAATATTGAACTTTGTTAAAGTGAACAATCTGTCATAGACCAATATTGATTTTATAAACATACATACTGTTATATAGATACTTATTATTCTTACATTCCAAATTAAATTTTTCTTGTCAACTAAAAAGTTCTTACATATGTGTAATTTTAAATGTTTTTTTAATAAAAAGTTTGATGGCATATGCCAATTTATTTCATTACAATGTTATTTATATTTGTATAAGGTACAGTTTGTAAAAATAACTACATAAATTAATCATAAATTAGACACTTTTAAAGGGAAAACTGTTCAAATAAATATATTAGAAGTTGTATTGTGAAAATTGCAGTATGACACAAACAATAACATGAAAAAGAGTTTCAAGGTAGAGAATGAGAGAAATGAATCACACACATTGGTACACATATAGAATACTTCAGCCTAATAAGAAACCACCTGTCATTGATGTGCTTGAATAGCTTTCATCTAATAAAGTTCTCATTATTGCACTTGTCATAATAGATATTTTCCTACTGTTATAGATATCATCCCAGAGTTCTGTATATAGATATTGATATTCACCATGGAGATGGAGTTCAGGAAGCCTTTTATTTAACAGATAGAGTTATGACTGTCTCTTTTCATAAATATGGAAATTTCTTCTTTCCTGGCACAGGTCAGTGATATTCTGTATAGTGATATTCATGAATTGGGAAAAAATAGATGCTTTATTAAGTGTTTTCCTTAAACTACTGGTTGTTGGGGTTTTACTCTTTCATGTTGAATTCCCAATCATCAGGCCCTGTATGCCTTGGTATGTCCATATGGTTTACATATATACTCAAACGATCTGCTTCCTTTCCAGTTTAAACATGGGGATAGTAGTTTGTATTTGACAGTTTTCATATAAGATACCATTAAGCATTTGAAGACTTGTATTTTGTCTTGACTATTTCAGGTGATATGTATGAATGGGGTTCAGAGAGTGGAAGATATTATTCAGTTAATGTACCACTCAAGGAAGGCATAGATGATCAAAGTAAATATAAAATAATTTATTAAACAATATACATCCAATGATGACCTTCTGTACAGTGGAAGAAAATTTTGCCAAATGGGATGTGTTCTTTCTTGCTATTCTTTGCCAGGTCTTGTTGCATATAGAACCTGTATTATTGACATCACTTGCATTATCTGTGTTAGGATGAATAGGATAGATGTTATGAAATTCCATCTCTTTAAATGATTGACCTACATGTTGTTTTTTGTCTTTTTAGCTTACATGCAGATATTTAAACCTGTCATTCAAACTGTAGTTGAGTTTTATCAACCTACGTGTGTTGTTTTACAGGTATATATTAAATATTACATGTATATTACATCCTATAATCAATACTGGATTACTAGGTTTCATTTCTCTTCATTGGTACATATATATAAGTAGCCCCTCCCATGCAACTCAGTACATTAGCCCTTTCAGATGAAGACAATAATACCTTTCATTTCTTTCAGTATTTTTCATAACCATATTCATGGTGGTTATTTTCTGTGACAAATGCTTTATTATAACAAATTGCTATTTATTTTAGTGTGGTGCTGATTCATTAGGAAGTGATAGATTAGGCTGTTTTAATTTAAGTATAAAAGGCCATGGGTAAGTATTTTAATGATAAGGTTTGATTGAACAACAACTATATTGATAACAGTTATATTGGTATCTATATATAGTTGACATTCATAAACAGTTGTTGATCAAAGTGCTTCTCTTCAGGGACTGACTGGCATTATCTCATAGAATATTTTTAAAAGGAAACATTTTGCTACCGGAAGTAAACTTAACAAACTTGTTACCTACATTTGAATGTACTGACACAGTCCTTACCACTGTTTTGTTTCAGTGAATGTGTAAAGTTTGTAAAAGATTTAGGATTACCTATGTTAGTGTTGGGTGGAGGAGGGTATACCAAGAAAAATGTAGCTCGATGCTGGACACATGAAACAGCTGTTTTATTAGATGAACAAATCAGCAGTGAATTGCCCTTCTGTGGTATGTATTAATGTCAATTAATTTAATGAGATGATTAAAAAAAACTATTTTATTACAGAAAGGTCATATTACAATATATATTTTATTGCTCCTGTTCCGTGACTTTAACATTTAGTTATTAGAAAGCTCCAAGCTTACAAAGATTATTTTAAGGATTTTGTGTTTGAAATTTGTGTTTTGTGATCAAAATAAAATACAAAGGAGGATTCACTTGAATATTGAATTGATCTATTTCAGAATATTTAGAATATTTTGCTCCTGACTTTTCGCTCCATCCAGATATTTCAACAAAACAGGAAAATCTTAATACAAAACAGGTACATATCTTATAGACTTTTTGTACTAAAGTGTTTCTATCCCAGCACCAGACAGGCATCTTGGCTTTTTAATTTCTCAGTATGAAAAAATAGATTGGTAAGGGTTAAATGGTATGACATCGTGGTATTATACCTTCACAGACTTTTTCTTTTCTTACAGTACCTAGATAGTATACGATTAACTATACATGATACATTGAAAAATCTAATTCATGCACCAAGCGTCCAGATACAAGATGTACCACCAGATTTATTAAGTTTAGAAAATACAGAAGAACCTGATCCAGATGTTAGAAATCACACTGATGAAGTTGATAAAAGGTGGGATTATCTTTCTTTTGTTAAACCACTATGCTTATTACTTCTCAGAATGAAAATCCAATGTCTGTTAGATGTCATGTTAAGTAGAACCTTATAGGATTGCATTAAACAATGAATTTTTCTTTTTGAAATACTACAGTAATAATTTGAAAAAAATATAGCTCCAATTCGCTGTATTATATGATTAATCTTTATCCTGTTTTAGGGTGGAACCAGCCAATGAATTCTATGATGGTGACAAAGATAATGATAAAGAAAATGATGGATTTATAGAAGTCTGATGATTCAACTATCTATAAATTTTAAAATGGCAGCTTTGTAAATAATCATTGTATAAGCATCCTCATTGTCATCTTATTTTACCTCATTATGTGAACTGTAATGGATACATGTACAGTAAAAAGATTTTCATTGTCATTTAAATACGCAAAAAAATCATAGTTCATTTTATTTACCCACAATTTAACTACAATCAATTTTATATCATTAAATGCATATTTCATACAAAAAATAATATCTCTTGAACAATAAGTGTAAATAAAATAAAAAGTCATATGCCCTGAACTCCAATTATATTACTTAAAGCGTGAGACATTAACTGCCTGTGTGTGACTTGATAACGGCCGCTCTACTGGCCACTCAGGTATATATTGCGTAATTATGTTAGGGCCGCTAAGATAAACAAGTGAAGGATACTGCAATATATGTTGCTTTTTTTTGTACCTTTTGCTCCTAAATGTTATTCAAATTGTAAAATCAGATAGCAAATTTCATATCAAATATGGAGACAATGTCAATCATGTTGTTATTATGTTATTATTTCACTTATTATCCCATTGTCAAGTCAATTTTATAGTAAGACATGTCTTTGTAATGTGCTAAACATGTTTTTCTATTCTCTGTATGTAATTAACATATAACTTAATAATAATGAATCAAAGTGTTTTCTTTAAAAATATTCTCATATACAATATTTACATTAATATACACCTTTCATAATATTAAACATTCATATCAAAACATTCATTCTATATTTACATGTGAGCAAAAAAAAGCAAAATGGTTGAAGGTGAGGCAGTTTCCCTGAATTTTTAGTCATCCTCATCACTCCAAGTGTCGGTTGTAGCAGCTATTCTTGATGTAAAATTACTTTTCTCTTTACTGTTAATTTTTATACAATTTTCATAGACATCGTCAGTACTGGGTAGCCACACTAGAATATTTCTATCATTACCACCGCTATATAACTCTTGTTTATCACAATGATATACACAACAATTCACTTGATTATAATGCCCTCGTAATATTTTGATTCTTGTGCCTTCATGTAGGTTAAATAGCATTAAGTTACTATCGTCCGGTACCATAATTACATCTGGACAGTTACCAGTTGTCACTGAGATTCCAAGGGATTTACGTCCATCATTTGATATACTGCCATAATTCACTAGAGAGTTTTTACCCGTATTAGTATTCCACAGTCTGAGTCTATTATCTGTGCCGAACGTTACTAAATGTAAACCATCATCAGTGAAACATAATCCATTCACACGTCCATTGTGAGCTGTTTTAACTAAAATATATGAATTTTGGTTTTTAAACAAGTATTTTATTGAATTCTATAAACCATGGATAAAAGGAAGCTTCAAAAAATGTATACCCAGTTAAAGGAGCCTTTCTATTCTTTTCTATAATCGATAAAGTTCAAGTTTAAGAATAGACATCTGGTTCTCTTTCAATTTGATACAAATGATGATAGAAGTTTTAACTGTCATCAATTCCAGAACACCATTAACAGTCCTATGGGCAGATATTGATGTTAGTGTTACAGTGTAGGCCATAGAAAATTTCAGTATTACCTTTATTGTGAGCAGAAGCAGCTTCTCCATTATGTTGATCTAATGACATGATACTTCCTTTAGCTTTTCTTATATCCCATAATAACACACCATTATCAGAACTACAAATGTGAAGAGAAATTTTATTGTTCAATCTACTGAGCCAACATAAATTTCAGATGCCTTCATTAACTTGAATTTTACAATTCTAAAGCAGTCCATTAGGAAACTCGCAAAGCTTTAGGCCAATTAGATATTTATAATGAATAATATAGATACTTACCTGCCTGATGCTAAGATAAATTCATCTCTAGTTGACCATTTCACACACAGAACAGCTGATTTATGACCTTTTAACATCTGACTATATGATCCTGCTCTGAGATCTATTAATTTGATGGTTGACTTCTCACATCCCACTGCTATTAAACTGTGCTTAGTTGAAACTGGGGACATATGATGACTGTATATGATGCCCTCAAATGAATATGAATCGGCAGGCTAAAAAAAAATAAAAAGGTACATGAAGTAACGCAATGAACATTTCTATACAAAGTAAAGAATTACAAAAATTATGTCCGCTGTTTTATTTTAAAAAAATAAAATAAAATTACCAGTAGTTTATTTGTATCCCATACTTTAAGTTCTTTATCAGTGCCACTGGTCGTAAATAATCCAGTGTCTAAAGGATACCATTGAACAGTTTCAACACTTCTTTTATGGGCATTGATACTGGAGTTAGGAATATGACAGATCTGTCGATATCTTAGTTTATCTTCACCTGGTAAATCTTCAAGATCGTGAATAGCTATTCCACCATTTCCTCCTCCAGATAATAAACTGAAAAAAAAAGAAAAGAATGATAATCCTGATAATTAAAGCTCTTAAGACAATTTATAAAATAAAAATAAATTAAGGACAAAAATCACAAGACGATATGGACAATATTTGATCTTACATTTTATAAAATAACCAGCTAAATTTCATCATACTTACTATCTATTCTCAATAGAATCGATATCCAATGCATTAACAACTCCTAGAGCGTTGCTTTTTTCAATGTCTCGGTGTTTACTCAATTCAAGACTATAAATACGTCGAGTCACCTCTGCTCTTCGCAGAAGTGAGGGGTCTGAAGAGCCAGACTCACGGCTGGTCAAAAATTTTAACATGGCATAGTCACTTGAAGTGTTAATAGTCAAAACATATTGGTAAAAATGTAAAAAGTATAGTTTCAATAAATTGCAAAACACAACTCTTTTGTCAAAGAAGTCGAAAACGATATGGTTTACACAAAATAAAGAATAAATCTTTGCTAATAATAAAACGAAACACTGTTGTTTTTCCCCAAGATTATTGGTCAATCACTAAAAATGTATCTTAAAGCATTCGAATGCATCACCGCTGGGATGATGTTAATATGAATTAAAGGAAAAATGAAACTTTAAGAATGGTATTGGCATATTGTTTTTCGTTCGTTTTAAGATACATTACATAGATTTCGTTCTTCGAGCTTTAAGGATAAGATAACTCTTCCATTTAAAACACGTGAAAAATGTCAACAAACACATTACATTACGAAGGATGCAATTTCTTTCGACAAAGACTTGTTTTAGCAACACTTAGTGGTCGATCAGTTAAAATAAAAAAGATACGTTCTAAAGACGATGATCCAGGTCTCAAAGGTAATGATTTACGATGTATTTGTAGTCGGTAACAGTATTGCTATCATTGTTGTTTATATTTACTATGTCTATGACATTAAATTTATGTAGGGTGGATTCTTATTATTTCCCAGGTATAAATCTCTTTTTGACTTTTTTTTTCTTCAGATTTTGAAGCAAGCTTTATTAGATTATTAGACACACTTACTAATGGTTCTAAAATAGTTGTCAGTGAAACAGGTAAGCTATTCTGATTAGAATTTACTAACAACCTTTACTGGATCACTTTCGATTTTTTTGTCAAAATTGCCCTGAGCCTGCGACCAATCAATTGATGACCGTATCAACTAGCTGGTTTTAAAGACTTGTGCCACTTATTATCATTTGTATATGTTTTTTTTTATTTTAGGAACAAGTTTGTTGTATCAGCCAGGTATTTTAGTGGGAGGATCATTTGAACATGACTGTAATCCACAAAGATCTATAGGTTACTTCTTAGAGGCCATTATTTCATTAGCTCCTTTCACCAAAAAACCTATCACTGCAAAATTAAGAGGCGTTACAAATGATAAAATAGATCCATCTGTAAGTATGCTACTTATTACCTATGATATTTCTTTTTGTTTAATTTCTTACAAATTCAAATTTATAACTTAGTTCATGAATGATGATGTATATTTCTTTAATTCTTAGGTTGATCTAATTCGTTTAACAACTTTACCAATAGTCAAAAAATTCTTAGGAACAGATGAAGGAGTAGAAATCAAGGTATGATATCATCGAATATAAACATCTTTAAAAAGCAAAGGGCATTGTCATTAAGTAAGTGTGTCTATGGGAGCAAACTGTTGACTAATAGAATCAACATTTAAATATAATGAAAATAGATAATAGGGTAGAAAAAAGTTACTTGTCTTCATTTCATACTTTATTTCAGATTAATAGAAGAGGAGCAGCCCCTGATGGTGGAGGAGAAGTTTTATTTACTTGCCCATGTCGTCAAAAATTACGTCCAGTACAGTTTATAGATCCTGGAAAAATCAAAAGAATTAGAGGAATAGCGTATCCTTTGAATGATGTTCATCACCTTTCAGTAATTGTGATATTTTAATTGTATGTTAGTTAAAGAAACATAAGATATATGGATTTCCCTGTCTTTATTGTGTCTTAATTAATTTTCATCATATTGTTATATAATTCATTTATCTTGGTAGCGCTGCCTTGTATGAGTATGTTGAACAGTAAATAATGTCAAAAATAGTTCATAAATCTTCTTTAGATAGTCCTTAACTTATATAAGATGGGCAGCTCGAGTGTCACCAGCAGTAACTAACAGAATGGTTGATGCTACAAGAAGTATATTAAATAAATTTTTAACAGATATTTATATTTATACTGATCATGTCAAAGGCAGTCAATCTGGCAAGTGAGTACATTTTGAATAGGATTTCACCCTCAGATTGTTGTGAATTTCTCACAGTGGCAATTATTAAAATTAGTGTTAAAATGGACAATTCTAACATTCTGTTCTCTATTTAAACAAATTTGGAGCTCTACCAAAACCCCCTTTGATTAACATGGATTAAACTACAGCCTTGATAAGCATTTTTTTTTATGATATTTCTTTCAGGTCTCCTGGGTTTGGCTTAACATTAGTTGCTGAAACAACAAATGGTGCATTCCTTGGTGCTGAACAATCATCTAGTGCCAAAGGATCTGGTGACCCTCCTACAATACCTGAAGATTTAGGCAAAGAAACAGCTAAAAATTTACTGGAAGAAATATATAGGGTAATAAATTTTGTTTCTTTGTTACTCTTAAACTTTGAATTGAAAGAAAATAGGAATCTACCAAGAACATTATCTTGTTAACACTCAAGAAGGCACAATTCTAGAAAGATTTGTGCTAAACTTAGTGCCATTGTTTTCAAGTCCTTTCTTTTCCATTTAATCACACAAGTTAATGTTTTTAGGGAGGTTGTGTTGATACCACTAATCAAAGTGTAGCAGCATTATTTATGGTATTAGGTCAACAAGATGTGTCCAAAATACAAATAGGACAATTAACTCCTTACAGGTGAGATTATATTCCAAGGTTTATTTACACATTGCAAAGAAAATTCAAAATTGCAATTTACCCAATACATATGAGTTGAGGAGTTTAAATTACTAGCTGAACTTATTCATTCACGTGTTATTTAGTTGCATGTCAAAGCGATCACTCTTGTCTACCAAAAGAGGCGACTAGTCTTAAACTGTAACTTTTTTACGTAAATTGCAATCATTGACTCCCGCAATATACATGTAGTTATTATTTTTTATTTCAGTATTCACTTCTTACGGCATATCAAAGAGTATTTTCAGTTAATGTTTAAAATTGATCCAGTACAAGTTGCAGAAGAAGAGGAAGATTTACAGATAGGAGGAGAGAAATTATTATTAACTTGTGTTGGTATAGGATATTCTAATGTCAGTAAAGCTATTTTATGATCCATGTTGTTTGTTTTTTTTATTTTCACTATGTGATGTGGTTAAGTAACATATGTTCAAGTTCCACAGGATAAGATGTTGAATAAGCCAAGAATGTTCAGAAGCTGTATAATTTGTACAAATATGCCTATTCTAGTTATCAATTTTTTTTTTTACTTCTCCTTCATATTTCCGTTGGGCCAATAAGTATTCATATACTTTTGTTCTGTTTTAATATGAATTAACTAACATACACAAGTTTGTCTATTTGTGTTTTTAACGCAAAAATAAATTTGCTATAAATGAGCACAAAAAACAGGGCATTGGTTAAAAATTTAATATACTATATAAAATTAAGAATCAATAATATGATAAGGCAAGATAGTTAAAGTTTGTTTATATTCTTCTATATTAGTTATATATGTTCTGGCAGGGTCTTCTATAGATTGGAATATCAAACAATCATCACTACTTTTTTCTATTTCATTATTGATACACATATCTTTTCCTTTCTTTCCTTCAACCTGAAATGGTTAGAAATAAGTTGTCAGGCTATGTAACATGTACCCACTTCGGAAGCTGTTGGAAATGAAAACACATTAACCAAATATGTACGTAATGCAACCCAATATCGTTTTATGTGACAGTATCTATGCAACTTTTATTAAAATCTCTCAGAAATTTGTCTTTTCAAAAGCTAAATGATTTTAAATAAAAAACAAAAAATTATTCAATCAACATTTTATAAGATATTTACAAACCTGTAAACAAAGTTTTTTCTGTTCCTTATTCACATATTGTTTGTACCAGTCTAATAATTCTTGGTGAGTTATTTTTTCTAACACACTTATCTATAAATATCAATATGTAATATATAAAATGCATATTAATTACAGTACAATTGAATTACACATTCAAGTACAATTCATGAAAAAAAAAAATACTGTAATTTAATAATACATGCTGATAGAGTTCACTTTAGGCATTAAAATATAATGGCTTTTTATAATGCAACAAAAACATGACAGTGTGTACTCATCATTCCACCCCCTCACCTAATAAAAAAAACTCCAATAAGAATAATGTATTTGCATTACTTCAGGAGACTTAGAAATCACAAGTGCTCTTTTTTTCTGAAGATTTGAATATGAAACAAACCTCTCTATCTCTCCTATCAAATAAATAATATTCTCTACTGATTTCTCTCCACAATCTATTTCCTTCATCTTCTAATGTTACTTCATCTATTAATTTATTGGTGATTACAGATTTTACCTATAGAGTATATAATTAAAATTTTTATCAAAATATTTCATGTGTCTTACAAGGTCATACTAAAAATGAGTGCGTTCAATGTTTGATTCATTATCACCCTCAGGATCACCCTCACTTTGATACAAATCATCAGTATTGAAATTAATATTTTGCCTGTTTGAGCTAGGATCTAACATTTCTACTTTGCTTTGCCTTCACATACCAAGTAAACGAAAAAAAATTTAAGATTACTTACTAAACCATTGAATTCATCTACAGTCATATCTGTTAATATTTGTTGAAAGTCTTGTAGAAAATTATTGATATGGTCATCTATTGTTGACAAACTGAAAAACAGATTATTAATGTAGCTCATAACTTTTCTCAAACAGTATATAGATAGTGAAAGTAGGCAACCAAAACTCTGTGTTAAATTGAAGCAAATTTTTATATCTGATAATTTTGTCTCGTTTTGACAGTGTCCTAATGAGATAAATTCTCTGCTTATCTGAACATGTTCAATTAATTGAATATTCATCTAATATTACTTACCTAAATTTATCAGCTTGACTTTCAACTGATACTTGTAACCCTAATATACCATTATTCAATCGACTATTAGCACCAACACTATATCCTAGCTGATGTTTAGTTCTCAAAAAATCAAAACATGGCTCTTTCATACGATACTAAAATAGAAAGAGAATATTTTAGTTATAATATGGCAAGATTACTTCTATACTGTGATCAGTGACCTTTTTTGAAAGTCAAATTTGATATCAAATGATGAAATTGAGCTGTAAATAAGTGGTTCAATTTTCAGTTTAGTAGATTAAAGTAATATTTAAAAATGAGAACTTACCGCTAAGAGTTCATTCAATACTGAATGATATATAGATCCTGGTACTGATTGATAATAGGCTATAACACATGAATTATTGTCATCTTTATTAACACCTTCAACACAGCAATATATACTTCTCTTATCTATCTCTCTATAACATCTCTAAAATAAACAGGATATTAAAAATATAATTTCTTTACTTGTATGTTGAAATTTGTAACCAGTAACTGGCATTTTCAAATTTGAAACCAGAAGATCCTCTGTTTATTATGATATTCAATTTTATGTTTATCATTTACATTTATTTCTGGTTTGAATCATTCTTACCTTTGGCTTTAAATGTTTTGCTGGAACAGCTGACTGCAATTTATTTTTCAACAAATCACCCATGCTCTTAACTTCCTGAAAGATTGCAAGATTTCTTATAATGATAGAATCTATACACTTGTCAATTATCTTAAACAATTATTGGATATCACTATAACAAAACATACCTCTTTGTGAAAATTTCCATAAATAAAAGAATCAATATAGAGATTTTGTCGTAATTGTAACATAAAGGTATCTAACATTGACTGGGTGACAGATGATAAATTTTGATATCTATCAGGTACTGGATTATAATTCGCTTCTAATACTGACATCTCTAACATTCTAAAATATAAAATATTACATTTCATAATATAAAACATTACAGTGGCATTTAGTAACTGGGGTATGAATAACTGGACACAATTATATGGATAACAATTACTTTAATAAATAACTTGCAACGTTTCGACAATGATCCTTTCGTCTTTATCAAGCAATGATTACATTTCATGTTACAAATACTTCTTTTGTAAATAATCAATAGAAAGAAACACATAACAAAGATCAATAAATACAAAGTTCCATAGTCTGTCATGTCTGATTTTATGATTTCCACATTTCTTTTCCACTAGAATGAGCATAAGGAAATAATTAAAAGTGTATTTGATTGAAAAGATAACTTACTTGGCAAGTTCATATGGTTTTATCATTTCATTATAGTATGCTTTCTTTAACTGTATTTTCACAGCATCAAATAATTCAGATGTACAACTAAACTGTTCTATATGATTTAATAAGGCTTCTAAGAATAACTGAAATTTAAAAAAATATGGCCTAACATTAACAAATTGGCTTCTTCTACAGTCCCAACACTGTAATATAAAATAATACTAATCTAAATAAGAAATATTTCTGTCATTACTTACTAATAATTTGTGATTAAAGCCACTTAATGTTATCAGAACACCAGTTGGAAATCCTTCAATTGAATATCTGGAATAAAAGATAGAGAGATATACCTTTAAAGTTCTTTCTGGATATTACTTTAGAAATATTTCAAGTTCTTTCAAATCTTACCCTACTTGGTGCCGTGGGTTCCAATCGTCAATGCAAGAAAATTCTGATGCTTGCCCTGCCAGGTTTTAAATCACAATTTCATTAGCAACAGGTTAAAAAAAATTCTAAGATACATGAGAATGGCAATTGACTGTTTGATTTGCTGATTAATCATTTTTTCAAAGAGGATAATGTAAAACTTACTCATAACCTGCTATTACTGCTGGATATACTGTTTCTGTTAAATTTTGTAGTAATAAATTAATAAATAAATCACATAACACAGCACTGAAATATACATCATAGAATTTATCAAGGGAAAGAGCTTACAGGGCAAAAATCACAAGTCACATAGTTTACCAACCTCTGATTTTATAATTGTAATTATCATGGTAAAATCAGCTTCACTATTCACAATACTCCATTTGATGAAGTCATCTGTCCCATATTCAGTTGTCCACACATCCACACATGATAAGAATGTTAATGAGAGAGAGACCTTTGCCTGCTATCAGTTGAATACATGTATCAGAATAATGACAAAAAAATCATCACTTGCATTCAGTTAGCAAAATGTTATATAGTGGTCTGTTATCAATTAGAAATATGAAAAGACCTACTTTTGTATAGTATCAAATATAACATGACTAGTTAATCTTAAATATATACACCCTGAAAAAAGAAAAACAGAAAGAAAATGATACACAAGAACCTGATTATCAATACATAATTGAAGTTTTTTATTAAATCTTTCACGTTGTTTTGTAAAGTTATATCAACCTACCTTTTGGAACATCAAATTTACAATCTTTTTTAAACCATACTTTACATCCATCATCTTCTAATATAACTTCAGGGTGCTGTCAAAATAACAATCAACTTTCACTAATTGATCAATGTGTTTCTTTTGCATGATAATTTATTATCTAAGCTGTAGAGTCTACTGATGAAAAATATGTTTAGACCAACATTTGAAAGTTGTTTTAAGGTATCATTATGGTAAATCTTAATATTAATGAGATAAAGTCAATTAATATACCTGTGTAGCTGTTTCACTGGAGATACTGAAATCGGACGCTGAAATAATAAATGATAGTCTATATATCATAGCACACCAAATTTTGATTTTGGTCGAATATAAAATCTAATGTTATCATGTCAACTTGTGAAATATGGATTTCATTGATATAATATCATAGAATATGAACATAAATCACAACATACCTATATATTTATTATCTTCAGGTAAAAATAAACCTTTGTTATCAGGGGGATCTTTACAAAAAAAATACAAAATAAACATATTAATTACAGATCTCAGATTTGTATAAATAAAATTTGAAGAAATTTTCAGTTTATATATTCATATCTGTTGAAGACAAAAAAGGATAAAATGGATAGTTGAAAGTTTAGTGTATAATTATTAAAGATACAATATTATTATATTCACCTTTCCATTGTTTTATCCATTCAGGATCAATATCTGAAAATAACAACCAAACATTTCACCTTCTCATTTCAAGTAGTACAGTCAGATTAACTGATGGTGTCATGCATTTGATGCAAATTAAGAAAATTTGTATACAAAAAACCATATATTATGTTCTGTATGTCTATCAAATTTCAACATTAATTGAGAATAGCAAAAAATTGTAGACTATACTGCTTCTAACTTTTGAAAGGAGATGAATAAATATACCTTGAACATGATATTTAGTGCCAAACCATTTCTCTTCTTTATCATAAATACAATCATTATCAAAGGCTTTGGTTCTTAATATGATACATGCTTCATCTGGCTTTAAATTCATTGTACAATCTTCTATTAACTGAAAATAAACGTGTGTAAAAGAACAAAAAATATATCTTTCATTTGTTTTAAAGACAGATTCAACATCTAATTACAACATTAACCCAAATAAAGTCTTTAGATATAAATCAAACAGTTGACTTAAGGCTCCATTTTCCTTTGAAAGCTATCTCTTTGCCTTCTTAATAGATGTAAATCAGTACCTTTTCATTCCAATCATATAATAGATGTCTACCAGTAATATAATGTTCTACAGGAAACATCTGCATATTTTCACTCATTTCTTCAACATAATCAATTGATTCACCCTGAAAAGACAGTATGATTTTAGATGATCATCTACTTTCAGTTAGCTCTTCTTTTTAGAAATATCTGCTTATAGTGGCCTTCAGAGAACAAATGGGAAAGATCGATGGCAACTGGTGCCACTATGCATCAAGTGCTTTATTTGCTTGTTCAATAATTCTTCTCCTATCAGCTATATAAATCATTTCTGACACCCTATGCATAACAATTTACTGAAAAACTAAACATACCATTTCCTTCCATCTAAATTTATTTTCTTCTATGATTTTCAATTCATCAAATATACGTTTCTGTGGTCCCACAGTTTGTAAAAGGCGAATATATTGAAATATAACCATCAAAACCTACAAAAAAAAAAACATTGCATTATTAAAATCTGATTCCCAAACTACAGTTTAAACCCATTATTGATCATAGATAAATCATCTTTCTCACTTTACAGATAATCCAGGATTCCATTGTAGCTTCTCCATGAGTTTGTGTATCCAATCAATTCACAGGAATAATACTAACCTCTTGTATTCGTTGAAGACCTTGATCTGTTAATGTTATATTAATAGTAAAACCGGAACAGGTAGAATTATTATCCAGTCCATTATAGCTACTACCACCAGACAGACCCAGTGCTAATGTTCTGAAATCGAATCAATCTTTAAAATTATCAAGGCGTTAGGTTAATCCTTTATCAGCAATCAGCATGTGAAACACTGTCCATATATTAATTCGTCTGAAGAAACCATTGTGATAATACATCAGATTTGGTCCTTTATCATCACTAAACACATGAAAATCATATGATAAACTTTACACATTATCAAAGCAATGTCTATATAGTCCAAGGGCTGGAAAGCATGAAACTTACCTGTTTTTTAAATATGATAAAATGCTGCCTTTTCCTTCATGAGTTATCAATGTTGACAGATACTCTAATGGTTTACATCTACAAAATGTTGAAAACATAGTAAATAACCTTAAATGTGGACTCAAGATTGGATCTTGAAGGAAGGTATTAAGAAGGTATATGTGATAGAATATATTATACTTATAGTAAATGTTCAATAACTACCTATATTGCTGTGATAAAGGTGGAAGATACCAAACTATGTCTAAACTATGTATGTTTTCAACCGAACTCACTGCAATATAAAATATTATTATTATAATATCTTATTTTATCAGAAATGTACAGCTACAAAAGAAACCAATCACAGATATGTTAAGAAGGACTGTCATGGAAAAGTGTTGTGTTGAGTGTATGCAACAGTGAGACGTGTACTTTATGCAACTGAGTGAGTAAATGAAAGATATTTGAATATATAAATTTGATTTCAACACTTAAATTCTCTAATATTTCAATAATCATTGTGTGAAATCCTACCTGTATAAAATCTTCCGAATTCTGCTGTTTTAAAAGGATCCTAAAACAAGAAAAATTCTATATACTAGCATTCTATATCATCAAAATCCAATTAATTCAACAAAAATAAATTCACTCAATCTAAGCAAAACCAAAATCAAACCTACCTTTAAATGGTGGAAACTAGGCTTGGGTTGGCCACTGAAATAAAAGAAGTATTAAACACTCATTTTCCCATTTTATAACAAATGATACATTAAATAGAAATAAAATAAAAGCCAGATTTTACCTGGATTTAATTAGGTATATAAAACTTACTTATTAGGTAAAGAAGAAAAAGATTCTCTAACATATTGTTCCAGAGTGTCTAAACTATCTGAAAAATTAAAACATTGAATAACTTGAAAATCAGGTTGTGACACAAGTAAAATTTACATTGATGATGTTTCTGCTAGACTATTTACACTTCTGAACAAGTGAAAATGCGACCTGAATTTTTAGATTTCATACAGTTAAGACAATTCTACCAGTTGTATTTGCAAGCTATAATATACTTAATAAATGCCTCTTTACCTTTAGATTCAACAGCTAGTGTCATATACTGTGCTGAATACATCTTTTCATAAAATCCTCTTAAATTAGCATAAATATTAACACCTCTTTCTTCAGGTAGTGTCTTTAGTGTTTTTAAATTACCTGAAATAAATAAGTCAATTATTCACAAACTAAAATATGCATCAGATCAGGCCCGTAGTTAAAGGAGGGGAAAGAGAACAAATGGATTGTCCCCCTGAAAAAATATTCAGACAACTGACCAATTCCATTACTGCAACTAAACACCCATGGCCCTTCCAGATATATTGCTTGCCCTTCCAAACAATCAAATCTGACTGCAGGCTTGCATCAGATCAAACAAAATCGGAACATGTTGACATTTTTTTCAAATGTAAAATAACTGATGCTATAAATCTAAACTTACCACAGAGGAATTTATCCATTGGATGACCCTTTTTAGCTCTTAATGAAATAATTTGATTGACTCTATCGTCATCATCTGGTACAGACATCTGAAATTCTATAGATTGTAAAAAGTTTTTTTTAGTTAGCACTCACTTGGATAATGCCACCAATATTTGTTTCTTACTGTTGCAAATATAAGTTGTCCAGTTTTATGATACAAACCAGAACCCCCCTCACCACTCTGACGAAAGTGTTGACAAAGCACACATATAACCAGTTCTGATCTATTTCAAACAGTTGGAATCTAGATCAATGGGACTAAGGGGTAGTCCAATGCCTGAAATGTTACGGTTTTAAAAACAATGTGATTTAAACTTTATCAAATGAAAACATACCACTATCAACAGCTTGTACCTCTCTATCCACACAATCTTCACGTAACAAGGGAGATATGAAAAAATTAGCAAACATATCCAATGATTTCTGAAAGTTCTTTTTCTGTACTTCAAAATAAAATAGTGTCTGCAATATAAAAGAATAATATTAATCAATTAAGCATCACATGCAACAGAAATATTTGTAGTCCAACACACTGATGAATAATACTCTATACAACTCTTACATGGGAGTGATATATTCTAACATGGTAGTAATCTTAACCAATGTCAGCTCTCTTCAGAAGATAATTTCAATTTAGTTTCTATTGAACCAACTTGAGAGAGATTTTTTCAATTCAATTTCACACCTATAAAGTATTGGAAACTGTAACACCCTCCGAATGGGGACAATATTTGTCTACTGTAAATGTACCCTCATTATGGTACTAGTACCTACTCTCTCACAATCTGTCCAAGCGTTAGAATAACCACCATGTTTTCCTAAATAATCATCTAGCTCATTTTCTGCTGGGTATTTCTCACTTCCCATAAACACCACTGTTAAAAAATTAAAGAAAATACATCAAAATTGTGTCAAAAAACAGGTAACAATTTGGGCCAATTTCACAAAATAAAAGGTTAAAATGGACTTCTCTTATCAAAGTTAGAGAGCTTATACAACTTACTGTGTTCAAGAAAATGTGCAAAGCCTGGAATATCATCAGGATCACAGAATGATCCATTACCAATACATAGTGCTGCTGCAGACTGAAATAGAATAGAAAAAATGACCTAAAGATCATTAGCATGAACAGTTATACAAATATTAGATGAGTTTGATCATAATCAATTTACAAGAGTGGGTCAATTGTTTGACATCTTGTTCTTAAGTTTTATTCATTCCTCTACTTTACCTCAGGAGCTCACAATGACTTTACACACACACAAATAAAGAGCATAAAATCTAATGGCAATAAGTCTTAACAAACCTTCCTTTCCCCAGATTTCTTTTTTTTATCATCTTCATCTCTTTCCACAGCTTCTTCTTCCATCTCTTCATCTTCTTCTGATCCTGACATTTCTTCATCTTCTTCATCACTTTCTTCTTCACTCTCATCTTCCTGACTAGCAGCATGACATTCTTCAGCTCCTGATGGATCTGATATCAATACAGCAGTTAACCCATTCTCCAAATTAATTACCCTAAAAACAAGAGAACAGATAACATTTGGGCTATTTATACTTAAAAGGAATACTGGGTACTTAATAATTCATTAATATATCCTGTGATGTTCATGATTTTCTTTGGCTGAAACCCTAGAAAAATCTTCACTATCAATAATCATAGGTGAGAATATTATATTATCAAATCTATAAGTTATCAATTGCAATATGACAATTATGACATGATTAACCTTACCTGTATTCCCGTTTATCATTAAGTGATTTGATTATATTCATCTTCTGGAATTAAATAAATGCAATTTTGACTTTAGTTAAATCAAATTAACACAACAAAATGCAATATTTTGTATTGCTGATGTTAGGTATCAGTGTTTGCTCAATGCACAAAACACCAGGGACCAAGCACTTGTGTAGACACTGGTTTTAAAACTGAGGAATCCCCATTACTAATCTATTCTGACCCTTCAACCTTCTCCTCCACAACACTGTTAAATTAGAGGAGGTTTCTGAAAAGCACCCTTAGCCTCTCAACAAATCTAGGCACCACCCCTTCTTGGAATGTAATAAAGATCTGTACCAACACCTTTTTTTAAAATTAGCTCAACAATCTGTCACAGCAATTGACATTGTTCAGTATGGTGTCATTTGGTACCTCAATGCCACCTTTGAAATGGGGCTACACTCACTGCCTTCTTGACCTCATTCGAATTTGAGCGTATCATAACTTCTACGTTTACATACCTTCTGAGTACTTGGCAATGCTGATCTTTGACGGATAGATATATGTTGACATTTAAATGTTTTCACCCTGAGATGAGGCTGATGATGTGTAGGTGAAAACAGTCGAACTGTCAAATGAACACGTGGGGTATATTTACGGAAATGACGTAATAGCTTAATCCCGATCATTGTGACGTAAACAGTCTGGATGATCAAGACAACCAAGCGCGAAGGAAATTTCAGGAATAAGTGACTGACTTCTGCTATAACTAAACACCATTTTAAGCCTTAGGTAAACTGATATTTTGTTTCTTTCATCTGAATCTTATGATGTCAATAGCAGAACACTTGCGCCTAAGAGCTTAAAGGTTATCGAAACCAACTGATCGAGGGCCATGTTTTGAGTTGATTGCTTAACTTTTGTCACGTGATCGTAAGTAAGGTCAAAAGTCATAAAACGAAAGTAGGCACAAACGTCGGCTTTTTTTAAGGCCCAACGATGCTTTCTTATGAAGATTCTTTTATGCATTATGCAAGAAATTTCAATTAACGAACGAAAATATAACTTTTGCAACTATTCCTATGACAGTCATGCTGCAAATGGTAGTATTTCCAATGGTTGTATATATCATCCACATTTCACATTTGGAGACCTAACTCTTTACAAAATTAAAAAAGGGACTCCATGACATGAACGTCATATTCGACAAGAGTTGTGCCTTATTTGAACTAACCTACTTTGTCAACAGGGCCCAGGAGTGGTTGGATTGCATGTGGTTATTAAAACAGTATAGTATACGGCCATATTGCAAAATGGCATTGTCCAAAAACTAATATTAGACTCACAAGAAATCACTTCACACCAGGGAAATTCCTAAAATAGTAAACAATAACAATATTTGTAAAGTAACACAAAAACCAGAAATTCTAGCAGACCAATCAAAAAAGTCAAAAAGTCTGTACATATATGGACATTGTGATTGGTTAAAACACAAATTGAGAATCATCTCAATACACCATAACACCAATTAATCAAATAGTTTGCCTGATTTGACACTAAAAGAAGGAACTTATCTTACACCTTTTTCCCTTTTTCATTTACGTCTGTCTTTCAAAGAGTGTATACTTTACAACAATTGAAATTTCTTATATTTCTCTAAAAGTAATAATCTGATGTGTTCTTCTATTCTAGAATGGCAGGTGAAGAAAGGTCATTTCCTCTCTTAGATAATATAGGCTCTGTTTTTACCACTAGAGAAATTGAGAGAAGAAAACAGGTATATCCTCTTGTACTTCGATTTGTATCATTTCAATGTGATTGGATGATATTCGATACCATAGTCAATTGCCGTGATTTCTCCTTGAACCGTATTTTAATGCATTGACAGAGATGACTGAAGTATCAGGTACTTTATTACAGAATATGAAAATAGAAAAGAAATTTTCAAAGGAATATAGATATTTATTTAAATTAACAGCAGAAAATAATTTTAACTTCCTATTTTAGTATCTTCAATTCAACATAAATGAGATCCTAGCCCATACTACAGCATCCTTTTTGTAACAGTAATGTTAAGAAAGTAAAGTTTGATCTGCTTTTTTCAGTTGGAAGTTATTAAAGCTAAAGAAGAATGTAATAAAGTACATATTCAATATTTAAAAGAGAATGTTATATCTAAACAAGACTATACCAGAGCAGGTTCAGTTGTCACGGAATGGGCTAAGAGAAATGGTAAGTACCTTTATAGTTTATTCAGAATTACAATTACCTGAATAGATCGCATAATTACTGTTGCCTTAAATAAGAAATGAATTCAAAGATAAGGCATCTAACTGATTAATAATAATTAGGTATCTGTAAGGGATGTTACAGGATGGTATTATTTAACAAGGGAGTTTGCCCTGTCTGACTAATGACATCCAATTCTGTAATTATTGTTATTGTACTCCGTGAAAGATAACTTAAAGACATAAATGTAGATGAATAACATACAAAAACCTAAAGAAGACTAAGAGTAAAATCTAATTTTAGGAAATGTAAGCAAGGAAGCTTCGAGAATGTTAAGGAACAAGAGAACAACTGATCTGTTACCATTGTCTAATGAAACTGTTAAAAGAAGAAGATTAGTCAATTCACCAGCACATCACAGATCTCAGGCCATTGAGCAGTCTTCGAATAAAAACTCAGATCATTTGGAATCATCAGTAGTTTGTGAGATTGTTAATTGTGGGATTGTGTTTGACTCTATAATAGAATTTGAAAGACATAATGCTTGTTTTAAACATTCACCTTGTAATCCTTATAAACATTTACCAAATGGCAAGTTGCTTAATTTCCCCCTACTTCATACTTGTCCAAAATGTACAGCTCAATTTAAGGTTAGTAAATTTTTTGTTAAGATATTCTTATTAAGAACAACTTGTGTTCTGAATCAATATTCCGTGTTCTTATTTCTTCTAAATTATTTTACTTTGTATGATACAAATAATGTGATCTAAATTTTTGATTAATTTGTAAATATTGACAATTTGTGTAAATGATAGTGTTACTGAGAGTGTCAAAATAAGACCTAGGTATATGTAACTGTAAATGTTTTTTTAATTTGTTGTTATTTTTTGTAGAAAAAGATAGATTGTCAGGAACATATGATATTTAAAGATCATCTACCAGTTCTGTCCCCTGTTGCTGTTTATGGTTATATGTGTCCACAATGTTGTATGATATTCCATAATATTGTACAGTGTCATACTCATATGTTTCAGAACAACCATTATAAAGTTACCTACTCTTTCTCTCAAGGTAAGTTTATTTGAAAACCTTAATTAGCAAGTTTATGAAAGCTAATGAAGATTGGCCACATTAACAGCAGCAAGTGGTGTGAATGAAATGAAGATTTTATGTTCATTCTAAGAGGTAGTATTTCTTTAAACACAAGTTTCATTTCTTTTATTTTTTCAGATACTAGTGAGGAATCAACTACAACAAAGTCTATTTTGATATCTGACTATCTGGCTAAACATTTCTATACTAAATGTCTATCTAAAGATTTTAGTGTGAAATGTATGACATGTAAGAAAGAAGTCAATGATGTATTAACTAAACATCAACACACTTTGTCTACTGGTCATCAAGAATATCGTACTTACTCTACCTCTGTTACTGTAAGTTTTCTCTTCATCATTAACAATATTCATTTGATATTATTTGATGCGCTCTTTGGGTATGAATTTGTCATTAATAGCAGCAATAACTGAGTTTTGCCCCATTAGTCTTCAGGATTTTTGTTTTGGCACATTTCAAATTTTGCTCTTACTGTAATAATGTAGGGTTCTATATTCCATGTGTGTTTGAACTTGTCAATGATATTGTCTTCATAACATGAGCAATATGCCGTGGATCTGACTTGAAGCCCTATTCTGTTATGAGTTATGACCCTTTAGTCTTTATGAACAAGTATTAAGGTACATCAGTTCAAACTTAAACTCTTTTCACAAGCGCTTATTCTTATGATGAAGGGATTGTGTTACTTTCTGATGCCCTAACTATAGGTTATGATCTTTTAATTTTATTTCAGGATGAAGTATTTGGAGAGTTTTTGTCTGATAAAAGTTGTGATAATTGTGGCAAGATTATTTGGAATGGTGATATAGAGAAAGGTTTTCATGCCTGTACATCAACTGAAATAGGTTTCCTCAAAGACATTGATTGTGCAACATTTAGAGAATTTGTTCATCGATGTGGAATACAGGAAAATATCAATGGTAACTTTGGTGGATCAGTCCAGAATGTAGATAATTATCAGAGATTAGGAGAATCTTCCACCAATTCAGTTTCTTCAGTGATAGGGAACTCATCTCTAGGTGCAGTGGGAGGTGTTGAACCAGTTTATGAATCAGAAGCTTCCGTTATATTACTTGATACCCCTGATATAGAAAGTGCTGGAACTGAACAATTTCTGTATGGATCAGATGCACCATTGATTATATTAGATACACCACCTGCTAGTGGTCAAAAATTCTCAAAGCTTAGAACTGAATCTGTTATTATAGTAGAAAAGCCTAGAATGGGAGACTATGTTGATGTGTCCACCAAGAAAAGCAATGAACCAGTGGCAGTTCAGTCTAATAATGAAGATGATATGTCTATCGGTGTTAATTCAGATTGTGAACCAGTTTGTTTTAATGATGAAGATGATATGTCGATTGGTGACAGTTCAGAATGTGATTCTGTTCATTCTAATGATTTAGATTATATGTCTATTGGTTATTCTGATGATTCAGATATTGTGTTTACCGGATCTGAAGGTACGCTAATTTGTTTTCTCTTCTGTCTAAAATCTCAATGGACAACCTTTCTATCTTACTAATTCTATTTGACATTTAAATCTTTGCTCCTATCTCTTGTTACTATCTTCTATTTCTTTCTTTTTTCTTTCATCTTTCAGATCACATATCCTTCTATCCTGCTTATATCCTTTTTCTGATAACTAATGAATTTTTGCCTTTGCTACCAGACCTCAATTTTCTTTCTGACTTTTTTCTCTCCTTCTCAAGGAATCGCATAAAGCAAAGATTCCCCTGCTTATTTGAAAGTCACATTTATTCTACATTGCATTCTATACAAAGGTTTAGTAGACAGGCACACTTCTTTGAAAGATGTGGAAATGAATATTATTTTGTTGACCTCTGTAATAGTAATAACAATGCAGGAGATGAACCTGATGAATCTTCTGTTCAGTTACCAGTTCACTGTGACTGCTCTCTGTTCTTTCTTTCTGATTCCAAAACTAGCATTACTGATAGATTTGTAAAGATCAAAACAGAGTCTTTGGAAATAACCACTAATTATAAACAAACAAACCAGGAGGGACTTTCTGCACACAAATCTAAACAATCAGATCCCTCTTATTTAACAGAGCATTCTCACAAAAATGGCCGTTCTTTTGCAATGGATTTAGGTGAACATAGTGATTCCTCTAGTCTTGATTCCTTTCTATCTTGTTCAAGTCTGTTAGATTCATGTCATAATATACAGAAATCATTAGGAGCTATATCTAGTACTAGGAAGAGAAAAAGAGAATGTAGTGTCGGTATTGAAGATTTAGAAGGTAAATAATATACTGAATCATGTGCTATCATTTTGTTTTTCATAAAACTTTTGATAAATAGAAAATCCAAATCTTTTTTTTTATTGACAAAGAAACTGAAGTCTTTGATTTAACATGTTTTAATAATATTAGTCCCTAAAATATCTTTTCTTTTACTGTAAAGTCAAGTTTTCTGACATTTTCAAGAGCTAATTAAAAGGATACAAGTTAATTATTATGAAATCTTATAAACCATTTAATTCAACATTATATTCTTTCTTATTTTTAAGTCTTTTAAAGTTCTATCTATATTATTCATAACTTGACTCGGAACACTGTCCTCCATGATTCAAATATTTGTTTACTCTACATTGTACATATTGGGATTTTGTTTTGAAAATGTTCTGTACATTATCATAGACTTTGATTTGTTCTAGTCTAAAACATGTCAAATGCTAGATAAACAATTGTTATATTTTGAATTGTTGAATATTTTAGTGTGAGGTCATACCATGTTAATCACCCAATAAGTCTAAAAATTTGATGGGTTGCATCTCTAAAATCCCTAAACTGATTGACCTAAATTTGAGTACCCTTGTCTGCTTAAACCAATTGGTTGAATTGACATGGAAAGAGCCTATCACAACTTGACTGCAATCAAATCAAGCTATATTTCTAATAAATTAAATTTATTTTTTCTTCTTCAGAATGTAAGCCATCTGTGTCCAACTGGGTATGGAATTCAAAGCCTGACAAGATTGAAACAACTTCACGAACAGTAACAAGGTCATCATTGTCTCCATCCAAAAAAGTTATACAAATTTCAAAACAATTGACTGAATCATCTACATTTAGTTTGAGTAAACCAACTTACTCAAATGATACAGCGTCTGCTACTGAATCCAAAGCTATAGCGGGTGCAAATGATAAAAATGTGTTCATTAATGTTCATGAACAGGAAGAAAAGAAGCTTTCTAAAAAGGCACGATATAGACGTAAGAAAAAATTAGAAAAAGAAAAACGTTTACTTTTAGAGAGTGAACAACTTTCAGATTCTAAACCTAGTACTTCTAAAGGATCTCATACTCCTGTTTTTAAGCAATCTATAGATCGTTCTAGGTCTAGGTCTAGATCTAAATCTCCACAAAAACCTTCAGGAACTGATTCACAAGACAGTTCAAAAAAACATTTACCAAAGCCACAGCAGAAAAAGCCATTAAGAAATACAAAAGGACCAGAAAGTCACCTACGCAATATTCCAAGAGGTTCTTTTGAAAGTACAGATGGTGATATCTCAACAGAGAATTTGAGTAAAATGCATTTGCTGATATTTTTGGATCTTGATAATTGGACAGGATTCTTTAAACGTTTACCACAGTGCTTGCCTGATAAAACATTTGTATGGACATTTTATGGTGGAAATACATCATGGAAAGAACCAAAGTAGGTGTAAATTGGCTGTGTATATGAAATACCATTGTGTCCAAACCTTTTCCTCATTCAACATACTTCCTTGAGTTAATAAGACTATGTCAAAATCAGATTTCGGGAAAGTACATGCTAGTTATCGCACACCACAGATCCTAGTTTCACTCTAGGCATCGACAAATCTGAAAAGAGAATGCAAATTAGACATGGTTTTCTGTTACATGCCACTCTTCTTTATTGAGATTGTCTTGAATGTGCGCAATTGAGACCCATATAAGGTGTTACAGAGTAGCAGTTATTTTATGTTAGATAGATTTGATTTGTAAATGGTTTTTATAATTTTAGAGCCCTACCATTTCTCAAGTTAAAGAAAGATGGATGTTTTTATCTTCACAGTCAATGTGGTAAAACTAAAGATGCTGCTGATTTTGCTATTTGTTTCACTGTGAGTTGTCTTTTTGTTTGATATATTTTTCATCAGTAAAATAGCAGTCACATGCAGCACGTTTTAGGTGTATATTTAAAACAGATATAGATGTGGGCGTATAAAATTTACCTCAGTGTACATCTTATTGTATTGATGGATGCTTCGAGAAAAGTCATAATTCTGGTTTTTATAAAGCTTATTGGTTTTCTCAATAATGCTAATGATAATTAGACTCTCAATGTAAACTGTAAAACATAATATAAATTTCATTTCAATTTGACTCATTTCATTTTGACTCTCTGTTCTTCAGATTGGTAAAATGGATGATCGACTACCAAAACAAATTCCATTTGCCATTCTGTCTGGTGATCGAGGTTTCTGTGAAATTGAAAATCAGATGAGACATTCCTCTCGAAGAACTGTTGTAATTGATCCACATGAAGCTGGTAAAAGCAGTGAACATATGCTTTATGCTATGATACTCAGTGTGATGAATTCCTAAATTGGACGTGAAATATTGTAGGCCTTGATCTAATTTCCTTATGTTCCAGTTTAAATTGGAAAGCTTGAATTATTGTTTTTGTATAAGTGCTATATCAAAATAAGGCAAAAGTCAATCATACCAAATTGTGTGAGCGGCGATTATTTTTGGGGTATTTAAAGGTTATTATGGTACATACTCATTGACTGAAAGAAGATATCAGTATTTTATTTAAGTTTATAATGTAATATATTTTCTATGCAGAGTATCTTTCTCATGTTGTTGATCAAGAGCAGTTACGTCCTCACTTTAAACTCAATACTATTGATTATGATAAATAAAATTTATTGCTTTTCTCTGCATTTTCCAACCTACTTTCATAATGGAGATATCCATAACATTAAAACCAGTAAACCTTAGTATTGTCTACAAGTCTACCTTAAAATTCACATTACCTTTTACATCATAGATTTGAGAAAATACCAAGCTAATATAGTTGGAAATTGAATTAATGCAGATCTCAATGACACAGTAGGGAGAGAGGTGCAGGGTCTCACTGTTATGTTACAGATTAGGATGAGATTGCATAAACAAGGTTACATCGTTAGTTATGACACTGGTTTTTCACATAATTTTGGCTATTATGGAAGGTTTATTAATATTGTTCAATAGTACATTAATACATCAAATTAGCATCTATTCTTTAAGGGTAGATATTATACAATTACTTATTAAAACCAATGAGCAACACGGTTAACCCCATAACCCCACTGTTAAAGTGCAAAACAGTGAATCATTAAACTTTGGTTTTGTCAAATAGATTTAACAAAATCACAACCAAACGGACGGAAATTGTTACAATATTTCTTAGTAATGAATTGCACGGTTATTAATCGATATCTTAAATTCAATATTCGGGTAAACACTAGTAAAATACTTACACATTTACATAATCTGTCTACTAAATAAGAACAAAGATTACAGATTAAGATATAACAACAATGTAAGTTCTTTTTTTATTTCATAATACTTTGCGTCCATATCTTATAATTCATGTTAATGCTTGTTATATTGTTAGGAGTGGGATTGAAAGATAACATGAAGAGTTTTGAAAGATAAAGTAGTCGATTATATGAATGAATAAATGTAAACAAATGCACGTGGGTCGTCTGTCAGCTGTGGGGTTCTAAAGGAATCATTATTATACTCTTCTATTTAATGGTTGATTACTTCGATGAATTCTCAATTTCAATGGGCAGTTGATAACAGTAACAATGAATAAAAATGACCCATTTTTTGAAAAGTTCTTGAAGTCGTCATTTTTTGTCATTAGGTCCCTACTAAATGTTCTAATTTGAACTTATTTATGTATTTCCATTCGGTGCTCCCTCATACATATTCATATAATTCCGAATATGGCCAGCAAGACCATCCTTGGATTACCTTTACCGGATGAAGCTCCTCCCACGTTTTTGATTGGTTAATGTGTTTATCAAAACATCCTGCATTGTTTTAGTCAGGCCATTTTGGCTTTGGTTAATACTACGTCTGTACTATTAGACCGTTAGTCCTTATGTGCTACTAAAAATACTTTCAAAATGAATAGATGTCACTTGGGACTTTCCAAGCTATCGTCAGTGTCTGCATATGGCATTGGGATTAGGCCTATTAATCGAAGGCAATTATCAATTTCCAAAAAATATCTTGCATCATCCACTGCCTTGGAGAAAATCTTACCCAGCCAAGATGTATTCCCAGAGAGACATATTGGTCCAAATGAAAGGGAGAAAAGGGACATGCTGAAATTTATGGGCCTCCAAGTAAGTATTTAAATTAGTTTAATTAATTTTAAATATTCATATAATGTATTGTTTATGATAGTTTGCCTGTTTATAATATCAGTTAGCCAGAGCAATGTTATGGTCAACTGTATAATAATGATATAATGAATTCCAAATATAAATATATCTTAATATTAATTAATATTCTAATCCATGTTTTCTAGTGATTAGTTTTTGGGTTGACAGTGTAAGTGCATAGTGTTTGTAGGTGCACATTAAATGCAGTGAAATAATATGTATATAATTGCTATATTTAATACTTTGAAATACTGCTAGGACTTTAAAGTACATAACCATTCACTAAAAGTAGGCTATTTATTTTGCCCTAATTTTGTATCAGAAATTCTAAAAGTGTGTCAAGCTATTCTCATTTGGCTAAACCAGTTCTTACCAGTTTCTTCATATTGCATTTCTACCATTATGTTTATACTTGTCTTCTATCAAAGAGTCTTTTACTCTGATTCTTTATAAAGATATCTTGGACTGAATGATCTGAAATATGTTATATATATTATGATTTATCTTTTTAATTCATCTAGATAATTAAATATTTATTGAATATTAACTACTCTGATTATTATTTGAGTACCATATGTGAACTGTAGTGTACGTATTAAATGAAATAAGACCTTCACAAGTTGTTACACATTCATTTGTTCCTTTTTCAATGATGTTATGTGATTTTACATCTCTTTATGATGGTCTATTTTAGCCCCTATATTTATAATACCCTGTATAAGATTGTGAAAAGATATAAAGTTTCTCTTGAATTGATTCTTTCTATTCAATTCAGTGCAAACCTGAATGCAAATTGATATCTTTATCATAAGTGTCTTATTTAACTTTTAAGGGAAATGGCCACAGTATAAAGGGTAGTGAGGTATGTCATGCTAGTGGCTATGATACATGTCATGCTAGTGGCTATGATAGATGTCATGCAAGTGACTATGATACATGTCATGCAAGTGACTCATAGTGGCTATGATACATGTCATGCTATAGTGGCTATGATACATGTCATACTAGTGGCTATGTTACATGTCATGCAAGTGACTATGATACATGTCATGCTATAGTGGCTATGTCATACTAGTGGCTATGATACATGTCATGCTAGTGGCTTTGATACATTTCATGCTAGTGGCTATGATAATGTCATGCTAGTGGCTATGGTACATGTCATGTTACTTGCAATGATACATGTCATATGCTACTTGCAATAATACATGTCATTCTACTAGCTGTGTTATAAAATAACTAATAACGTTTATGCATTAGTAAGTACATACTAGATTAGATTATAGCTAAGATATCTCATGTTCAATTGTAAGAGTGTAAAGATTTAGGTGTGTTAAAGGGATTGTTAAGAGGTTTTCTAAAAATGTATATTGTATATATATAGATTCGCACCATTCCAATTTTCAATCAGACATCTGTAATTCTTGTAATTCCACTTATACTATACGTTTATAAGGTCGCTATCTCAAAGATTCTTATATGTCTATAGCAGCTATAGATAGTGACGTCACTAAACGCTTACTTTTAGTGGAATTGCATGAGCCACACAGTCTGACTAAACATTGAAAAGGTGCAAAAACCTCTTTGTAATCCCTTTAAAGGAAGAAAGATATGCCATATTAGGGGTAGAAAGATATGCCATATTAGGGGTAGAAAGATATGCCATATTAGGCGTAGAGAAATATGGGGTGACTGATATGCCATATTAGGCTTAGTGAGATAAACCATATTTAGATTGTCCATATTATCCAGCTGGAACACTCCCACTTTAAATAATGATAAAAGGATTAATAATTTCAACAAAATTCATTACATAAAGAATCATACTTACATTTCTTCAATAAATATATTTATAAATATATTTCTTCTCAAATAGGTTTTCATATTTGGTTTTAATAAAATAGATAGCTTATATGAATTATTTTGATATTGAAAACAGTTTTGTAGCCACTAAGAGGTTAAGATGTTAAAAGATTTTGGTGGCCTTGAACTAAAAATTTGTGTAATATCAATAATTATCTACTAATATTTAAAAAAAATAATTTGTTAGCGGTTAATTTTCTATGGTACAAAGTGTTCCGACTTAAGTTTTTTGATAGTTAATTGCATATTTATGGATAATTTCTAAGTTTTTTGGATTTAATGGATTATATAAGGATCCTGTTATGTTATTCATAACACCAGGTAAATCTACTGATGAATATATATGCTCTTATTGGCCAAGTTTAAAATTTGGTAATTTTATGTTCATTCTAAGACGTAGTATCACTTTAAACTCAAATAATGCCACGCTGCTCATGAATCTTGCATTTTAAGATGTAGTATTCCTTTAAAAAGTAACCCTTGCATAGATTTTTTTCTGTCCTTGAACTTATGTAACAGATATCATATCCGCCAGTATAACTAATGTCTGTTCAAATTAGCTCCTTTGCAACTTTGGTCTACTTTTGCCACCTGATTAATGACGCTTGACAAATGACATTCATAATGTAGTCATTGTACTGTATAATAATAAGAATAAATTATCTGTAAAAGAAATTTATTTTCACATGCTTACAAGAAAATGTACATCTGTCCCCTCAAGCTCGAGAAGCTCATAGATTTCTACATTTTTCATTCTAATTTGATGAAAATTGGAGGGACAAGTAGAATGATCAGCTCTCTATGCAATCTCTAGATTTCTATGAAGGCTTTCAAAATTATATGAATGACTTGTTTACAAAAAAAAAAGCCTCTCAGTCCTCTAACAGCTTAAATTTTGATTTGGATGATACTATGCGTTTTTATGTGGATTTCTGAGATGTCCTTGTGGATCCTCTAAAGTGTTAGATATTAATATTGAATATAAACTATAAAAATATATTTGCACAACATTGGTTTTGATTTAATGTTGTTCGGTTCTTTTTAGAGTATTGCCTTATTTAGAGAAGCCTTATTAATTTTAAAGAATGAAAACAGTAATTGATTTGAATTTTTAGAGTATCGATGAGCTAGTCACAAAAACTGTTCCCCAAGATATATTATTAAATAGGAAGTTAGATATAGACCAGCCATTAGGTGAGTAACATATATATTACATATTTAACACATATCATTATCTGACATTTACTTATACATCTTCATGCTTTTGAGGGGGTTTTCCTCAGAAATTTTAATGCTGTATATATAAAATGAGTCTTCCTAGCATGGCATCTTAACAAAATTAAGCAGGGCAATCAAGTAGGTCAAGTGATTTCTACTCTCTGACCATGGTTTTTCAGAATAATATTCTGTTATCAGTTATATATGCTTGCATGTGGATTATAAAATTGATATGGTATGTTTATCATATGCATATTGATGAAATTTCAGAATAGTTTTTGGGGTACTATCCTTGACACGCAAGAAGCTTAAGTTATTATCATATCATATTGTAACTTAATATTTATTACATATATTATGTTCAATACTTTTTTTAGTACCGGTAATTGCCCATGACTTTTTAAAATTCATCAGAGCAGTGTGATTTTAATTTATTGCTACGATATGAATACATGTATATATATAACTATATATAGATTTATACCAAAGCTGTTGAATTACAAATGAATATGAAAAAAATGGTAATTTAAAGATACTTGTATCATTTCCTACAGCTACTGGTAACAATATGTTAATGTATGCCTTATGCCTAGCAAACTATCTTTATGTGAACTGGAATATCAAGTCCAAAATAGTACTACTGAGAGCCTTAGATTGTCTCTGGGTTAATGAAAATATGAACTGTGGTTTAAAGTTGTTTGAAATATGGATTTACAGATGGGAAATTCTTGGTCTGATTTTGAGTTATTTTCACACCTGAATTTTGAGAGTGAAGAATGTATATTTCAGATGTGAAATGATCAATGGGACTGAACCAAAAAAAAAATGAATGCTTTATTTTGAATTTTAGTGAAATTACTGAAAATATCCATTTTGACATCATAAGCCTGAGAGTAGCCATCACACTTTAAAGTACAATTTCTTTTTAAACTTATACAATATCCGAGTCAAAGTAATTATAAATGCGTATTTACTACTATTCAAATTCAGTACAGCAGAAATTAAAAATCCATCACCTGAATGACTCATATGATTCATATTATTCAATTCTGTTTAAAGTTATCTGAACTGAACTGATTGCATTGAATTTCCATGTAACGCAAGATTACCTTAAAAAAAATTGTTATCAAAACATACATCTAATAGTTACAGTAAACAATCCTTTAACCTATTTAAAAATCATTTAGTAAGTCGAAAGAAAAAAGTGCAACAGTGTATACATCATGTGAATTAGGTACATAATTACTTAAAACACTGAGATATATGGATATAGTGCTTCTGAATTTATTATATTATAAACGTTTTCGAAACACGTACTGTTAACTATATTCAAGTAGTATGTAATAAATTCAAAAGTAGTATATCAGTACTGCTGAAAAATATAGGTTAAATCCAATTGTGAATTGAAATTAATGAACATTGGTTATTATTTAGGTGAACATCAACTGATAGAACATCTTAGAGGTATAGCATCTAAAAACGAGATATGGAGAAGTTATATTGGTATTGGTTATTACAATACTTACGTACCACATACAATCATGAGAAATATCTTCGAAAATCCTGGATGGTATGTTAATTAGTCTAGATACCCTATAATTGTGTATATAATATACAAGGCTTTAAATTACTTAGCTTGTAGTCATTTGATATTTACAAGATTTAATTAAATTGGTAAATAGTTTAAAATGCTACGTATCATATAAAGTAAACTTTTCAAGGCAAGCATTTAGAATTGGTCTATGGTTGCATAATTAAAAGGAGAAACTACTTGTTGTCAACTTTTAACTGACCAAATAAGAAATACTCTGTTTTCTTCAATAATGATTAAATCCTGAGAATGACAATTGCTCAAACAGCACAAATATCATGGCAGCCTAACGAAAAAATTGCTGTCTAATATAATCTTTATATGCTTTAGAAATCAATTCATGTCCTTTTATTTTTTTTTTAATTAGCGTATGCATGTATTATTACAGGACAACCCAGTACACACCCTACCAAGCTGAATTAGCTCAAGGGAGATTAGAAAGTTTGCTTAATTTTCAAACGATGATTTGCGATTTAACGGCATTAGCCATTTCCAATGCATCATTGTTAGATGAGGCTACTGCTGCAGCAGAGGCTATGGGACTATGTTACAAGTAAGTCATATACTGAGTGTTGTTATTTTGTTCAAAATATTCATTACTTTCTTATGGATTAGAATTTGGGAAGATATTGGGATACCTTCATGATTTTAAGTGCGCTACTCTTTCTCATTCTTTGAAGTCAATTATACCTTTCGCTGCTCTAAATGCTTGTTCTTATTGCTATAGAGCTAATAAAAGAAGAAGGTTCTATGTTGATGTTAATTGTCATCCACAGAATATAGCTGTCGTTAAAACTAGAGGAGAGTAAGTAACAGAATAATTCACTCCTGATTCTTGTTCTCAATGTGTGATAACTGTGTTAACTGCCATTGCCAAAAGAAGTTGAATAGAAAATTTCATGCAGTTTTCTGTAAAATGCAAGTTTGAATCATTCTAATAAGTGAGCATACATGTGTAGTTTTTCTGTAATTACAGTAATACAGTAATGAATCTTATTAGTTGTTGATTAGACTGTATATTCTATTATAGTGCACTAGGGATAGAAGTTATAACTGGTAATTGGAGAGAAATGGATTTTTCAACACATGATGTTTGTGGGGTTTTAGTTCAATATCCTAATACAGAAGGCAGCATTGAGAACTACTCTGGTCTGATAGAAGATGCACAAGCTTGTGGGGTAAGTTGACAGCGAAGTTGGTGAAAACTTGATCAGATCTTCTGATTTCTTTTGGTATTTTATTTGTAACCAGTTTCCATTACATTTTCAATAATTTATCACATTTTGATAAATCTAACTTCACTGATATATTCCTCATGAATAGTTCATTAGCAGTCACCAACATTGCCAAACGTTTTGGGTTTCAGAATTCGTTTTATGGATTAGTAAAGGTTTTTTTTTCTTACTTTAGACACTAGTGATAGCAGCAACAGACCCCCTGGCTTTAGCTATCTTGAAGCCACCTGGGGAACTAGGGTTTGATATTGCTCTTGGTACAACACAGAGATTTGGTATTCCACTTGGTTATGGTGGACCACATGCTGCCTTCTTCGCATGTAAAGAAAAATATACTCGTATGATGCCTGGTCGAGTAGTGGGTGTTACAAGGTAGATCTTTAATGACTTAATCGTACTTTATTTACAGATGTTCTGATTAAGCCAGAGCTTAAAATGTCTACATAGAGGCTTAACTTAGCACCTAAGCTTCCTTGCTTCCCAAGATGGTAAATTTACCTTACTCATGCCCCTTTATTTGTATATACCACTAAAAATATGATTAATACTCCAGAGATTCAAGTGGTAAACAAGCTTTAAGATTAGCTTTACAGACTAGAGAACAACATATACGTCGTGATAAAGCCACCAGTAATATCTGTACAGCACAGGTGAGAATGATTGAATCAAGTTCTTGAAAACTCACTGATGGTCACAATTAAATCATTATCAAAAGTCTTGCAAGTTATATTCAAAATTTGTATTTTCAAGCACGCTCTAGATAACTCTAGTTGAAAGAGTCTAATTCCATACTGATTTTTGGTATTCAATCATGATATTGTACGTACAGAGAAAAACCAAGTTGAATAGTATAATATTATTGTAATTTTTTTCAGGCTTTATTAGCTAATATGTCAGCTATGTATGGTTGTTATCATGGTGCCCATGGGTTAAAACAGATAGCTAATAGAATTCATAATGCTGCTAGGGTGGTAGCTGAAGGTAGGATATTTCTTACAACAAATCCAATGTAATCTATCATTGCATCCTGTTGGATTATTTTACTGCAGTCCTAATTATCTTATTTAAGTTAAGTACAATCATGGGAACCAAATTCATGGATTTGTCCTCAAAGGTATTCCTATTTTCTCAAAGTATTTTGGCAAGTCAAACGTAACTTTTCACACCATTGTTTGTTCACTCCTCTTCATTAACATTTCATTTACAATACTTTTGTGTTTTAAATTTCGTGAACTTTTGAATTGGCCGAAACCATGAAAGAAACGAAAAATTAAATTCCCACGTATTTTGATGATTTCACAGTTCTTTATTCCTCTATATTATGGATTTATAGAAAAATGCACTTATACGTCCATCGTATTTTTATAGGTTTACAGAGAGGAGGGCACACCTTGACACATAAACGCTTTTTTGACACTATGAAATTTGAACCTAAAAACGGGCAACAAGAAATAATTGAGAGGGCAAATTCAAAGAAGATTAATTTACGTGTATACTCTGATGGTCATGTAAGTTTTACATATTTATTTCCCTTGTGTGATACATGGGAAAATATTAAATCTTTTCAACATCTTAATGTATTTGGATAAAAGGGGAACACCTTACAGGAATCAGGGGTCAGTATTTTTCCATAAAAAAAAAAAAACGTGAAATACATGTAATTTTTGATTGGGTGCATACTTGTAATACTTGTATAATTTTTGATACAGATTGGTATTGCCTTGGATGAGACAGTGGAAGAAAATGATATAAAAGATTTATTAGAGGTTGTAGGATCACCTAATAATGCTGTAAGTAGGACTTAGTATTCTCAATAGTTAAAGTAACATTGAGATAGTGAAACTATTTCTATTTTGTAGTTGCACACAAAAACTCATCTTTGTAAAAGTTGATAGAAATAAGAATTTTATATTTATCATTAAGTGTTTAATTTTTCTAAACTTTGACTTAAAAATTTAACAATCTATAACATATTCCAGGAGGAGCTCTCTCAGGCTATTATCGATTCCAAAGATGTCACCATGAAAAATACAGAATTTGCCAGAAAAACAGAATTCATGAAACATTCAGTGTTTAGAAGGTAAATTTATCGTATAAAGTGACCTTTTTGAAGTGCAAAATTGATCTTAAAACTATGCTTAACTAATATATACTTACTGCCACTGGTATCCAGGATAGCTTGAAATGACTCCCAATAATTCCCTTTGGTGTTTCAAAATTGAATTTAAAACTCCCTTTTTTATATACATCTTTAATGTTCTATTTTACCAGTTGAATATAGAAATGAATTTAGAATTAATTTTTTCAGGTATCAGTCAGAAACTAATATTGTACGTTATATGAAAGAATTAGAAAATAAAGACTTATCTTTGGTACATTCAATGATACCACTTGGTTCTTGTACCATGAAGCTAAATAGTACCACAGAAATGATGGTGAGCAAATATTTTAAGTGTCTTCTCATATATGTTAACCTTTGGCCTTTGTTGATACTTACCCCGATCAACGTTGGCTAAATTTTCTATTGAGTTGCTCACAATTACTTGACAGCTAGTAAGTAAGTCTAGATATATCTTGGTTTGTATATACATGTATGATTCTCTAAATAACATTGTATGTTGTTATTTATTTTCAAATGGTTTTTCCAGCCCTGTACTTGGAGTGAATTTGGCAATATTCATCCATTTGTTCCCTCCAACCAAGTTGCTGGTTATATGAAAATGTTTGAGGAATTAGAGAAAGATTTATGTGAAATAACTGGTTATGATAGAATTTCATTACAACCTAATAGGTAAGATAGTGTTTATAATCTATAATAAGATGAGGGTTTTAGTTTTCACCATTTACATTCTCCAATCCAATTTAGCACTCTCATACCACCCAAAAAAAAAATTATCTTAAAATGGTTCTTTCCCTTTCCCTTTCCCTTTCCCTTTCCAAATATATGCTTTTCTGTTTTATGCCTCAGCATAGAGTGATAAGGCACCAGAAAAATAAAATGTGAAATTGCTCATTCTTCATTTCTTGTTTATTGTAAAACTATTATTTTTCAGTGGAGCTCAAGGAGAATATGCTGGGTTAAGAGCTATAATGGCATATCTAGCTAGTAAAGGAGAAACTCACAGAGATGTAAATATTATACTTCACATATTTTGATCAACTGCCATAACCCTGATTATAAGTCAAAAGTTCATAATTTTATGCAATTTATCTTATTTTGTTGATATGAATAGTCTACTTTATTTTGAGGAATGTAGGTGGTAAATGTATTTCAAATAATTTTCTCAAATCTAAACAAAACCCATACAGATCATCATGTTCAGGTCTGATAACAATTGGACAACTGTATGGTGAATATTTCAAAATGCTTTGATATATACATGTCTGTCGCTTGTCAGGTTTGTTTGATTCCTGTCTCAGCCCATGGTACCAATCCTGCTAGTGCTCAGATGGCTGGTATGAAGATTCAACCTATAAAAGTTGATAAGTATGGATCAATTGATATGACACACTTTACTGATATGATTGAAAAACATAAAGATGAATTAGCTTGTTTAATGATAACTTATCCATCAACACATGGTGTGTTTGAATCTGGAGTTCGGTAAGTTTATGTACTTCTTTTATTATGTACACCTTCTGGAAAAACAACAAATCTCCCAAGTCTTGGTTGGAAAATTGTCAGTCATAGCTTAGAAATTATGTCATTGTGGATTGTAGTTTTGATATAACGGTAAGGATTTTTCCTTGCTTTGATTTGCTTTTTCAAATTTATTTCACCCCACTGGTCAAAGTACTTTATTTCTTCTGAACTAAAATGGAAAGAGCTAGAACAGTTGTATGATAACTATTCTTATTTCAGTGAAATTTGTGATATTACACATGATGCTGGAGGTCAAGTATATGTGGATGGTGCCAATATGAATGCTCAGGTAACAATATCTTTGAATTAACATGTTTGATAAGAACATGTTCTTTATTTTAAGATGAATAATTTATCAAACAAACATGATTAGAACATGAAATAAGGCATCCAGCCATCTTTAAAGGTTTTCTGTTATATCAGTTATTGAACATGATTTGAATAATATTTTGAAGACAAAGTGATATCTTTACAAGTACATGTATATAAAAAATTTTTTCAACATAAAAATGAAATATTTCAGGTTGGTATATGTAGACCTGGTGATTATGGTTCTGATGTTTCTCATCTTAATCTACATAAAACATTCTGTATACCACATGGTGGAGGAGGGCCAGGAATGGGTCCTATTGGAGTGTAAGTAAATACTAGTTTGTTTGGCACTAAATGTTTTCTGTTGCTAAATGTTACAGATTGTGTGCAAAAACATTCCAATTTTTATAAGCCAAATCAAAGTCCAGATGTAGTTGTAACATTTTTTGCTCTTATTCTCAATACATTTTCTTTCAGGAAAGAACATTTAGCTCCCCATCTGCCAACACATCCTATTATTTCACCATTACCTGGTTCAGATTCACAATCATTTGGTGTTGTATCTGCTGCACCATTTGGTTCGAGTTCTATATTACCAATATCCTGGTCCTATATTAAGATGATGGGAAGTGATGGATTAAGACATGCAACAGAAATTGCTATTTTAAATGCTAACTATATGAGCCAAAGGTTGAAAGGATATTTCAAGACCTTGTATACTAATGAAGAAGGTATGTGTGCAACAAATATTTATTCTCCATCTTTTTCAGTACTTCTATACACTACACACTTTATACAATTACTGTTTTACTTAACAATGTGAGGTTTCAACGATGGCCTCGAGTCTTTATCAAGCTAAAAGTGTGAATAAACAACATAAAAATACCCTATTTATTGAAAGAGTGAAAAATTCTATATCTACTCACGTGTGAACTATCTTTTTACTTTTAGGTTACATTGCTCATGAGTTTATCATAGATTGTAGAGAATTTAAAAAGACAGCTGATATAGAAGTTGTTGATATCTCTAAAAGATTACAAGATTATGGTAGGTTTTTTATATTATCAGATTATAGTGTGATAAATGGCTGCATATACTATCTGGATTTAGTTTGAAATGCATAACTATATAGAATAGAGCTTTTAAACCAGGCTTGTTTATAAAACTGTGTCCTAATATATTTTCAGGGTTCCACTCACCAACTATGTCCTGGCCTGTGACTGGAACATTGATGATTGAACCAACAGAATCTGAAGATAAACAAGAATTAGATAGATTATGTGATGCTCTAATAGGTAATTATTACTCAATTATTATGAGTACTGTGAAAGGTGCTACTAATGAGCAGGTCATTTTCACTCCTGTCAGAACATTTAACTATTTGTCAACTTAATATCCTATGAAAATGAAGTACAAGGAGCCATGATAAATTGGCTAATTATCTCTTTTACAATTGCAGCTATTAGAAAGGAAATCAGTGATATTGAAGAAGGGAAAATGGATCGTAAAGTTAATCCTTTAAAGGTAAAATCTTCTGTGTAAATGTTAAAGTTCATTCCTTTACCTAATGAAATGTAAGTGTTGATTAACACATTTATATGATTTGATCAGTTGTTTACCTGTTATTTAATGCTCTCTCTGATAGTACATTTTAAACATTAATTAATATCTATGATTAATTAATATTAATCAAATATTCTAGATGTCTCCTCATACACAAGAAGTTGTGATGTCATCAGAATGGAACAGACCGTACTCTAGAGAAGAAGCAGCCTTCCCATTGGTAAGTTGAATTGTGTTGAATAAAACTTTTTGCCACTGTTTCCATGACTTTGAAATCAAACAGCATTTTCATAATATCTGAAGAAGATGAGCTGAATTATCTTTTTGTAGTTTTGACATTTGTTTCACAAACATGACTGGGATGTAATCTCATCCTTGTCATAAAAGGATGTATTCAGGGCCATTAATCTGTGGAGAATTCTGACATCAGACATAATGCAATAAGGCTGTATTCAATGTACATACTAATTTCTGTATTTTGTTTTGTTACTTCAGGAGTTTGTTAAACCAGGACATAAATTATGGCCGTCTGTTGGTAGAATAGATGATAAATATGGTGACCAGAATGTAGTATGCACGTGCCCACCAATGACTTTCTACATATCACCTTTTGTAGAAAAATCAGACTATGAACCCAAGAGAGCAAGAAAATAAAATCTTAATTAATAAGATGAATGAATAAAACTTTGATCTATTTGTACAGTTTAACCACAGAGAAAAATACACTATCAATTTATATTATGATATGCTCAACAAATTTTCTCTTCAAACATCGTTTAGTGCTATTTATTGATTAATTCCTATCAGTATTAATTGTATAATTATTTTGTTTTTTATTGTATTGTTTGTTTTGCTTTTTTTTTTTTTTTTTGCCTAAGCTGGTCTTATATATAATTTTTAATAGTTTTCATTATGTTATATGGATAACCAAAGTAATAACCAGAAATACTTAATGGTTTGATTGTTAGTTATAACAAATTTATGTTGTTTTTGCTTGTATAGGGCAGTAGCTAATAATCAACAATAATACTCTTATATTTTATATAAATACATTTTATAGGTAAAAGAATTGCTTTGATTTGTTCCTTTTGTAAGTGGTTGGGAACTCATCAGTCAAAGTGATCCATGCATTTAGACAAAGCTCAAAACTTAAGCTCAAAGTATACTTTTACATTTACTTGATGATACAATTTATTGTTACATTATATGATTATGAATTATAATTGTTATTATTATATTTTTCTGTTTATTATAAGAAATATGAAAGTTGTTTTTATTATTCATTGGTGTTGGTTTTGTACAGTATTTTAATATATCTATGATATGTACAGTTTAATTCTGGTGAAGGATTGTGTATAATTCGAATAATTGGATGGATTTCGACTCATTTTCTTTAGGAGTTTTTGTGGTCTAAATTTTCAACCTCTTGATATTAGCTGACTTTTTGCCTTTAATGCAATTTATCTTTGGGAGAAATATATATTATGGAATTTGAAAAGCCTATTTAATGTTACTATACATGAGGAATGTAATGGAAAATGAAATGTATTCGTTGAATATTAATTATTTTAAATTTATTTCATTCCTTCTTTAGAAGCAAGAATTTAGAGTTATAAACAGAATCTCTGTGAGACAAGAGTATACTGTACATTTAATGTTTATTGAAATTAAATTGTTTTATAAAGATTTGTAAAGTTTATCATCACAATGTCTTATTGTTTAATACTTAGAATTTATACCTCTCTTACTTTTACATCTTTTCATTGGAAATAATAGAAACATTTTGTAACTTATATATATCATAAATGAATCATTACTTAAATTGAATAAATGATCAACAAAATTGACTTGTTATATGAATTCAGAGACCGAACTATTTTCTAATAGATCTTGTTCATTTGTCATGTCAAACTTGTCTAAAAGTAAGCAAAAGAAGCGATTTTTACAAATTTAATGATGTTCATATTGACAAGTATAGTTTCAGACTCGTATTCTGGACAAATTTAAACAACGTTACAGTCGCACCAGAATTGAATTTTTCCTGTCAAATCAAAAATATTCAAAATAGCATTTGCAGTTGCATGCCATTTGGCCGATTGTTATGGCACAGCAAAGAACCTTCCATGCTTTTTTATACAACAGAAATATTGATATAATGTCATAGTTCATACAATGCATGGAGAAAGTTTATTTCTATGAAAACGACCACATTCTTTCCAATAGACAACTGATGAGTTGGTTTGCGATTTCTTCACCGGGCGAAATGTCGCGTGGTCGATTTATCTCACAAAGCCGCTTATATCACTGCAGAAAAAACATTTTTAAAAAACATTTATATGATGTAATTGATAACAGAAGAGAATAAATATCTGATAACTCTTTTAGATCTTAATAATTTATTGATTATTCTTTTTGGGACAATTATCCACAGTTCATTGCTTTGCTTTAAAATTGGAGGTTGATGTTAGGATTTATTTATGACTTATGCGGCCTTAGTTGTAGTAAACATGGCCGAAATTATTCTTCTGTGCCACGTCGAATGTCCAGTATGTATTCGATTTAGTCCTTAACAAGATCCAAACCCCTCAGTTCTTTTGTTTCAGAACAAGAAAACCCTTCCTCTTAAATCGATACTGTATTGATTTTGGATACATCTGTTTGATTGATATGATTTCTGTTTCAATAAACTTAACAACTGTGTTGTTATTCATAACGACATAATAATAAGAAATTGAAAAGATATAATTTGTTTTATAAATGTCATTGTCCAAACCATTGAATTGACCATAACGATGATAAAAAGAAACAGAAATTAATGTTGGTTTCCAGTTTTCAAATATGCAGGGCAAGATACATTGATAGATTGAAAATCTAGCCACATTTGTTTTTGAAAATGTAGGCCTAGTAGTGTAGGCTAGTTGGCAGTAAAACATACTTTCATTCGCAAAATAAGATATAGATCTTGATTCTTGGTGAACACTGCTTTAGACCTGTACCAGTGCCTTCTATTGAATAGTTAACCACCCTAAGCACTAACACAGCTGGCCTGGGTAGGCTACAGTTATCATTAATATACATATTGATATATATAGAACAATGTTAAGCCTATAATTTTTTTTCTTGGATAATTTTATACATTTGTTGCTGTAGGCCAACTGTTAAAGTCAAATATTCTTGTTATGTAATTCAGCCTTGTCTTATTTTTCAGATGAAAATGTGAAGGGAATTATTATGTGTTCTGTGATCTGTCGAAAGTAACAGTGGTTACCCAGTTTCTGTCATGTTGACAAAAACTTCAAAGACAATTGCATTATGTTCTATTGCAAACTTTATCAACTCGGCAGATCGAGTTATTATGCCGATTGCTATTGTTCCTATGACAGATGAGTTTAAGTGGGGTCTGCATGGCCAAGGATGGGTTCTTAGTTCATTTGCCATTGGCTACATGAGCAGTCAGGTAATTTCAGTTTTTATTGAGCTTTAAGTACAAAAGTTAGAAATTGCTTTCAGATCATCAGACACTATATAGTAAAATACTGGTACTTAAATCAGTTTTGATTTAAAGGTTTCATTAGTTTCCAAAAAAGTGATTGTATGCATTGATTTCCAACGTATGAGTTAACAATCAAATATCAAATTTAAACTATTACAAAAATTTTATATTCCATCCATACCTATAATATTAGGCTTCCTCAAATATAGTGAACTTGAACATAACTGAATAACCTTCATATTTTTATTTCTTTCAGGTTGTAGGTGGAAGTGGTGCCAAAAAGTATGGAGGAAAATTGATTTTAACTATTGCAGTTTTACTCTGGTCCATGTCAACATTTTTAGTTCCTTTCTTCTCACATTCAATATGGGCCTTGACTTTGTCTAGGATATTTTTAGGATTAGGCGAAGGTTTAGGTGAGTAATAAAATTATATGTTGTCTATTTAGGAGCTCTGCTGATTTGTTCTGGTCCATTACTTTTCATGAAAACGTTTAATGCGAATATATAGAAATTGGAAAACGGCTTTGATTTTTCATCTTTCAGGTTTACCTACAATATTTCACATATTTTCTCATGCTATACCTGGTGAAGAAAGATCCAGAGCATTTGGTTACTTAGTAGCTTGTGGTTCAATAGGACAGACAGTGGCAGCTCTTGTAAGTCTTAAGATATATTTTTAATATATTTTTGGAAATAATTAAGGGGGTGCACAGTGCAGTTTTGTTGAGTTAAGCTGGAACGGCCCTTGATGGTTAATTATTCACAAATTTATTGAACTATTCACTATTGATATTAACTCCTGTGCATATTGGTTATTTAGATTTGGATTATATATGGTTCAATGAATGAACAAAAATTATCCCAACAATATCGCTAACAGCTTTACAACAAAGAGATTTGTTGCCAGATCAAAGATTTTCCTTGACACTTAGGTGTTGATTGCTTGAACGATAAGAACGAAAAATGTACACTTTTATTTTTTAATCCATTCTGTGTTTTGTGTTAATTCTAGGTTTGTCCACATTTACCATGGCAGTGGATGTTTTATTCATTTGGTTCTTTAGGTTTTATTTGGGTTTTAATTTGGACAATGTTATATACTGAGAACAGAGGAGCCTATGATGAAGAATTTGTTGACCCTCCAAAAGTAATTTATCTTTCCAATTTCATATGGCTTGGGGTAAAATACTTGAAAAAAGAAACCTATATCCTCTATTTAATTCTCAAACAAGTCTAAAGGGCTGTTGAACATGTTTTTAGGTTCACATAAACATTGTTAAGTCAGTTCTGCCATCAAGGAATGTGAGATACTGAGTCCCAGTAAAGATTATGTAAGATTGTGTATTATAACTAGTATGTCTTGCTGTGGATAGACAAGTCTCAAGACGGAATTAAAATATGGCTGTACTTCTAAAGAGACAAGAAACTCTTTTCTATGGTGCCATTTATTTTATTTCAAAATTTCATTTCAGGTGAACAATACAAATGTCAGATGGTCAGAATTTATCTGTCACTGGCCTCTATGGTCAATTTATATTGCTCATTTCTGTATGAACTGGTCAAATTATATTATAATGCAGTGGTTACCAACATATATGACCAGAAATTTAGGGGCCAATAAGAGTCATATTATGTTTACTGCAGTGCCTTATGTGATGAATTCTTTAATAGGAGTGGGTAAGAAACATTTATTTTTATAAATTTTGTATATTGTGGAAGTTTTGATGAAAATTTATACAAGTTGATACTCTTGAAAATGATAACTCAGGACCTCAGTTGTGGAAAAGACGCCATGATAGGATCATACATGTGTATGGCGTAAATTACTTTTTTTAAACTTAGACAATGTAAGGTGTCTGGTGTGGTGTATGATGCAGGATTATCGATACAGTAAAAAACAGAACAAGTGAACACACGAGGTATAGGACACAATTTGCTTCTACTAATTTCTACTGTATTGATAATCTGGCATCGTACACCACATCAGACAAATCTATTGTAACAATTAACATATAACATATTGTTGTGTATGTTGTCAGTCTGATTAGGAAGAAACTTGGGTCAATAAAATAAAAATAAGTAACATAGGTACATATCTTTGTTTCGGTGAGAACAGTTTTGGCTGGGTCATTTTGCTTCTCAGGTTTTGCTCTGTAGCATTACAAGACCAATTTAGTCTATTTAGGGACCTAATCATTGTGTTGAATTCTAGTACTTGATTAAAATTTTGTTCAGGGTTTAGAAGGTTGAAAAGAACATCTGATATATATTTCAGTTGCTGGTCATTTTGCTGATGCGTTAATTGGTCATAAATGGACAGTGTTATCAGTGAGAAGACTAATGACTAGTATTGGTTTATTAGGTCCTGGCTTATTTATGTTGTTTTTTAGTGCTGTCAATAATTTACCGTTAGCTGTTATGTAAGTAGATTTAATAGTTCTCTTGCTTTTTCCTCTGAAAAGTCTTGTATTATAGATTATAGTAATGGTTGATCAGTTAATCAAAAATTGTGTTGATTTTAAACATTTGTGTGACTCTTTTTAATTATTGTGAATTATTTCTCATTACACACTACATGAACCAAATCTGTTGCAGTAAATAGGTTTTTATTTTTGTACATAAAAGATTAATTATTTATTTTAATGGTATGATTTTTCTTTCAGTTTTGTTTCCATAGCATTAGGCTTAAGTGCATGTAATTCATCAGGACATTTAAGTAATCATGCTGAAATTGCTCCAAATCATGCTGGAATCACATTTGCTATATCAAATACTCTTGTAAGTCATATCTTTAGTTTCACTCTAATTGTTAAATACTCTTTGGTTTTAAATTATTTGTTTCATATTACATGGAATTATGTTTAACAAATCAACTTGGACAATAAACTGAAGCCTTAAGTTTTACATGCTTTGTGTCATTGAAGACTCGTCAACAGTAGGGAATTGAGAAATATTTGACTAATGCTGCTGTCCTCCAAATGTCTTAATTTTACGCACTTTGCTTCTACCAGAAGTATGATACCAAAAAATTGTAAATTGTTATAATGTGGTGTTTTTTTTTAACATATGTCTTAGCTGAAATTGACTTAAATTGGTATCTTCCAAAACACATCCATGGTATTCATGAAATATTAATATTATGTGTTATATTTTCAATTTGTTTTTCAGGCCACAATACCTGGTATAACCTGTGGACCACTGACTGCCGAACTGGTTATTCAATCACATGGTCGTTGGTTTCCTGTCTTCATTATTGCTGCCGGTGTCAACTTTGTTGGTGCCATTATTTATTTGAGTCAAAGCGCTGCCAGTCAGTTACTGTGATCAAATTTTTAGTATTCCACATATTAACGTGTTCAAATTATTTTGTGAAAAAAAAGGGTAAAATTTATTCCAAATTTATATAATATCAAAAGAAATCATGATATTTTTCTTAACTTTAATATTCAATTCTATGTATTCAAATTACTTCAATAACTACTTTAAAAGACTCCAATGCCCTTGACATTGCTCAAGAAAAGTAAAGATAGTACACTACGATATACAATACATATATAAGTTGATCATAAAATTATGTCAGTTGTGAATGTGCAGAAAATAAATTTGCTTTGTTTCGATCAAAATCCATTAATCTACAAATTTGTAGAAATGAATTGTAAATATACATTACTCTATCAGGTCAAACAACAAGATATATATTTTGTACAGTGTCATTTTAACCAGACGTCTGAGGTGTTTTGTAGATTTTATTGTATTATTTAAAACGTATTACATTCTTATTGTATGCAGCATGAGAGTAAAATTGCATTTGTTATCAGGAGGTTTTGATATCAAATCCATAAATTATGATTTTGTAGAGTTATCTGGTAAGAATTTTTTTTTTTTTGTGGTTGAATCATCCCTAACCTGTAAGCATCTTCACAATGTCAAGCTATAACAAACTTGCGAAGATGATCTGTGAGATGATAGATAATAAATAATAATCAATAATAATAGATGCTATAAAAGGGACCCATAGCGATCACCAGTTGCATATGATTGCGAATAAGATTTGTGTTTATGAGTTTTGTACACAACTATCGTGCAACTCGGCTGTGCATTGCGTTCGGGACTCATGACCACTTTCATTATTCACAACTGGTAATTGCTATAGTGTGAGAGTACCTTAACTTCTGTGCAGAATCACCTACAAAGACCAAAGGGATTTCATTGTCACAGGTTATCCGCCAAATCATTGAATTAAAATAATAGTTTGTTTTTATAAACTCTACTAATTGAATGTAAATATAATATATATATTTCTATAAATATCGAATCATTTGTCAACGATCATATTTTAATTTGTAAATATTTGTGTATAATTGTAAATAAGTCTATTCAAATATTTGTAGTTTATCTAATAATTTGACCCTTGCAAGTGGGAAAAGTTTTAACTGATTATGAACAGTATAACACGACACAGTCTATCTTCACTTGTTCATATTCAATGGGAAATAATTTATTGTGAACTGTAATCTTAGCATGTCAACAACTATTGCCTACCTCATTGAGCAACTGTCGAGGGATATTTAATGAGCACATAGGGCCTTGGGTTATTTTCCCATACAAACTACTTGAAGGCTTCTTGCATGTCAGCTCCCCAGGCCTGCATCACTGACAGGTATGACATGAATCACAGCAAATTGCCCCTTCAATTTAAATGCAAGAGTCTTAAAGGAATTCAATTTGCTGTTAATTCTTACTGATGTCAAAGTAACACATTCTTTAGTTCCTGACACTTTCAGTATCAGAATTTAATAAGAATTACATAATTTACAGTTTCATTTAGCACTTTTTTTTTTCTTTAATCCACAATTTTTATTATTTACATTTCATAATATATATATTTATCTTGATTGTATAGAGTATAATACACTATAAACATAACTGATATTACACAAATTCTTTATATACCATCTCTAGGGATACATAAATAACGGACAATTGGATCCAATTTATAGATGATGAATTTCAGTAATCAAACTTGTATTTTGTAATAGTTTCTACAAATGAAATATCAATATGGTTATATAAATGCATTAATTTTTTAGTGGATATAATCATATCTATTATTCATTCATTCAGAAAACAACAATGATTGCATGAACCCATCAGAAATGCAAACAATGAAGTCTTAGTGGTATCTAATGAATTTGTGTTAAAACCAGTTGAAAACATCTAGCATGTTAGTATCTAATATGCCATTTCATTACATCACAGAATTTAGATTTATGCTTGAGGGATAGAGAGGAAATAAGAGAAGAATACAGATTGTTGCTCAAATTAACCAATATATTATTATCATTGATAGATATGATACAACAGCAACATAATCAAATCGAAGTTTTTTGTCATCAAAACATTAGCAGTAATACATTATAGGCTCTATTTGGGTGAGCTTCAGATTTCCAAAACAGTAATCAAGAAGTTCAGGATATCCAAAACAGTAATCAAGAAGTTCAAGATATCCAGAACAGTAATCAAGAAGTTCCAGATATCCAAAACAGTAATCAAGAAGTTCAGGATATCCAAAACAGTAATCAAGAAGTTCAAGATATCCAGAACAGTAATCAAGAAGTTCCAGATATCCAAAACAGTAATCAAGAAGTTCAGGATATCCAAAACAGTAATCAAGAAGTTCAAGATATCCAGAACAGTAATCAAGAAGTTCCAGATATCCAGAACAGTAATCAAGAAGTTCCAGATATCCAGAACAGTAATCAAGAAGTTCAAGATATCCAGAACAGTAATCAAGAAGTTCCAGATATCCAGAACAGTAATCAAGAAGTTCAATCAGCTTCAAAGAAGTTCCAGATTTCCAAATTAGCTGTCAAACAGCCCAAACCCACTGTCTGATTTAAAATTTCTATCAATTCCTTTGGGGATTTTCCAGTCCTGGGGGGAAGTGAATATTTTGGTATGCTGAGAATCTCTTCGGGAGACTCAAGAACTATTCTAACAAAAACTACTAAACAACTACTACAGAAGCAAGCAAGGCAAATTGTATATAAATGCAAAGAAAATTTTTTAAGAAAAAATAGAATATCTAAATCGTAAAATCAATAATCACCGTTCATTAATATACTTCATTAGACAAAAACAATAGAAACCACTCACATTAGTTTGTTAATGTTATTCATTACAATTTCAAACCTTTACATGCTTTCACTTCTTACAAATAACTTTTAAAACAGGGCTTTTTTCTACAATCATATGAACCAAATTTCTCATTTTACCAACTCTAAATATCATTAAAAGAAATGACCAAAAATCCAGAAATTGTTGCCATATGCATGATCTGCTCAAATTGATAGAAAAAACAAGATCATTTTTAGCTCCGTTCGAAATTAATTGTAATCCGTTAAAATATCCATCGACTATTATTGCAGAAATCTCATGAAACAGCTTTGGAACAACGAATAGAAATAGATGAAACAGAATTTCTCAGTTTAATGATCCTTAATTTTATAGTGCAACTTAAATTCACTTCTCTTCAAAGAAAAAAGCAACTAACATAATACATTTCTCATGATTATTCCAACCATTTCGGTAGTCCTACACAATCAACAGAACAATATTTATATATATAGTCATGATATTTGAACATTAAATAAATATGATTACATTTATACATTATAATTACAGTTGAACTTGGTTTAGTCTGTTATCATTATTTCATATTTTTCGGACAAACATTACTTGTATAAATGTATATATATTCGGACAAATATATTTATGTACATTCAGAGACATGTTAAACCAAACACACAAGTAATCCACAATTTCAAGTTGTTTTATGTATTTATAAACATAAATAGTCTGTACAATTTCAATTACTCTTGTACTCTCTAAAACGATTAAACAATTTTTGATTAGGTTTTTAATTACCCCTGTATGTATACAAATATCTTTCTTTGACTAAGAAGTCAAATTAGGTTTGAAAGTTAGCCAAAATATTGGTGATATTCATATTAAATTCCTAGTTATGATAGCATTCCTTAACTGCCAAAAAGCACATCTATTTGTGCACTTATGAAATAAATGAAAAGACCATTGACCAAGTGTTGACCATAATATATTATGGAATATAGTTGATTTATACACACTTCTACATGATATCATTTTAACATGATCTAAAATAGTCCTCAACGACTGTTTGCTTTCAAACTAAAACTATAAGCTATTTTAATCAGGTTGGGTATTAATTAATTTATGCTTAATATCATTCAAATTATGTCTTTCACAAAATCATTTCAGGTAACAAATCATTAAATGAAACTTGCAGTAAAGCCCACACAGTCTGTAGAGCAGGGGTTAATAAGTTGCAAAATTCACTTGTCATCAATCAAACCCTAAACATCTCATATTAGCAAGCAAGCTTTTTTGCCATCATGATCTCCTTTAACTCTATGTAAACCCTGCTTTCAATGTATAAAATAGGCATCAAAATATTCTTTCATTGTATTACGCAAAATCTTGAAGTATTTATGTTTTAATTAATCATAATTAAAATAGTAGAAATTAGTTTATCAAAAGCAAACAAAGTATTCCTAAGACACATTAGATTTTAATGTGCAAGAGCTGTTATCAAATCAGCACACATTTCAAAAAATTCTAAAGTTTGATGGCAATGTCCTTCACCATCTATTTCCATTTTTTCTTCTGATTGGGATGTGACCATACCATTGTTAACATCATTATCAGATAAATCATTAGTTAAACTTTTAAAATCTAATAAATAACTTTTCTGATCCACCTGATATAACTGTAAACTCATTTTAGTCTGAAATAATATATAATTATTTATAGGAAACTTGATCGTAAAATCCACATCTTTATACATTAACAAAAGAATATTAATTACACCATTTTCCCTTGCAGATCCTTTGAGTTTTTACATACTACTTTTCTGTACCTGTTTGGGCTAACGTGGACAGGCAATGCTATGCAAAGTGCAATGATGCAAATTTTTCCAGGACAGCAGCATTAGCAAACTCTTTTTCAATTTCCATCTGTCAATGGATTTTTGACATTGCATTTCACAATCTGAGGCACACAGGACTTTCCCCATAATTAAAGCCAATCTGAGAATGTTGTACAACAAAAAAAAATTATAAGTACAACAGAACATAGATATAACATAACTTACAAATCTATTGTTGATTTCATTCAGTTTTCTGGCTCGTACATGATATGTATTGATTATTTTCCATTCCTGTATAATAAACAGTAGGTTAATATCTATCTAGGTCAAATCAGTGTTTATAATAACTAATGTCATCATACATGTCTATATAAGATGTCAGATGATATAGTACATTTAGTCTATATAATGCTAGTGAGTCATTATTAATTGTGAGGAAATTGTATAATGACATATAGTAATTATAACAGGATATCAAGGCTAGACAATAACATCTATAGCAAACAGACAGTTATTTTCTATCTCAGCTAGTACAAAAGAGTGATTTAATAGGACTAATAATAGACATAACATAATGAATATATGTCAATTAATGACTCCTCATCAATATTCATTAACGTCATTCACGGAACATAAATTGTAAACTTAAACAAAGATTTATTAAAATCAATAAGAAAGGAACAAACTATTACACCATATTAATGATGATATCTAAAGATTTACATGTTGTGCTTTGAATGCATTATAAATGAATGTCCTACTTATTTGAGCCAGTGTCCGAAATCTAGGACAGTGACCATAACATTGAAAACAGAATATTATATACTATTGCAAATATTGTCAGAATCAAACTTGAGCCACCAATGGTGGCCCACCATACTATGATAAATGCATTTTAGAGAGTAAACATTTCATCTTTTTAAAAATTGAAAAGAAACTTACAAAATTTAATGATTTCATAGCTCTGTACACTTCATGCATGATATCTTGAGGTTTACTCTGAGATCGGATTCCTTTAAAAACAATAACTTGACATACAGCAAAATGTAGCAAAATAAGGCATATAAATGATATATCTCAGTTGTTTCATGTTTAAAGCTAACTAAAATACAAGCATAAAGAAAAGATTTTCAATTTACTTTTCTCTACTTAATTATGCAACAGAACCATTGCTGCTGAAAAAGAGACCTTAATTTGGGCATCATTCTGTATTCTGAGTAGGTAAACTTTAAGCTAAACAATCAGTTTCTTTTATCATTTTTTTCATTAGAAAGAGATAAAGCATTAATTAATATACATACCTAAATGCCATTTGGCTTTTTTGATGGCAGCTTGAGGTTTTCCGGCAGCACCTGGTTGTATACTGTCTAATGTATGGGTGACATCTTTCATTTCTACAACAAATCAAATCATTAAATCATTTAATTACGTAAAATGATCAAGTTCTATTCATAAAGCCATATTATCTGGATGGTCCTTAACTTTTCAATCTTAGAGAGATAAATATACCTTGTATGCTTAATGTTGTTAATTTGGGAGAAGTAATATATTATTACATACCTGACATTCTTTCTGGATGTGGAGGTCGACCAGGACTGGGTGCCTACAATATAGAATAAAAATACACTTAAAGACTGATATATAGGAAAAAAGATGAGAAAGACAATGGCAATTGCTCATAGTAATATATATTTTGTCTGAGTGTCTTTTCACTCCCTAAAACACAAATAAAAAAAACAGCCTGTTTGTTGTCTTTTTAAAATTTGGTCTATTTTGTATTTCAAGCATGTTGAAGATTATATTGTTTTATCAGAAGTGTTGCACCATATTTTGTATCAATATTTGAACCAGTGAGCCAATGAAAATTATCTTACCGGTAAAAAAGATTCAGGAGGGGGACTAGATGCCAAATAAAAATCACTAAATTCTGTTTTACTACCTGAAATGATGATATATTTGGTTAAATTTCATTATGAACAAGAGCAAAAAATTAATCAATTTTTACACAAAGCATCAGTTACTGATTGCTCATTAGTTATTCGCATTTCTTGGATTAGATTTTTCTTTATGATAACGTGACCATGTATAGAATTCTATGTCCAAACTTACTTTCATCTGCAGCCATACGTTGATTATCGATAATTAAATTATAAGCTATGTTAATCTGATCGTGAGGATCTCCTGATAATATAGCACGATGTACATCATCTTCACTAACATTCAATTTCTGTAATAAAATCAAAATAATCAGAATTAATTCAGTACGATTCGCTTTCAAACATTTCTGTCCAAGCTCCTTCTTAAAACTTGACAAATTTTGAGTCTATGCCAAGAAAAATTAGATGTTAATCTAAAATGGTCTAGATACCTTTGCGAGATGTTAAAAGCTCATTTTAAGCCATCAATATTCAATTTGAGAAAATCTACACATATCTATTAGTTAAACTATAGTCAGTCAAACTACCTATGCCAAGAAAAATTAGATGTAAAAATGAAAGCGAGAGACTTACATCACAAACATCTCGTACCACCTCCACATCAACTATAGAAGCATCCTGATCATTTTGTGAAGGAAATAAATAGGCTGGTAAATCTTTCTTAAACCAATCATGTTCTCTACAAAATATAACGAAATAAAGTCTATAACGTGTACACAATACAATATGTAAACCATGTAATAATCTAAGCATGTAATTAAGAAATATAATGCATGGCATCAGAGTTGTTTCTATCATTTTATGGGCATAGAGAAGATATTAGATAGCAACACAAATATTGAGCATAATTACAAAAATTATTTTATATCATTAAGATACTGAGCTAGCAAATTTTGTGCTTAATATGTATCATTTAAAAACATCATACATATTATCTTACTTTTTGCATTATGAAATGTATACATAAAAAAATATCAATTTGGTACTTACAAAATAGAACTTATAGTGGCACGTTTTAAAGGATCAACTTGTAACATATGACATAAAAAACTAACAACTTCTTTTGATAAGTAATCAGGTATAGCAAATATACCCGCTGAAATATAGTCATGGCAATATCATTAAATTTTAGATGTGGCATTTATATCAAAGTATATTTTACCATACAATCAAAATGTAAATCATGATTTTTCTTATAATCATACCAAATTAAAAAACATGAATGGAATTAGAAATCTCACTAAATTCAAGAAGAGCAAATATGCTGCATGTCATCAAGGCTTAATAAAACAAAAATTGTGTTCACTATTTAATGCAAATTGCCTCTAAATGTTGCTTAAGAATTATTGCAGTAGCAAAGGGGAAAGCAGAATCTATTTTCAGTAATTTAACAATCTCTCTATATCTTATGATTTATACTTACATTTAATTTTTCTAAATAAAGTAGGAACATGTTCATCATCAAATGGAAGCTGAAATAAACATAAATTTGTTGAAAATGATTCGATAAGATGCCTATACCGATTTTATTTAGAAAACACATCTCATATAAAAACACTTCATGACAGCTGGTTTTAAAAGTAAAGATTATCACCAAAACGAATCTAATAGTTGGGAATCTTTACTATTTTCTTTTAAATACAAGCATACAACTTACTCATTTAGATAACACAAGTAAATACTTACCGTGCCACAAAGAAGAGCATATAATATCACACCACAACTCCAAATATCTACTTCTGGTCCAGCATATAACCTTAATAAATAATCATTAATCAGTAATACAATCTTTGTTTACTCTTTTCACACATATCAAGTTTAAAGATATCTTAGAATAAAAAAAAAAATAAGATGAACTGAAATACACCTGGGAAAAGAATTTTACTAGGATTTCAGAATAAAATAGACTGTGATACCAAATATATATCAACTTACTTTCCAGAGATAACTTCAGGAGCAGCATAATTTGGTGAGCCACAACTTGTCCGTAAAAATTCACCATCATGCATCATATTAGATAAACCTGAAAGAGTTATTTTTGGCTTTCTATGAATATGAAATGAAGCAAGAACATGATATAAGAAGTTCTACCTCAAGTAGCCACAAATATATCCAAAACAAAAGTGCAGATTCACTTAGTATAAATATGTTACTTACCAAAATCTGCTATTTTAACATTTCCCTGAGAATCTAATAATAAATTTTCAGGTTTTAAATCCCGATGAACGACCATATGACGATGACAATAATTGATACCAGATATAATTTGCTGAAAAAATCTTCTAGCTTCTGCTTCCTTCAACTATAATTGCAAAATTAAATCATAATATCTACTATTTTCAAATAACTATGCATCGACAATATGATAGGGTTTTTGTTATCGGCAATCAGTTTGTTTTACTAGTTTTAATGCATTCACTTGTCTTTTATAATTCATAATCTATTTAGTAGGTCAATTATTTCCCACTTAAAGTTGACTATGGAATCATATTCGTAAAAATTGTGCCGCTTAATGCGAGTGTAATCAAAGGTAAACAACACCTTCAATATATTTTTTCTGAGTATATTAGCTTTGTCATACATATCTGAGTTGCTTGGGAAACAACTGTTCAAACGAAAGTCACAAATCTTAAACGTCATACACTTCATGCAATATATTAACTTAAAGAGTGAAGAGTATAGTATCATATGATGATTATTTTCTAGCACTTTCATATTCAAACAGATAATTAATTGCATTCCACAAATTAAATAGTTTTAATAATTATACTAAATAATCACCATGTAAAAACTGTGTTCATTAACTATGCTTGGCTTAGACTTACCCTTCCATGTTTTACAATGTAATCAAATAATTCCCCTCCAGCAACATATTCCATAACCATAAATATATCTGTTCTGGTACTTATAACTTGATATCTACAATAGAAGTATTAAAATTTAACACAATTTTCTGCTAGAAAATTGGTAACTTTATTTTATAGGCCATAACAAGATGCTAGTAAGATTTTCATTTATATAAGATCAAAATTTGTCAATGACCTAAAAGCCAAGACATTACATATTTCTTGTTCATATATCAAGATTGGTGGCAGTTTGAAAAAAGAAAAAAAAGTAAGCTTATGTACTGTTAATATTTCACTAGTTGCACACTGCCTGACTTTGCCCTTCTTCATAATTCCACAATCAGGTACCGAAGAATAAGACGTAAAACTGAATTGGTGGTAAATATAAGCAATACTAGTATTAAAAAATACTTCTAAAATACACTTACAATTTGATTATATGTGGGTGTCTAAATAGTTTGAGGTTTTGAATTTCACGTCTAATTTTACCAACCACATCTAGACTTTTAATTTTTTGTCTATTTAATATTTTAACAGCAACTCTATGTCCAGTTAACTGATGTTTGGCAACTGAAATAAAAATATTGAACGACAATCAGCTTAGAACAAACTTCTTCTGATTCACTTCTGTTGATTTTCTATAAAGTACCCGGTAGCATCTTCTTTCAGTACACTTTACCTTGTTTTGAAATCGAGACACTTTTCCTTACAATAAAAACATATCATCATATCATAATCAAGATCATTAAAATATCATCATAATGTTAGATCATTAAAACATATGGTCACTACACAACACGATATACTTGTGGAATTGTTTTCTATTGAGTTTTGTAGGATCTATTTGAGATTACAAAGTCAATCAAAATGAGAATAAAGAGAGGAATATATTCATTTGTTCCTAACAATTTATCTTGACTATATTGATATTTATACTTTATCATAGAAAACATAACATTGAATAATGAATGCATAAAAAATACTGAACAAAAATACTTGAATTGATAAATGGCTCATAGCTATTATCATAATTGGATATTTTGGAATGACAAGAAAATTGAAAGCCTAAAGCCAGAATAGAGAATGTTATTTTCAGACAGCTGGTAGCATTCAAGGACAATCTATGAAACTATTAGAACCAAGTAACAGATAAAATCACTTTTCTCAGTGAGTTAATTTCATTTTAGAACAACCTGTCTAATATTTCACATCAGTCAATTCTAGTTTAAAACTATTAAAATATAAATATATACAAAAAATAAGTGATAAGTTCTGGATGAGCTCTGTTAAATATTAATATCACCAAGCTTTAGTTCCAAAGTTTAAATGTTTTAATAGATTTTGTCTTATTTTTTCAGAGACATAGCAAGCCTATATTTCTATCAAGTTTTAAAAAGTATACTTTTAGACGTTTATCTTTATTTATAGGCATGGCATGATATGCTTAAAATACTCTTTAAATGTGATGCAACTGCTTTAAAAGCAACTGCAACTGTTAGTATCAGATAGTTAAGATGTCACACTAATCACATTGACCATTTGGGGGTTGAATCAAACTTGCAAAACTGTGAAAAGAACACTTTGAAATATTCAAAATAATTCTCATTAAGTGCAGGTTCATGAAGATTTTCTACAGACATTTTGTCTCCTTAATATATATTAAATCAATCAAACTGTATCTTGATAATGATGAGAATCCGCTGAAATGTCCCATTTAGTTTCGATAAATAAAATGCCTTTGGCAGAGATAGGATGGCACTGTATCATATTAAAATGTATTTCGTTTGTATGATTTCCCTTGGACCTGATGACAGATTTCAGCTTAAAATATTTGGGATGACATTCTAAAACCAGACATAGGCTAATTAATAAATAATTAAGAAATTTAGGGAGTGTAGTGACTAGTAATAGCAATCAAATTTATAATATTGCTGATTGACTTTTGGCAAGCCTGGTCAAAACTGGTTTTGACAGCCACATCCTGGTTTACAATGTCAAATATTTGTCAAATTGTTTTATGTCGCATCATGGACGTGCCTTATTGACAGCTTACAGTCCCTAAACTGAAATAAGATCAACTTGTTTACGACATGTTTTAGCTCGAGTAAATGATAAACACAAATGACCTTGATATTACTAAATCGAGATGTTTTCCAAGCTCAGCAAAGTCGGCATTGAAAATTCCCTTTACGAGTGCATTCGACTGCTTTTTTGATCATGTCATCTCCCTTTATCTACTAACAGGGCGATGTTTTCTTGCGAAGTCACTTGTAGAAAATAATTGATTACTTACTTTTTACTTTTCCAAATGTTCCTGAACCCAACGTTTCCCCCAATAAATAGTGGCCTATTTTAACTTGAGGTTGGTTACTCTTCTCCGCCATCTTCTGGAAATGGTAATGATCGGTGACGTCACAATTTTTGTAAACTTTCATTGGCTAACAGCCTTTTGGGGTCATGACCTTTTTGTCGTAAACATTAAACCACGTGCTTCATTTGAGGAAATTAGGGCAAATAGAGCATCTGTACTCTCGTACATTTTGAAGGGTATGATCAGCATTTTTTAGAATTTTCAACTAGAATGTTTTGATAAAATGGCAATGATATATCGCGAGATAAGATTTCTTCGTTTGGATCATTTTTTTACTAAAAGAAACCTCACTAAAATATGTATCAATTCGAGTCCCTTAAAAGGAATGAGAACAAGTTCCGATTGTTTGCCCTAGTCATTAAATGGAGTTATCGCCCATACTATATTCTCAGGCGATTAGGATGTTTACATCAACTGCACAGCTTCAAAAAAGAACAGGGCCTCACGGAATTGGCCGCTTTAGCTACTTGCAGTCTCTTGTCACCGAATTTCAAGATACAAGTGATATAGGAATGTCCCATTTGTTTCTGAAAATTTAAAATTTAACTGTTTAGTTGAAAACGATTTGACCAATTTAGTCATTACGTCCATTTGACAACTAGGACATCATTGTGCATTCAAAATCGACCATTATTTTGTATGTGTAAAGGCTTCTTAGCTTATGAAATTCTAATTTGATTAAAATTAGATTGCAATTTTGTTTAGTTATTATTTTGTCGGTCTCCATTGTAATCTAAGAAGATTTACACAAAGGTTACCTTCTATTCAACATATCACAGCGTAGCAACAACCAAGGTAGAGCACTATGACGAAAGAGTTATGAGACTGCTTATACTCGCGTGTAAAAGTAAAAGTTATTCTGGTTGGTGGAAGAGTACTCTTTTAATTTATCATTTTCATTTGGTAAATGCTTATTTATCAAAAACTTTGCTTTGGTTGATATACCGTACTAAACAAATACCGGTATCCATATATTGCTTCTTCAGTTCAAATTGTATAAATTTCCTTATATTTTATCTATTTATAGACAGTAAAAGAGAAGTATTGGCTAATCTTGCTAATTTTGCCTATGATCCAATTAACTATGATTATTTTAGACAACTGAATATATTAGACCTGTTATTGGGTAAGTTACTAACTTAAACTATTCCAATTACTGTGGTATCCCATTGACTTTGGATTGAATTAGCAAGAACATGATCTGTCTGTGATGAAATATTTTTACTGTCACTGACTCACTTACAGGTTACAAATGGAAGTATTATAAATGTCTCAAATGAATTTATTCAATTTTTATTTCAGCTCTTCTATAAAATGTAACTATTGACTCTCAGATTTCTTCACTGTTCTTATCACAACTTTTGTAACAAGCTTAGTACAGTTTTGGTTTTCAGGACTCAGGTTTGGGCTTTATGTTGTTTTATATTTTGTTTAGATGCAATAGAAGAAGATGATGTACAGTTAAAACGGTTTGCTATTGGTGGTATCTGTAACTGTTGTTTAGATAAACAAAATAAAACTCATTTTCTGGAAAACAATGTTATTAACCTTGCTGTTAAATGTCTTTCAAGGTAACAGTATATTTTTGTATCATTAACCTGTATAATGTCTGGAACTCCATCTTAAGCTTTCAGTGTCAATCCTTTTAAAAGGTTACACATTGTAATAAAGTAGATCTTTCTGATCTTTTAATGGCATTTCTTAAATGAAAAATTATAGTGTAATGTAAACTGGTTCTTGTAGTAATGATATAGAAACTGTGCTGAATTCCATCACAACTTTAATGTATTTGGTGACTCCTCAATCAAAGAAAGGTAAGTGATATTCATTGTTTTATATAAATGCAGTAGTGAACCATTCTTAATACTGGTATAACTCACTTGTCTTTTTCTTTTTCCTCGAATTATATTTGTTTGGAAATTAAGTTGGAGATTTTACAATAGAATTCAACAGTTTTGTTTATTTTCAGATATAACCAAGACACCTATTGTTGAGTGTATGTTACGATTTTCTCAGTCCAAAGATAAAAGGCTCTCAAATCTGGCAAGTGTGTTTGTAGAGGTATGAATTATTTCTAAACATGTTTTAATGTAAATGGCATTATTGTAACCTCTAACCTCTCTCACAAAAGCAACTAGAATTAAATGATAAGTCATAAAATTTTGTAAGATATGGCCTTTAGACTGTGAGGTAGTTTTGTTTTGAAGAAAAAAAGTTCTTTCCGAAACATCTTGTAATTGTGGGTTGATATTCTAGAGGGTAATCCCCTGTAGCACTTGTCATCTTATGAACTTCTTACACATTGTTTTGACAGTGCTATATTTCTCCTTGTCAGGCCAAGGTTGGTGCTTTGTTATCTGCTTACGGAACTGGGACTGGATACTAGGGAATACAAAGATATTCTGATACTTTGGTTATGAAATTTAACAAGAATAGAACTATATCTGTTTCTGTCTTTTGCAGGATTATTGCACTCCAGAACAGATCAGTGAAGCTGAGAAATTGCAGGCACAGTTGAATAATCAAAATGGTTGATACAGACTAAAATTGGATTGGTTAAATGATTCTGTAAAGATCTGAGGTCAGCAGCTGGGAAGTGACCATACTAGATGACACTGAGGTTTGGTTCACTTAAAGATATGGTTGATTGTTGATGATTCGTATTTTCTTTGATGAAAATAAAAACTTCTTGAAAAAAGTTTCTTGAATATAGTTTTATTTTTACAATAATAATTTGTTTACAGTTTAACAGTTTGGTTTAAATGTGTTTTCTAACATGTTTCAATACTAACTTTTGGATTGTACAATTAAACAAATTAACAGCATGACTAAAAGCTGAAAAACCCCTAACAATTATCTGCTTGATTACATGACAATATAAATATCACAGTAGACATTTATTTTAATAAGGGACCAGACAGTCAAATTCATAAGCCATCTCCATAAACCAATTGTTTATGGAGGTTTTGTTAAAAAAAAATTGATGTGATTTATAACACATAATATACATGTCGGTTGAAAGCTTTTCCTTGAAAGTAAAAAAGTATCTGAACATTATCATAATAGGCATAGATTATAATCCCTATATAACCACTCTATAGTATTAAATGAATGTAGCTGCTGTATATTAATAAGCTCATATTATAAATCATTTTGAAAATTGGTTTAGAAAGAATTAAGATCTCTCATCGTCTCCTGGAAATGTCTATTACTTTTCTGAAATATAAGAAAACATAGAATCTGACTTTAATTTATTTCAAGAATGTAATTCTCTATGTGATCATGAATAAAGAAGTAACTCATTCCAAGTTCCAATATGTCAAAGATATACATATATACATATTGACGTAAAGTAGGGTAGATTGTATGTATTAGTTCTTATTATTCATATAGTAACCCATGGTTATGGCTATTGAGAAACTGTATGCAGTAAATGACATCTTATAATGACTTTCTTAGTTATAGATTACTTACGTCTTACAATATGGTGGTATAAATCCATTATAACACTTGCATTTGCCAGGTCTCATACACTTTCCTCCATTTTCACAGGGTGTCTGACAAATTGCTGAAAAACAAAGAAACAGATTCTTAGTCTCAAAACTCAAGCGACATCCACAATATTTTCTCACATTTGAGTTTAGAAATTCTATAAGAGCATCAATAATTTGAAATGAATTTACCTGATTCACACCTTGACCCTCTATAACCCTTTGGACAGCTACATCGGTAGGGTGAACTACATACACCACCATTTAAACATGGTAATATACAAATAGCTGAAATATATAACAGTTCAACCAATCAAAATTACCTACAATTATATCACAACAAAATTTGGGGTATTGTACTTTGAATTCAAGCATACTTAGTTCAGGTAAAACAAAAATTATGATCCATTTGAGATGTATATGCATCGATACATCAAAGAAGAACAATATATTCAGTTTATTTACATGTAATATTGTTTGGACATATGTTAAATGGCAGAAATTCCTAAGGATTTTGAAAATTTAAAATAAATTGAATTTTAGCTTACGCTTTTCGCATTGGATGCCACCAAAACCTGGTCTACATTTACATCTGTTCATACCAATACACATACCACCATTTTGACATGGTAATTTACATTCAGCTGAAGTGCAAAAAGAAAGTATTTAGTGGGTCAAGAGCTTTGTCAGTTTATATACCATGAACTTCTGTGATATTAATGAAACACCTGTCAGTTTTGTATTGGTTTATGTTGAGAAATCATTACTACATTTGAGAATAGATAAGATTGCGAGATTTCATTGTCAACGAGTTAAGACGGGCTTTCTCATTGGATTAACGTCAGTTTGATTTATAATTTGGATATTGGCAGATAGAAGTCAAGTTTCTGATACATACGAAAACTGCTGTCAAATTGAAAGGAACTATAGAAGGTCAAATGAAATAAACCTTTTGAAGTCAAATGCATGAAATGAGTTCATTAGCTTCCCTCACCTGCACATGCAGCTTCACCGTCCCATCTACCATCAGCCTTACAAGTTAATATAGGCGGAAACTTAATGGGACGTAATCCTGGACGGCACATATATTGTATTCTATCATTGTAGAAATAAGTAAAACCTTGAATCACTATATTCACAATATCTCTTACTCTTGGACGACCACAAAATACACCTGTTGATGTATGAAAAGGAAAGATGTAGAAAAATCAGTAAATAATAGCCTTTAACAAGTTACAAATCTGTGATTCGAAAGATATCTTTTTAATGTTTTAAATTTTGGGATATTCCAGATTATTGGACGCTTTAAATGTCAAAAAGCTTTAAGGTATAAGTATAAATATAAATGGTTCTTACGTCGACATCGTCCTGAAGGAACAGTCCATGTGTTATCTTGTTTACAGGTGGTGTCCATATTACCTCTTGGATGGTAACCAATCTTACAATTGACAGTAGCCCTTTCTCCAGGAATGTAAGATGTAATAAACGGTGCCGAGTTCTTTACATTCACCCTATCATCACAAACGGTAACAATATCTAAAAAATAAATGATGATGGAACTATTATGTTGGTGATTTTATATTAAACAGCAGGGAGTGCTTACTCTTCTAGACACCTGATATTACTTTTCATAATGAAATACTTACTCAATTACGATTGATATGTCACCTCATGTGAAAAGGTTTTACCAATGTTTTGTCAATATGTTGTTTTGGATTTCTGCTTTTGTATTGCGATTTGGACCGTTAGTGCTTAGTTTATATTATTCTCTTTTTTTTTCAAAGGTGGATTTTTAAAACAATTTTCAGGCGACGTACACGAGTTTCAACACACTGCACTGTCAATGTAAAGCGTTTAAGAAGAGAAGATGTGTCCGAAATTGTAAAGAAGATTTCAAATATTAACTCACTTAGAGGTAGTTGACATATTGGCTGATTTCCATTCCACCTTCCATTCGCCAAACATTTTAGTTCTGCAATACCTTCCATAACATATCCAGCATGACATTCATACACAACTGTGTCGTTGTACAGTATATTTCTGAGAGGGTCGCCGCTAATCACTCTTGAGTGCAGAGGAATGGTTAAGGGACCACACGATTTACCTGTATGATAAAAAAAAACAATAAGTGAAGGGAATGAGATTTATTGTCGTCTGTTTTTGTCTAAATGTCATTTGCGACGTTCATTGTCGAATGTTATTATGGATTGTATACTGATGTTTGCTGTGTTTGGTATTAAAGTGAATTTGACTTACGTTGACATGTTGGGGCTAATCCACTCCATTCACCATTTGCTTGACAAATTAGATTACGGTAACCTTGTAGTGTATGTCCCTCATCACATTCGTAATGAACTTCTCTACCAAAAGTAAAATCATCCCCAGAATAACGCGTAGTTGTTTGCGGCGGACCACAATAAACTGGATCACATCTAGGTATCACACCATGCCATTCTCCAGTTTCACGACAATCCATGGTAGATAATCCAACTAGATTGTACCCAAGGTCACAAGAATAAGTTACTACCGAACCAACAACTCTTTGATTTAGAAGGTACAGCCCGTGATTGATTTGTGTTGGATTAGGACAGGTAATTAAGTCACATGATAGACTGTTGTCCATTGTCCACTGACCTGTTTGATCACAAATTGCATTAGGATCACCTATTATGTAGTAACCATTTGCACAAGTATACCGGGCGGTTTTCCTTGATCCTCTTGAAGACACTTGTACTGAAGCATTTGGTATGTCTGGAGGTTGTCCACATATAGGAACACATGTGGGATAGGCACCAACCCATGATCCATCGTCTCCACATTCAAGCTGACCCCCTCCTTTTATCTTATATCCTGGATTACACGTATATGATATTTGATCCAAGTATTTAAAGCTGATGCCAACTAGTTGGCCATTTAAAACATCTTGCGGTCGCCCGCAATCCACAGGAACACACGAAGGGAATTGGTGAGACCAGGTTGCATCTGATTGACACATTATCTGAGTTTCCCCAATAACTTCATATCCATCATTGCATTGAATTGTTAGCCTGTCGTAAATACGATATTCTTTGAAATTATGTGACGCAAAATATTTCCCATTAGGTATTTGAGACGGCGTTGGACAAAAGTTTTCTTGACATACTGGAATGTCAAAGTTCCAAGTTCCATCTGCTAAACAATCCAGTGTATATTCGCCATCAAGTTGGTGAGAAGGGTCACATACGAATTCTATTTGCCGACCGACAGTAAAATCAGAACCAATAACACGCCCGTTTTCCAGACTAGTTATTTCTGGACATGTTATCAAATTACAGATAGGAAGAGAGTTAGGATAGATCGTACCATTGTTAAGACACTCTATATAAGGTGATCCACTTAGCCTATAATTTAACACACATTCAATAGAAATTGCAGTCCCACCATAGAAAGACGTTTGAGAGTTCAAAATAAATCCATTTTGAATATGTGGCAGAGGACATGTTACCCGTTCGCAGACGGTTTTGCCGGAAGTCCAGGACCCCGTATCTGTACATCGTCTGCTTTGTTCACCGTTTAAGATGTACCCATCGTCACAAACATACTGAATTATTTGTCCGTATGTGAAATTTCTTCCAATAATCTTGCCGTTGGGTAGCTCCCGTGGAGAACCGCAAGACACAACTTCGCATGCTGGTTCTTGATTGTCCCAACTACCAAGAGCTAGACATGTTCTTTGTTCAGTACCAATGATATTGTAACCAAGATGACAAAGGTATTGAATTTGAAAACCGAAAGTAAAATTATCACCAAGAATAACTCCATTGGATATCTTTTCTGGTGGAGGGCAACTTACAGCCGCACAAAAAGGGGCATCGGCATCCCATTGACCAGTATTTGTGCATCTGCGCTCTCTAGATCCGATAAGGTTGTAACCAGCATTACACACATATTCTATAAGATCTTCTGTACCTAAGATCTGTCCATTGAGAAGGCCACCAGGAGGAGGACAGTTTATTTTGATGCAGTACGGACTTGTGCTGTCCCACATTCCAGATTCTCTGCATGTTAAGACACTATTCCCTATCATTTCATATCCATTGTTACATTCGAATTCCACAGATGAATTAAATGTATAGTTATCTGACTGAGAAAGAAGTCTTCCGTTAGTTATGGTCTTTGGAAGAGGTGGACACGATATTATTTGGCAATAAGGGGCTAAGATATCCCAATCCCCGTAGTCTAAACATCTTCTAATATTACCACCTATCAGCTCATACCCTCTTTTACATGTATATTCTATATCATCACCATATGCACCGGAAGTAGCGTTAACCTTCCCATGAGCAGGCACCGTAATATCAGGACAAGGAACTATTATGCAGTAAGGAATTGCATAGTCCCAATTTCCACTAGAAAGACATTTCAAAGCCTCTTCTCCTTCTAGATCATAACCAATATTGCAAGTAAAATAAATCTCGATGTCGTAATCAAAGCTTGATCCTAAAACCGCCCCTTGTTGTATAGTATATATTGGTGGACATTGGACGATATTGCATCTGAAATTGGAGACGGACCAACTTGCATTTGAAAGGCAGGTTATTGTGGGATCTCCGAATTGGGTATAACCTTTGTTACACTCAATGACATTTGAAGTGTTAAAGAGAGTTTCTGTGCCACGAATAACCGCATTAGCAATAACTGGGAACTGGCCACATGATATTCGTTCACATCGTGGTGCAGATGTATTCCAAACTGAGTTGATGGTACATAATCTAGTTGACTCTCCGACCAGTAAATATCCTTCGTGGCATATGTAAGTAATTGTATTGTTTAAAGTGTAAACGCCACCCTCTATTCTACCGTGTTGAAACCTTGCGGGATCTTCACATCGTATTATATCACAGGTTGGCTTCTTCCCACTCCATCTTCGATTAGCTTGACATAGTCTGACAGAATTACCTCGAAGGTTATAACCCTCATTACACTTATACACTATCTCCTTTTCAAAATGATAATCAGTGCCAGTAATCTGACCGTTCTTCAAAGCATGTGGATGATGACAGTGGATAGGAGCACAAATGGGGTCTTGATCTTCCCATTCTCCTGATGCTAAGCACATTCTGTTATCCAAGCCAAATATTTCATATCCTGCTACACATTTGTACACTGCGGATCCTCCGAAAGTGTTTCCGAGGATGGTCACTATTCCATAGTCGATATCATTTAAATCGGGACAAATGGTTGTCTCACACCTTGGACTGCCTGGCTCCCACTGCCCAAGAAGACCACATCGTCGTTGAGCGTCTCCTACCATCTTAAATCCGTCTAAACATGTATAATTTAAAACTGCTCCAAATGTGTAATCGGATCCAATTATCTTGGCATTCAAGGCGGCACCTGGTTCCCCACATGAAATCAGGGTACATCGTGGAAACTCATGAGACCACGCCCCGCTTGCTAGACATTGCGAACCTGTACTACCAATCAACTGATATCCGTCATCACAAAGAAAGTCTACGAGAGAGCCAAATTCTATACTGTTTTGAACCAAAGAACCATGGGGTATTGTATAGCTTGAGAGGTCGGGGCATTGAATAATATCACAATACGGTTCCGTTCCAGACCATGTGCCGTTCTCTTCACAAAATCGTTCTTGTTGACCAACAAGATTGAAGCCATCATCACAATGATATCGAGCATTTCTGCTATCAATAGTGACATAAGATCCAAATGCTATGTTAGTTATTTGTGGGCACACGATCTTTACGCAGATTGGATCAGCCCCTCCCCAAACACCACCAGAAAGACAAGTACGCGAACTTGGTCCTTCTAATCTAAAATTCTGTCTACATGAATAGGTAACAGTTGATCCGTAATCCCTCTTAAATCCGTCCACGTAACCATTCGCAAGTATATAGCTTGGACATTGTACCACCTGACATACTGGCAATGGCTGATCCCACTCTCCATTGCTTTCACATGTTCTCGTAGATGATCCTAACATTGTGTAGCCATCATCACATTCGTAGCGGATGACCGAGCCATATGTAAATTTATTTCCGATCATTTTACCGTTTGATATAACCGTAGCAGTTTTATCACAATCAACTATTAGGCAAGAAGAGCTTGAACCCGACCATACACCCAATTCATCACAGACTCGGTCTTGATCACCATTTAAGTTGTATCCTACATCACAGATATACGATGCAAGAGACCCAAAAGATGTTCCTGATATCTCAACTCTACCATTAGGCACATTGAAAGAATCTGGGCATTGCACTGGTTTGCACATAACGGCCTGTCCACTCCAAGTAAGGCTATCTAAACATCTTCTAATTTTATCACCTACTAACCTATGAGCTAATTCACATGTATATGTAGCAATAGCTCCAATGCTTAAATCCTTGTACTCAACTCTTCCGTTTTGTATTTCCACTGGCGGTTCACACTCGGAGGGCTTACATATAGGTACTGTATCAGTCCACGTTTTGTCTATTTGACATGTTCTTGAGTTGACACCTTCTAAAATATGTCCATCTGAACATTCATATTCTGCTTTGCTTGTGTAAGCCAGACCTAAAGCATTGACAAACCCGTTTGTTGGTGGCTGGGGTGGTGGGCAAGAAATTTGGATGCATAAAGGAACGACATTATTCCACCAGCCGGTGCTTTCACAAGTTAAGTTGGTATTTCCAAGAATTTCATATCCATCATTGCAGTAATATGATACCATTACACCGTATACATACGGTGGCATTCCTTTGAAATTCCCGTATATAAGATCTGGAGGTGGTCCACAGCTAACTGGCAAACAATCTGGTTCTGCTTGAGACCACTGTCTTGTTTCTAGACACGATCTTTGTCTTGTACCAACTAATTCATATCCTTCATCACAAGTATAATTTAGTGTGCTTTGAAAATCTATACCATCATACTCAATTTTGCCGTTAGTTATTGGGTTGGGTTGATCGCAAGAAACAGGGTTGCAAACGCGCTCTTCTCCAGACCAGAATCCCGTTTCTAGGCATGTTCGCCTGGATTCACCATTTAGTCTATATCCAGGATCACATTTATAAGAAAGCACATCATTCAACTGGTAAGAAAATCCTTGTATTGACCCATGCGCAAATGATAGAGGTTCTCCACAATTAACAGGTCTACACTCTGGTGGACCCGGCGTCCATTCTCCATTTTCATAACATTCAATAGTATCATCACCAACCATACTATATCCCACGTGGCATCTGTATTCCACCACTGAGAAGGCTAAAATATCACTACCACTGACATTAGCATTAGCAACCATTGGAACTGCTGGACATGTAACCTTTTCACACACTGGTAAATCAGTTTCCCAGGAACCGGATGGTAAACACGTCACTTTACCTTTGTTGTTTGAATGTGTTGTAGAGAATGTAAACCCAAAATTACACTCGTAACTGACCTGTTGACCCACTGAATATTCAGATTTCTTGTTGATTGGGTAACCGTTGTCTAAATCTGGTGCTGAAGAACAGGTTAGCATGTCACACGTTGGAACACTCTTATCCCATGTGCCGTCAGTTTGACATATTACTGCGTCGTGAGTGGTGAACAAAACATTACCAGGTGTACAGGTGAACTCAACTCTATTTCTTGGTCGGTATTTACCTTGAGGATTTTTAACCAAAGTATTTACCGAGAGCAATGGCAGGTCACAGGTTATCTCTGAAATGATACAAAATATTTGATCAGTACACAATGGCTTTGGGAAAATGAAACAGTTGTCGAGAGTTTTTGTTGTGAGCTATAACTATAGAAATATTTGGAAAGTAAGGTGTACCACAGTATGCTCTAGAAATATGCAATTCATGTTGGAACATTTTCTTACAAAATTTTACAATATTCTATATCATTTGTTAATTTTGAAGAAGAGGATAACTCACCAACACATTGTGGTTTGTCACCTTCCCATTCACCATATTCGTTGCAATATCTAGTCTTACTTCCAACTAATTGATACCCTTTATGGCAATGATATCTCACTCTATTATCAAAGCTATATCTTCTCCCTTCAGTATACCCATTTTGGATGTTACCAGGAAAACCACATTCTACCTCTGCAAAGGAAAATATAAATTGTGATATGTGTTTCTTCTCCAGCACACACATACTGATCAAAGGTATAAGCATATACCGAAAATACTTAAACAATTCCCCATACAGTTTATAGCAATTGACCAGGATTTTTGTCTTTTGTGAATTATATGATGTGAAAAACTTACTGGCACATATTGGTGGCTCCTCTTCCCAATGTCCTGTAGCTAGACACAGCTGGTCATTCATACCTGCTACATTAAATCCTCGTAGACATGAAAAGGTTGCTGAAGATCCTGCAGAAACATCAGTGTACGCCACGCTCCCAAAATCAGGTTTTGCTGGTAGAGGACAATCTGTTAATACAATAGTAGTTCTTAGTTCCTATTGTGTTTACATATCGGAAGTATACGCAATGTCTCGAAACTTGACAAAATTTTGGGTTCGCCAAGATATTAAGTTTGCCAAAGTTGTCCTATTTACGTTTGCATCCTTGGTTCACAATACCGTGCTCTAATGGATCCAGTAAAAGCTCTATTTCTATGGGTAAAACGTAAAAAGATGACGTTCAACCCACAAATTTTATGATTACTGTAGATGGAGATTCATTTGGTCAATTTCCTATCTTCATTAATCACATTTTTGAAATGGTAATTCTTTCTTTTATTGTAATTATAAACCGCTTCTGATTGGATTTGAATTGTGATTCTACGTTAAGGTGAGAGTATGCGCCTATCCACTTTTTATTTTTTAAACTACATGTATCTGTAAAGTATTATGAAACGAAAGTGTGTTGCCTATTGCATTTTTTAAATCGGATTTTTTTCCTGCAAAACAAAGGAAATTCACATAATAATAATAACTATCTCTAAGAATCAAACCAAGAATGATTTTGCTATGCGAACAAAGATTTGATAAATTTGTGACAAAAGATACACGATAATTTAAAATTTAACAAGCTTGGGCATACTCCCCCATATTCATTCAAGCTAGTATGCATTCTATGTAATATTTAGCAAATTCTACGCGAGACTCTACCAATCATTGATATGATAACCATTAACGTACAGTGCCAATTTGCAATTTTTTTATATGATAAGAGAGGATGCGTTTGGAATGTGGAGTGCGTGTGGGAAAGGATAAGCATTTACATTCTACTGCAAGTGATGTACATCTAATAGATGATAATAAGTTACTTTATAACTATTTGTAATAAATGAGCCATATTCATTGTATAAATATTTACATAACAGGTGCAAAACATGCATAGATACATATAATGCTAAATATTGTCTTAAGGTTTACAAGATGCACATAGCATTGTCCATTCACTTGTACCTTGACAGAAAGTTGATGGACTATCACTTAGTGTACCACGAAGTCCTTTGTACACATCAGGCCAAGCTAGAACATTTCCTAGATATTTATTGCAGGTTATTCTCATGTCCTCTATGGTATACAATGGTAGTTCATCATCCCATACGTTAAGATGAGTCAGACTTCCCACAAACGATTCACTCGTACTGAATTCTCCACCAACAACATCTTGCTCCTGACCAATGATAAACATACCACCACCTGGAGTAGGAAACGACAAATATAAAGACATTTGTCAAGTCAAATCTTAGCCGACCAACAGATGTAAAAAGGAAGGCATATAAAGCGTGCGGATATCGGGGTCTCCGGACTATTGGCAACCGATGAGACGGCTAAGAAAGTAGTGTCGTTTTTTCGATATCCAACTGTCCGGGGTTGGAAAACTAATCACTTTCCCGCCACTAACAAGAGGTACTGTATCAAGCTATACCAGGATCGAACGTGACAAAGTGGCAAATGCATACTATGATTGTGTTAGCGAGATGAGTAACACCTTAGAGACCGTGGACCTATAATGAGTATTCAGTAGAGAAAAATGCAGAGAATTATCTTTAAGTGGGGTGAATTATCTTACCTGGTACAGGCCTACCAGTAGATAAATCCCAACCACTATCAATTATCAGGCCATCTTTATAGATCTTCCAGGCACCTCGGTTACTTGACCAGGTGACTACAATATGATGCCATAAACCATCATTAGCTTCTAGATCTGTAACTCTTTTCTCTTGATTTACCAGTACCACAAACCTGGAGTAAAGAATACCAGAATCCATAACACTGTGTAATGATTCCCTTGGAACCTTTACCTTTGATCTCTAGTCAATTGGGACTCATCTTCATAAGGCCAAGCTACTACATTAAGAAGATGTTCGAGGCTAAACCTTTTCCTTTTTTCGTATGATCCTAGTATCGACGTTCACAGGTAATACATAGAATAAAAAAAGGACCTCACCCATTATAATCTGTTAAAGTGAAGGCATTATCGGAGCCGGGTACTGCGTAAGAATAAGGTGTACCAAAATTTAATGTATCATCACTTTTCATCCAAAACGTTACTGTGAGTGAATTAAGAGGAGGATCTGGAAACCTGAACTGAGCATTATCAACAATTCCAGGTGCTGCAAAATCTAGCTGATAGTTTACATCCAGGGCTGAAGAGGTTGAAAGAAACAGTCGGATTGGTTATTATGTTTTGTACTCATGACTATATTATCTGGGAAATCATTGGACAAGTAAGAATAATTTTCAAGGGTACTATTCACTGTTAGTGTGGCCGTTCTCGTCGGATGATTTTCCCCTTGTGACTTGTTCAAATAATGCATTAATGTGAAAGCTTCTGTGTATTTGGTAGACATTCTTGACGCTGCTTTTACGTTTATCGCCTTTTCAATCAAATATTACTTACATGTTTGACACTGTGCACCCCTAAATTCTGCTGTGCAATGACACTGGTAAGCATTTATTAAATCTTCACATTTCCCGCCATTCAAACAAGGATTTGATTTACAATCATCGATGCCCCTACCACATCTTTTACCAGTGTAGCCTGGTACACATATGCAGCTAAAAAATTTAAAATAGTTGTATGATCTTGTGAGCTCTCAACTATATTGATCTCTAGGAGTATATGGAACGCTCGTATTTTTTTTTAGATGAGAACGTGACTGGTCCATCAGCATGATTAATAAAATCTACGAATTTGTATGCCCTCGGAAGTATGAAGTAGGATTCAACATTTGTATATTCTGAAAAACATATACTTCCTGTGACGAAATTTTCTTGATAAAATTTTCTACCTTTATTTATTATAATTTTTCCATGCTTCAGTACCTGTAATCTCCGGGAGAATCCACACACGTCCCATTATTTCTACAAGGATGTGATAGACATTCATCTTCTTCAATTTCACATGTAACACCATTAAATCCTTGTGGACACTGACATTCAAATCCATCAGGCTTATCAGTACAGGTACCCCCATTTCTACATGGTCTGTCTGTACAATCATTGACATCATTCTCACAACTTACACCTAACTTGGAGAAATTTAAACATCGTTATTATCTGACATAATTGACATTAAAGTGACGGATGATTTGGTGAAATACGAGCATCAGCAACGGAACTTATTTAAAGGTTGATACTACATATCTACAAGTCAAAAGTCACACACGAAACTGTACGATGTATGTCGCAGCATATTTCCTATATGCAAATATTTGGGGTTTTTTTTTAGTTCAGTTCTATTCACAGAATAACTAAAACTTGGTCACTGGTTTAAAGCTATCATTTGTAAGGATCTGGTATTTGGAAACTGTTGAGAAGCAACACCGGATCAAATTCGAGAATTTCTACCCAAGGGGAAAGAAAATCAAGTACTGAAAGTTTACTGACGACAGTCGAACTCATCACCGCTTGACCTTGACTAGCGTAGTCATGCCAAGACCTTTTGCATATTTGAAATAGCGCAGATCATTGTATATGAATAATATTTACCTGTATATCCCACTGGACAGTTACATACATAACTATTAGGTCCATCAATACAGGTACCTTTATGTAGACATGGCGATGATAAACAGTCATCAATATCCTTTTCACATTTTTTACCTGGAAGAAAATAATAGGATTGTGATAACTCCTACAAGCAATAAGTATAATTTGTGACAGATGGTCGATAACAAGTTTTCCGACTATGGAGCTGTTGATTGAGACATACACTGGAGTAGTTTCAAAACTGAAGTGCTTAAAGGGCATATTGAGCAGCAGCAGCTCAAACTGTAGGGTTAAGGAAATTAGATAAATCAATAAATCTATCAATAAATAACAATAGACGCACCTGTGAAACCGGTTATACAGTCACATCTATAATCACCCGTCAACGTTACACAGCTACCATTATTTAAACATGGTTTAGACTGGCATTCATCTACCACCGTTTTACAAAATAAACCTAAACAACAAACAAAGATTGTATATAAATTCTATTACGCCATAACCATCATTAGCTGTAAAACCGTACAACATGGATTTTATTATTTTGAATATTTCAGAAAATTCTACACAACTTAGTAATTTTCTGTATCCCAAAGATAGAAAGACGTTACAGAAAGTGGGAACATTCTATCATAATAACCTAGGGAGAATTTTGTACTAGCCATTAATACTTACCACCAAAACCAGGTGGACAGTTGCAAGTAAAAGCTACACGTTTTGGTATACATGTTCCTCCATTAAAACAGGGGTTCTCAAAACATTTATTAATAGCTAATTGATGTTGCTGGTTCTGTATAACTGATATCGCCCCATCATTTTGGATATTCCAGTTACCTAAAGAAGTAAGAAGTACTCTGAAATAGCACACTAGCATTGATATGCTTTGTCCCTTGAACCTGTAGTCGAACAGGTGCAATTCCATTGATAATGTGATTTTATTTGATATTGCTGATGATGACTCATGGTGATGATCCAATATAAATAAACCAATCTGTATCATATATGATGTCCATGTCTATTCATATGAAAAGAAGATATCGTTTTGACTTCAGATACCCTTACCTTCACAGTCAGTCAATGCAACACTGGCTATATCATAAGTTGTGGCATTGTTAGGACACTCAAAACATCCCGACTTCTGAATGTCTGGTTGGAAGGTTCCTCTTGGACAGGCAAAACATGGTTCTAAACCATTCTTTGATACATAACCTCGTGGACAGATCTCTACAACACAAGTATAAGCAGACGTATTGGAATTGGGGCCTTTAACTTTCATCTCCTTCATAGTTAGTTCATTACTCTTTAACTTTCAGACTAATTATTAGAACACTATTTCTAAATATTAATTCTCAAAAGTAGGTGTTACATTATTTTGTCGAGGTCGACAGCAAAATGCTGAGTTTTGATATTTATAAGCTTGACTATTATATTGAACATATACAACAGATTATCCACAACACCCCCAACGCATCATGTTATCAAGAACATAATCATTGTTAGTGTACATACCTTTGCAATCTTTACGAGTTCGACTTCCCCTTCTGGGTGTGGTGAGACCAGGTGGACATAGTGTACAGTTAGTTTGAGCATACTGTGGTTGGTACCATCCTATATCACATGTTTCACATCTCTCTAATCCTGATTCAGAGAAACTTCCTGGTAGACATTGAGCTGAAATGGGCAATTGGTTTTGATAGAAGGCTTTGTTTCAAATAAAGTAATACAATGCAAATATTGTATATAGAAATTACTTACCAAGACATTCTCCTTGGCTTTTAGAATTATTTTGGGAAGTTGATGTTTTATTGGGACAAACAAAACACGTAATACTTCCTTCCTTTTCTTGATAGTTTCCTCTAAAACAACTTTCACAAACTCTCTTTACAACATTGAAAAATGTGCCAACTGGACAGTTAACTGAAATGATATGTTTAAGTTGATATACTTCTATATTTAAATATTATGTTTCTTTTCTACCTCTTCTATAATAACTATGACATGTCAGATAGTCACAGAATCAGAAAGTTTGGGGCTAAGCATATTTTAGAATGATAATCAATTCACGGGTTTATTGTCGTCATTTTAGACTTACCACAATCGGATCCTATAAGAATTTGTCCATCTGGACACTGAAACTTTGGGTCCTCACTATCCAACTCCATTCCATTGAAGAAAATCTTTTTACCAGATGTTAAGATATCAAATTCACCATCCTTGGCATCATTTTGCAATGTTCTTACCACCTTTTTCAATGTCTTTTCTAGCTTCTTCTGTGATGTCTTATCATCATCTGGTTTTCCAGATGATTTGATTGAACCTAAAGGATAAGGATTGGTTTAGTTCATGATGATTCCCTGTGTGTTTGGGTATCAAGTGATCATAATAACACTGGTTCTAATCTAAGCATGAGATAGAAGAACATTTTAAATCTTAAAGCCATGCAAGGATTTCTTGATAAAGAAATAATTAAAGTAAAACTAGTTACCCTCAATTGAGAAGTCAAAAGTGAGAAAAGTTTTCCTTGGAAGAGGGTTGACCACACTTCTCTTTCTCCTTCCAAAGCTGAATTTAACTTTGTTAAAATCTGAAAAATAAAGATATGAAGGTGTAATGAGATATATTATATAAATTATAAAAGTATGAACATAAAAGGAAACGACAACTAACAATGGAATAATAAATCTGTGACTGACTTCGTGGAGGCTTACCTTCATCCTCTTCACACGTTGTTTCAAGACCATGTATACCACATGCTATATCACCAACACAGATCTCATTGATCTACAAATTAAAATGGACAAGCATAAAATAGCATAAATGGCACGAAAATGGACTCTTTTTTCCAATAAAATCCTGATGAATATATTATGTCTGAAACAGGTGTTTGCAGTCTGAGATGATATTTTATCAGTTAGTGGCATGGTTCTTCATGTTTACTTCGGCAGAAGGCTTTACTGATTGCGGTAGAATTTTCTATGACAAGTTCAGGTTTATAATGAAGTTTTATCTTGAATTAAAATTTGAGACACTACAGAAAAGATATTTGATTCAACCTACTCTATTTGTAACTTTTCTTTCAAATCGGCCTTTAATAGTATTCAGGAGTTTCTGATCTCTACAGGAGAGTTTGCTGGTGAATTTAAATTTAGCCTCTTGAACTAGATCGTTGGATGTATGTTTAACTGAAAGAGATAACCATTCAGTTTTCTCTGACAAAGACCTAAATGTGTCTTTCCCCTGAAAATGCAATCTTACTACTGTCTGTTTTTGACGCTTTTGTCAGCTACTTGATCAGATTTGTATTCCTGATTAACGGTTAGGACTCACATTCTCGTTTGAATTCACATTATACAAAGCAGCATGCTCTAAGGAGTTGATCTTCGGGAGCAAAAACAAAATTGATAGTTAACTTTGGTTAGGTACCATTTATCAATTAACGTCTTCCAAGATTGATTCCTTTTATCAAATTATGGAGAACAGTGGCAATACATCGCTTTAGATTGAGTTCAAGCAAAACAAATGTGTACAAACCTGAACAGTCGGGGAAAGGCATCTGATCCTCAGGTTTCCACATATCATCATAAGCACAGAAGTATTCTGGAGCAGGTGGTATAGCAAAGGCATACCCTTCCATACAGAATATCTTACATATTACCCCTGCATCATTCTCAAAACAGGTTCTATTCCCATTGACAGGTGGTTCCGGGAATTCACATGGATGAGCTGAAGGAATAAATAACTAGTCAGTAGGCCTTCCTTTATTATCAGTACAGTACAAAGCAATAACGGCCTGGATTTTCCAGTCCCACCAGTGAAACGGATACAGTGAGTCCAAACGTATCATTAATACAAAGTTAATCAGAGAACCAACAACGACATAAGATGGTGTTGCTGATGCAAAATGGTAGGAGTTTATTATAGAATGGAGATGAGAATTCCTTTACATGCTAATCGTGCCAAAGCATATAACTAGCTGCCGTTCACTCTATTAAGTACTCCGGTCTTATTCAAAATAAATTTTGTCACTTACGAATGACATTTATTTCCAGAACACAAGTATTGTTGTTCCCACTCTTATCTATAGCTGTATAGGTCACATTAGTTTTACCCATGGAAAACCAGCCGGGAGTGTGAGTCTTAACGACTTGAAGAGGTTCACCAGAATTATCACTGAATATTGGCTCTTCCCATGTCACATTTCCATACTTGTCAGGTGATACAACTGCCTTTGGTGAGAAACATTTATCAACTCTTGGAGGTGTCTTATCTGAAATATGATATGCTTGAACTGACATTGTGTAAGCTATGATATTAACATAAAACAACGATGTAGTATAATTAATGTCGAATAACGGGGTACGAAATATTATTGCCGGTTTAGCATTTCAATTTCAGGAAACATATAACAACTTCACAGGAAGCTTGTTTAAAAGGTTAACATAAATGAATATTTCGAAACAATCATACCTACAACATGGATATAGATTTTACATTTGGCTTTATTTTTATTCCAATCTTCAGCTATATATGTTATAGTTGTATATCCTATGGGAAGTTTTGCAGGTGATTCTAGTGCTGGTACTGCTGTTGTTCGTGGTAATAGACCAGAGTTATCTACTGCTAGAGGTAGCTGCCACGACACTAGAGTTTCTGGTTCATCAGGATCTGCGTCAACCACTAGCTTCTTTGGACATTGTATGAATGGGGGATTCTCGTCTGAAAAACATCACAACGAAAATGCTCTAAAGCAATGACCATATTGATTTTCAAGGGACCTTATCACGGTGAAGTAATAAACCAAATCAAAAAGTTCAAAACAAAGCCGTCTTTCCGAGATCCATTCTTCCCTATCATAAATGTAAGATTTAATATACACCTACCTACGCACTGATTGGGAACATTACTAGGAGGTGCCCAATTACCACCTGGGGTACATTGTTTGGTACTTGGTCCATAAAGGGTGTAGGCTGATAAACAGGTCATCAGACAAGTTGTACCAAATAATACTTCTCCTGCAGTACAGCCTGCTGGTGTTATTAATCCATCTCTCAAAGGTGCTAGAGGTTGACATGTTATTTCTGTGAAAAAGAGCAAATTTTACACACTCCAATCCCCATTTTATAAGAGGTCGAGAGAATACGCATAGACATAGATCTAACAATATCTCATATCAGTAAAAGTGTAAAAAACATTAGCCTATGGCATTCTCACAAACCATCTTGGATTATAAATATGACAATTAACAAGATTAGCTCCATGAGAGGGATGCAAAGTGTCATAGAAGAACTAAATCCAATTAAAGTTTAACATCTACAGCTGCTTCAGAAGGTCAAACAAAAGAATTTACCTCTACACCTGGTGTTGATACCAGTCCAAAGAGCAATTGCTAAACAGGACCTCTTCCTGGAACCAACCAGTTTGAATCCATTATCACAAGTAAATCGACATTCAGTAGAATAGGTGAAGTCATCTCGACTACAAATCATATGACCATGTTTTGGTGTGGATAAAGGTGGGCAGGTTTTCACTGAAACGAGTACACAATCCATGTCTGAATTTGAAGCATAGGATCATACCCCTGTGTAAGACTCAACAGTATAAAATAATCAATTTTCAAACAAGCAAAAATAATTTTGAAAAGTTACTTATGCATCCGGTTGTTGTTCCAGACCAGGTACTATCTTCTTGGCAAATTCTTAAACTACTGCCTCTCAATTCATATCCTGGACGACATTTTAATCCACAAGCAGCATTGAACACGTTGTTACATTTGCTGTTTACAAAATATCCATTGATTGGTGCTTCTAACATGGGACATCTGTAGGCTGAAAATGATAAAGATTAACTTGTACACACCAACTAAACAGAAATTCAAAGGGTATTTAAGGGGCGTTGGAAAAACTTTAATCAAAGATTTAAATACCAACAGAGGCATTTGTAGTTGTCATCAGATACGCTGAGTAAATAAACATGCGCACTATTGGATGATGAGAGTTATGCTAGATGCACGTCTTACTGGACCGTCTGAAGAAAAACAGTGCATATGTGATTGTCTTACCAGCACATTCTGTATCAGTAGTATTATGATAACCTTTCCTACAAGTACATTCTGAAATATCAGTAGCCCCTATTCCACTGACATGGTTATCATCAGGACAAGGTGAACACGACTTAATATCTCCTGCTCCAGTAAAGTTCTTGTACGTCTTCGAAGGACATGCTGAAAGGGAATTTAAAGACGATTTAAATTTTTTATCTTTCCATTTATTTTCTTTCTATGTCCAGATAATCTGGAAAGGATGCTTCTTTAACATCCGGTAAATGTGAAATTCTACAACCTAATCTTACGTGTTTGATTTTGTACAGCAAGGCATGAATTAAATACAACATTTAAGTCGGTTTATTGTCGTGTATTATAATTGTTACGTATACAGTCGTAATGCTCGACAGTATAGTGTATCTTCACAACCAATGTTATCTTAAACATTCTGTAGTCCTAGTTATATTGTGATTCTCGGTAGGAAAATATTATATTGAAGAACATAAATATAAAAGAAAGGGAAAACCTACGAGCACATCCTGTTTTTCCTAAACCATGACCATAATAACCAGGTTGACATAAGCATTCATATTTTCCTGTATGAGTTCCACACATACAATCAGCTTTCAGATGACAACACTCTCTTCCCTCTTTACATAAACTAGAACAACTGGATTTACTCTGTGTCACATATGATCCCGAATGCAAATCTGAAAAGGCAAAGTTTTAAACAATTTTTTGTCTGTCTATTTTAAAAATGCAGTTGAAATCACATTACGGAACACAACAAAGAACTCAATGGAAGAGGTTATGGTCTTCGTGCATAGTCACTGCTTGTTCTTTTTTAAGTAGTATTTACACTGTGTTTGCAATAGACCAACATATGTAGGTCCTCACCTTCGTGTAGAGCTCTTCTGGCCAAAGCTTCGAACTCTTCAAAACTATCTAAAATGTAGCAGGTTTCATTTTTAGGATCAGAAGACATGTCATAGAGCTCACGAACATTTCCATTCTTTATACCAAAGGTGAAAATCTTCAATCCCAATTTCTTTAATTCAGTGGCTTCTGGTCTTGGATCTCCACCGTTTGAGAAACCATCCGTGATTAGAAATATAGCTTTAGCCGAATCACTTCTAGCCGCCCTCAAAACGTTCTGAAATGAATAAAATTGTATTTTTAATTACATCTATGCTTGCCTCAACTCAATCATATAAGATATAACAAAAGCAATGAAGTATAGTGACAGTTACATATCTCCTGTATTATAACAAATATATATATATCCTGAATTGTAACAGTTATATATAGTCTGTATTGTAATAGTTAAATATCTTATATGGAAACGGGTATATGTCCTGTATTGTAACATGTACATACCAGGCACTGTAACAGTTATATACCTTGTATTGTAATAATTATATATCCTGTAACAGTAATATAGCATGTATTGTAACAGTTATATATCCCGTCTTGTTATAATTATATGTCCTTTATTGTAACAGTAATATAGCATGCATTGTAACAGTTATATGCCATGTATTGTAACAATTGTATACCTTGTTTTGTAAATGACATATATCTTGTATTGTAACAGTTATATATCCCGTCTTGTAACAGTTATATATCCCGTCCTGTATTGTAACAGTAATAGCATGTATTGTAACAGTTATATGTCTTGTATTGTATCAGGTGTATAGCCTTGGATCGTAACATGTATACCTTTTGTATTGTAACAGTGATATATTTTGTATTGTAACAGTGATATATTTTGTATTGTTACAGTTGTATATTTATTATTGTAACACTTACATATATTGGATTGTAACAAGTATTGTAACAGCTATATAAATTGTAATGTAATAATTTCCTATGTAATTAAACTTTCTGTTTGTTTAGAAAGCGTATCTTTTTTGCATTTTTGAACCAAGATTTATGAAAAATTTATAAAAATGTGAGATTATGTTTTCTTTTATAAAAAGGCAAATAGTTCATTTATAAAGATAATGCATAGAAATATTATCCATGAAACTAAAAGACTTGGTTCACAAATCTTATTAACGCTTATCAGAATCCTGTGCGTTGACCTTTTTACTACGAATAATAATTTAATCGAAAACTTAACGGCTGGATATTATTTGATTGAAAAAAGGTTCTACAAAAGTTATGTAAGAAATTTTACATAAGTTTAATTTTAACATTAAGTTATAATGCGTTAAAATTTATCAATTAAGGATTTATTTCACAAGACAGCAACGAAGCATAACCCGTTATTTCTCATATATTGGCGAACGAGTATTGGAATTATGAATTATGACTGGTAAATAATTCTTACCATGTTTAAAACATGTGTTTTGGTATATAATAGGTCGATAAGTCAGTACCTTCAGGAAATAATTACAATGTTTATTTATATAGTGATTTGTTTATGTTTACTCTATACATGTCAATAAAATCACATGTTTTGAATGTTTCTGACCTATTTTTAAATCTCTACAATTTCGTATATTCACTAGTTAAACCAGGATGTACCCTTGCACATTTCTTAGGATAACTTTAAAGATTGACACGTTGTATTTTGTAATTATAATGACATATGCCAGTTGTATGATTTATTTTGCCTCTTCCAAAAAACTAAATTTTATATAGAATAGAAAGAACGTAAAACCGAAAACCCATCGTTCGATCACATACGGGTTTATAGGCTAATAAAACTTAATTAAGTTCTTCTTACCTTTGCTTCAATAAAAGCACCTAAAGTATAAGTTCCACCACCAATATATCTGATTTTAGGCATTTCATCAGCCAATAAACCACATTTCTGATTACTTGCTTTAGGTTTAGTAAGATGGTCCACATGACGGATAACTTTCCCGCGGGACGAAAACGTTATTACAGAAACTCTTGTTGCATTTACATCCACGGTAAAATCAGCCAATAATTTCCTGACAAATTTCAGCTCATCAAAGAAATTAGTGGCTCCAACGCTAGCAGAGCTATCTACTAGAAACACCAAATCCACTTTCCTATTTTCAGTATCACGTAATGCTTGTACATGTCGCTTTAAGATATTTCCTAAAGTTTCTACTTTTGCTTTATTCAAGCTCATGGGTCTGAATAGAGAGTTGTAATAGTCCCTCATATACCCCACAGAACAACAAAGTACACTTAATAAAATAAACAGTCTTAATAAATAAACAGCTTTACCACAACAAACCATTTTCACTTTGTATCACTGGAAAATATCACAGAAAAGTTTCACAAGAATACTCCATTGAGTCGCTCCTCTAGTCGACAGACTAGATCTCCAAGACTCTAGAAGGAACCGAGTTTCACACAAATACCACAGCAAAAATTAGTTCCCAGCTTTACTGTGATGTTAATGCCACCAATAAATACTTTTTATCCTAAATTTCTAATGTTATGTTATACTATAATATTTATGTTATCCTTATCAAATGTATGCAAACTAATGTTTCTTGCCTGTCATCAGATAAAACTCTTTAACACAAACCATCTGTTTACAATTTTACTTCTTCTTTAACTAAATTCTTCACGAATTCTTATATAATAATAACTTCTTCAGACTTCACACGAAATGTGGTCTTAATTTACTATACAATTTGCTAATGATAGAAACTGTTTACTATAAGATGCACATTAATTGCTATTTAAACTTTCATCTCTCACGTAAATTGGTCCAAAGTATAAGATTTCTGCAATTATTAATCCAAGCGTAATTCGCATTGTTACATTCCAATATGATCAAATCAATTCTGTGAAAAATTGTAAACCTATTCCTGGTTTCGTAGTAATTTTGTTTTCAAGTTCTGTCGATGTTATTTTGATATGAATATGAGAAATACAAAATAGGTCGAGATAGTTCTGTGACCAATCTGTTAAAACCATATCTTAACGAATGACGACTAAATACATGTATAAACATACAGATCAGGTTTCATATCCTTCTCCAAAATACAAACCTATCTTTTGCATCGAAAAATAAATATGTTTGTGGCACACTCTACCAGATGTGTACCAGACCTTCGCTGTAGACCCTAGTTTACCTGAAGTCTTACTTAAGTTTTTATTAACCTTCAGAAATTAAAGAAGTTAAAAAACGTAAAAATGTAAAAATCTACTTAAGAAAAGTATAATAATAACTTTTATGTACAGTGTTCATAGAAAGTATAAAATATATCATTACGAAAATATTTTTATTTTTCACAACTGCCGGAAAAGGGAAAAATATTCACACGTGTCATTCGTTAGTTGACTAGGTCCATGTTGATTTTAATCAGTATAGTTTATGGGTAACATATTGGTAAACATCAGGGAGACCTCTTTAGTCCCTACTTGTTTATTACAAACATACATGTAATGTTACCAGTTACATACTTCACTCTCTAAAGATGGTGTGAGGTTGAATTTTGGCAAAATGAGTCAAATTCCCTTAAAATCTTAATCAAAAAAGTTTAAAAAAAACAATATTCAATAACAAATTTATTTTGTAAAAGAATAAAATAATTTTGGCAATGTTATATTACAAGATAATTCGTGTTGCATCATACAGTAGAGCACTGTTCCATTCAATTTACACGGAATTGTATAAAACCAATTTCAGCCAAATTCAAAGTAACTTTTTGGCTTTGAGATTTTTATTTCTGCAGTCAAATAACACCGAATATATGATAATTGTGTCACTACGATCATTAATCTAAAACTCTGTCCACCAATGTCTTTTGAGAACATTCTTTTGAAACTGGATTTTTTATTGTTCAGATTATCATGAAAAAGAAAAATATCAACAATTAATATGTGTCGTGTAAACTAGGTATAAAACAATTTTTGTTTTGAAATAATTCAAATATAAAGATGATTTGTATTTGACTAAGTCCCATTTCCTCAACCCGAATCAAAGAAAAGTCCCATGTCATAAAGTCTAAAACCAGGCATAGCTTCTAATGCCGACGGTTGGTCCGATAACGACACTTTATTAAGAATACAAATTCGATTGTCTTTCTCCGTTCTACTCTTCGATTTTTTTCGAAACTCATAATTAATTGACCGACAAGTTTCGTATCTTAAACAGTATAAAGCACATTTCACAACTCGATCAGTGACAGTCCTAAAAATCTCATGTCCAACAATTCCTTTGTTTTTAGTTTTCCTTGCACTGATCACCCGATTTCTCATTTTCTTCTTCTTTCTCTTTGATTTGTTGGTTTCTGAAAAATGAAGTATATATTCTGACGAAGGTAAGTTCATTTCATTACTATATGTAACAATGTTTAATTTCTTGCGAAATTTACAGTGAACATCATTTAATGCGTCCTTTTTATTATTTCGGCCAGCCAGAATTATTGAAAAAATCACCGTCGAATCAGATCAAAAACAAAGATTAATAAATAAATCTCCGTGATATTTTATTTAGTTCAATATGTTTATATTTATAACATCAGTACCTGGACATTCTGGTTCAACACAGGATTGCTTTTCTTGAGATTTTCCTTTGCAGTCATTTTTGAAATTTGAATTTATACACGTTCTTGATCGAGTCGATGTGCCTTTACCACAAGTTACACTACAACCTGTCCAATCAGACCATTTAGCCCATTCTGTAAGTGAATAAATGAAACAAAGATTACTCGGTCAAGTAGCAGCTTCTTCTGTAACGTTTCGGTTTTCATTTGATTTTGAAAGAATCATACCTGGACAATCCGTAAGAGAACATATTTCAGTTTGTTTATCATTTCCTTTACAATCTTTACTATCTTTTGAATTGAGACATTTTCTTGTTCTTTGTTTCTGTCCGGTACCACAAGTTACACTACAACCTGTCCAATCAGACCACTTACTCCATCCTGTAATGGAATGTATTGTTACGTATGCGCACATTTATTTAGAATATTATCATTAGATAGAAACTATAAGTGAGGTTTTAATGAAAATGTTTTTGAATTCGCACAAATTATATTGTATTTCATGTAAATAAATATTAAGATACCTGGACAAGATGTAGTAGAACAATTTTCAGTTTGTTTATCATTTCCTTTACAATCTTTACTATTTTTTGAATTGAGACATTTTCTTGTTCTTTGTTTCCGCCCAGTTCCGCAAGTTACACTACAACCTGTCCAATCAGACCATTTAGCCCATTCTGTAAGTGAATAAATGAAACAAAGATTACTCGGTCAAGTAGCAGCTTCTTCTGTAACGTTTCGGTTTTCATTTGATTTTGAAAGAATCATACCTGGACAATCCGTAAGAGAACATATTTCAGTTTGTTTATCATTTCCTTTACAATCTCTACTATCTTTTGAATTGAGACATTTTCTTGTTCTTCGTTTCTGTCCAGTTCCACAAGTTACACTACACGCTTCCCAATTAGACCATTGGTCCCATACTATAAAGGCAATAAAAGCAGTTTAGTTTAGTGTTTTGGACTATTAGAATTATTAAAATTATAAAGGAACTGCTTGTTTGCCTTGGTAGTTTTTGTCTCGTGGATTTCTATTCTTATCGTAGAGATTTTGCATTGTTAATCAATAAAACTTTTAACCAAGGGTCACTTGCCAAGAATAACATTACCGGCCTTCTCGTGCGAGCGATATCAGTCTGAACAACCCATCTTTGGTGTTATGACATTGCTTTAAATTTTAGATGCGATTGGCATTTTCAACCCGGTGTACTTCCGGTGCATCAAAGTAGTTGATGACATTTCTAAAATAGCCTAACCACACTGACCTGGACAAAGAGATTGACTACAGTCTTTAGTTTCTTTTGAACTTCCAGAGCAACTGGAGTCAGAACACGTTCTAGATCTGGCCTGTTTACCACCACCACAAGTTACACTACAGTCACCCCAACTAGACCATTTGCTCCATCGGGTAACTGAAAGTGAAATCAAAGCAATCTTATATATGAACCTGCTTGATAATACCATCTCTAGTCAAATTTTATATTTTTAGCTTCTAAGACTGGTATTGAAATGTTTTGGTACGATTTTGTCTCTTATAGTTAAGGATGTTTTGTGGTTTTGTGATTTCATTAGAAGCTAGGATTGACTTTAATTAATTTTGTTTGACTATTATCTATGGCATGTTATACTTGTTTTAATTATCGATAGAATTTAATGTTACTTTATTTAGCGTTGCCACAAAAGCTAAAATGCATTACAATTATAGTGAAAGTTTCTAATCATGGGGCAAATTGACCTTAAAATACTCTGTATCATCGCATAGACTTTCATTCAAAACACCTTAATCAACTTCCATTATCATAAAACCTAGAAATAGACGAGGTATTGTGTCTGTTGCGAGATAGCAGATACAATAAAATAGTAGTAAAAGGATCCTATTTTCTATCGTATTGATAATATCGCACCGACTGCGATTCAGCTCATCTCAGTAATTGAATGGGTTCATATGTACTGTGACTGGCTGATGTATTGTAGATGGATTGAGGTATTTGAGTTTTATACATTTCAGATTGACCGTGTGTTATACTATAGATTGTCAGAGTTTTATAATGAGTTATGTATTGTAGATGGACTGAGATATCTGCTGTAGATTGGTACAGTTTTATACTTTTATGACTGAGTATCTGTAGATTGACTAAATATGAGTTAAATTACGGTGGATTGGATCCTGGAATGGTTTTTATACTGTAGGATTTATATTGTGTGGATTGTAGGATGATTGAGTTTTGTAGTGTAGATTAACTGAGTTATAAACATTGACATTGAGTTATATTCTGTAGATTGGCTGAGTTATATACAATAAATTTAATGGGTTTTACACTGATTTGGGTGTGTACAGCGGGTTGACAGTGTTATTTACCATAGAGTCCTGGCCATATATGATAGACAGTATACTGCCTTTCCTAAAATATACATCATTGATTACCGTAGACCTGTTATACGGATTACTGACTATTGATTTGGCATTACGTGAAATATTCGTCGTTGTTTGTTCAATATAAAACTTCCATTGTCATTGTTGAAACATGCCTATCCTATTAATATCGTGTATATAGAAGCGACTACAGCACTGTGGAAGCCAATCTAATTAAAATTAAACCAAACTTTCGGCCGTTTTTTTATTACCTTTTATTTTTGATATTGTCACTTAACCCGATAAACACCGCGTCATAAAAGGCACTGGGGAGAGGAAAGGGGGTAGGGGGGGTAAAATTTGTTAAAGCAGACGTCATAGAGTTTTTTCTAGGAGGGCAAATGCCCCTCCTGCGCCGCATCTTGATACCCCCATACATCCTCCTCTCCGGATACCCCAACCCCACTGGTATACTTTTTAAGACGGCTGTAACTAAAAGATTTTGCCCCCCCCCCCCCCTCTTTCACTCACTCTTATAATAGATGTTTTAGGAGAAAATTTCACTGTTATATGTTATTTTTATTTTTCTCTAGATAATCATTTTCTTCCTACGTCCTGCTAAATCCCTCAAAGCACTGATTGGATGTACTTTTATTTTTTTGCAGGCGGACATCTTATTTTCTGTATTATGTGTTCTGGTGTATGCTAAAATCCCCAGTTCAACAGCACTGCCTGTTTACAAAACGGCCAATGCAGACGTTTCAGAGTCCATTTGCGAAGTGAAGGGCCAATCGAGTTTGGGTGAGTAACATTTATTATTTAATATTGAGGTAGAACCGAAATACGACTACATAAATGGGCATGAAGCCTTTTGCAATTGCAAGTATAGAAAAAAGCAATGATCGAAATAAACTTGTCCTTTTACAGAAATAAACCCTTACCAGGACATACACCATCATTACACGACCCTGTATTAGAAGTTGAACCCACACATGGCTTTGATGCTGACGTCGGTTGGAGACATTTTCTAAGTCTCTTTCTGATACCTTTACCACAGGTCACCGAACAATCATTCCATCTGCCCCACATCGTCCAGCGAGAGGTAGCTGAATAATTAAAGTAAGCTTATCATGGACAATTGGACATGGTCATCTAATTCCAAGTTCACCAATTTCCGGGGAATTGATTTACGTTAATGAGATCAATTTGATTGCACTATCACAAAATTAAATGGAATTAGGTTTCAGGTTTTTATCCGTCTTATTGCGTTATAAACCATATCCTATATAATCATCTTCAGGTCCAACTGTACTTACTGTGTTCTGTTTGTCATGTAACAGTCGATAAATAAAATGAAATCCAATGGAGTTTTACTTCTTACTTTTCTGCAACTAATTGGGCTTATGAAGACTATTGCAGTATGCAATAAGGGGAATGCTCTTTCTTGATTAATAATAAAGGTAGTTTCGGTACTCACATAAGTCTATCTCACAAACATATGGTAATTTTTCTGTGCATGGTTTGGTTTCCCATTTCCTTGCACCGGCACCAGAATTTTGTTTCGCCTGAATGACCACACAATTGCCTGGTGTAGTTACTTTATTACTAAGTTTATTTTCCCAATTCTTTCGTTGCAAATCTGTTCCATCAGCCCAATAGAATTCGTTGTCATCTGCATTATGTTTTAAACCTAACCAAAATCTAGACGTATCGTCCCTAAAATTGAAAACTTGCCTTATCAATGTGAATGAAAAATATTATTCCATAAATGTTTGCAAGAGTTACTCATTTTAGTCGAACCTCTGGGCTGATTCTGTGGACCTTCTTCACTGTAAGCCTCAGACGTACAACAAAAACCACTTTAATCTATGAGGATAGTTATTGGATAAAGGTAGAAAATTAGTTCATGTCAAAAGTTACTTTAAAAAAAAAGACAACTTATCATAAGGTATTTCTCAATTACAGCAGAACAGGACGCCAGACTTTAGTTCTGAAAAGTAACACAGATAACTCAAATGGGGTTCCTACCCATCTAAATGACTTTTATAAGCCTTTGATATTGGAGTATTCGGGTTAAATGCTTACAATTTCTTCGCAATCTTCTTTATTTCTTTTTTTATCAATTTAATTTCTTTTCTCTCTTGAAATATGAGAAGTGTTCCACCGTTTCTTTCACAGAATGTCTGGGCTTCCCACCAGCTCTTTGGGTCATAGTAGAAGTAATAGCATGTATCCGATAACTGTGCATAATCTTTGCCTGGACATGTTTGCTTATCTGGAATGAAAATAATCGGAACACTGTATAGATAATTTTTTTTGTATCAATGAGTAGCTTGAAAGGGATTCAAAGGGCGTTTTTTTAGCCTATGATTTTAATTGATCTGTCAACATGCATAGCGAACGTTTGTTTAGGAAATTATACACCGAGTAATTGGTTATTGCTAGCATTAGCAGCATGAGTATGCATGTGTGCATTTGTAGTGCCCGAGGGTAGGGAAGTTGACTCTCATGGCGTGGAATGTGACCTTTTCAAGAATTGTTATGAAAGAGGTTAATAAGTTTCTTTATCATAGCAGTATTTCTGTCAATAGTTTTAAGAGAAAATGCATTAGATGAATAATTTTTAATGTAATTTCTTGATGGATTGTAAGCCATACCGGAAAGTCCCTTCCTTAGTATTTATTGATATTGTTTATGGAACAGCAATATAGTTATTGACACACTAACATTTTTAATTAAAATTCAGGTTTGTTTTGAAAGTAACATATGAATCGTAACAAATATTTCTTTTTGTGGTTCAGGTATTATTTGATTATTAATTAAGAATTTTCTTTCTGAGTTTTTGTGTCGATTAAAGCATTGAATAATATAGAACTCAATAATATACAACTCAATGATATACAACTCAATAATATAACAGCTCAATAACTGAAAACTCTCTCAAAAGCAATTGAATGGTATCTCATTTCGTACAGACACGCAACATATTCTACAAACAATATATGAATAACAGTTTTTTGGGGTAGAAACAAAAGAATATGTCGTGATTGGTTTGACAAAATCAGAATAGTGACAATATTATCTATTAAATCATAGTATAGATAATTGAAAAAGAAACGTAAGTGGTTGGAAATTTGATATGTCTAGCGGTAAAAGTAACCCCCCCCCCCCCCGCCCCCCTTCCCAAATGAGACTGTCCCGTAATTGCCCCTTCCTTAAACTCTTTTTAGATTGAGAACTAGTGTTGCCGTGAGTCCCTTCTACCCTCCTTGATAACTATGTAGAAGTCTCTGCGGTCGTTAACAGTTTTACATTGTGATTGAGTCTTGAACGAATTTCAGTGGTGGAAAAATAAATTAAAATTAAGAGAAGAATTCGCAGATAGGATACAAAATATTTCGGAAAAAGATATACTCATTTAAATATTATGCCAAAACAAATTTGCAAGATATTAAAATAAAAAATTATTTCTACGATAATTTATGCATCAATTTTATTTGGTATTGGGTGATATAGAAGATACTCTACTTAGAACTGATCTATGTCACCAGAAGACATTTTACATGTCTATTTAACAATATACAAATTAAATTCAATATTACAGAAGTGCCAAAGTAGAGTCAAGAAATATGTTTCGTTATATATTTTAATTTTTAAAGTGCATACATTCGGGCCCCTAAAACATGTTCAACCACTTACCGTTGCTTTTACAAACAATATTCAATGGAAGACCTAATAACAAAATAATCCAAATATATTCCTGCTTTCCTCTCATCATTTATTTTGGAGAAACACTGAAATCCTAGAATTTATTCCCATTTAAGTTTTGGATTTATAAGTTTATAATTTTTTCTGAAGACAAATTTCGTTTTCCTGCAGAATACTACAATCATTGCACTATAATTTCTGAAAGTTATCTTTTAAAGAGAGAGAGAAATTGATGGAAAATGTAAGGAACTTTTTAATATCTTAGAACCAATAAGATAGGTTGGTAGTTGTGAGCTGTTAAGCGATTGGTTATGAGATATCAATGAATGGATATTTTTTTTTTCAATTGATTATCGAGTTTCTAGTTAAGTGTTTACGCCCAAACTTATATTGTTAATGTATATTGTGTGTCCGCCTGTCCGTCCGTCCAAAGAACAGTTTTGATCGCATTTTAACGAATTTGGTTTGATTGTATATTGATGAGAGTAAATGAACATGAATTTTTGGATGAGTTTAAAAACCGTTCATCACAAAATCTCAAATTCGATTTTTCGGGAAATGTATTTTGAATTATTGCCCTTGATTTATCAAACATGCTTGTAAAATGTTTTATACAGACAATTTTCTAAAATTTTTGTTGTAGTCTGGAGCTATCGTTATGAAATACTGTTTCTAAGAGAAATAGCAACCCAGGATAGTAATTGAATATGACATTGAAAATAATCAGAATCAGAATTTAGGCGACAAGAAGTAAATGTAGCTAAACACTGATATCTTGACGTGGATCGTGTCCTTGTGGCCAGGTTATCATTTATCAATTTTCTGTCCAGTTTTATTGAATTGTAAACTCGTTGTGTATATTATTGAATTTTTATATTGGAGGTTGTACATTTAGACTTGACGGAAATCAATTAATGAATAGACGTGATTAATTGAAGTGGAGTTTAATGTTTCTTGGTATTTAAATTCTTATGACAAGTTCCTGATAGAGCGACATATAGGCCAAACTCAGATACTATTGACTTTTTATGATTTAATTAATAACTGTATTATATAGTAACTCAAATAGTAACATACATAATCATTTTTCGAGAAAAATAAAACTATCAAATTGCAATCTAACAAAAATGAGTAGAATCTGATTGGCAGATTTATTTATTATAGTCACCTAGTTGAGTTAGTCGGTTAATAGATCTCTATGTCGAAGCGTTTTTCAATAGGACATTTCTCTGGAACACATGTGCCAGTGGCCTGAGTTAACCAACATTCTCCAATACATTTTAACGGAGAGATTTTTCCGTCAAAGGGGTGCAACTCGTGCCAACAAACTTGGTCAAATCAGCCGGCAACCAGTGACCTAAACTGTCCCTGAGTATTAATAATGAACTCCCATAATAACTCATTATGTTGAATGAATAAAATAATTTAATGGTAGTCTATGATTAAGCTTGCGTCTGTAAGTTTGGTTTTGACGATTTACCTACTAAATAAGACTGATTTACCTAATAAATAAGGAAATTGTCTTGTTTACATTTATGAGATCAATAGCTTTAAGGAGCCATTAAAAAATCAGTAACTGCACGCCAATACACACTGACAATGACATTTTAGGATGTTCATTTTACAGAATCTGAACACCTGCAAGAAGGAAGAACAATCTACTGGGTGTAAGTTTTAATAACGTTCTGGGTCAAGAAATTTTTGCCTCCTTCAAATGCAACAAAGATAAGATGGTTATAAGAATATAATCAACAGTAATTGATTAAACAATTAGCAACTTAACAAGAGATTTGTAAACATAATGAAAATATATTTAACAGTCAACTCAAGTATTATGATAACTCCTTATGTCTTAAACCAACAATTACTTCCTACAAATAATAATTAGAAATTTATAAGAGATGCCTCAATTCTGTCAGTATTTTACTTAAAAGGGTTATCTGCTATGTATATGGATATAGGTGAAAGACATTAGATTAAATAATGAACTGTTTGAGAGAATACAAAAAAGACATTTCATTTAAAAATGAATTTATTCAAAAACTTATTTCATCAGCACCAACTCATCACCATCAGACCTATCAGTTTGACTTCATCCCAGAGGCGAATTCACCATTATCTTTTCTTTTTCTTCTTATTACTTCCCTTTTCTAAGCCTTCCACAAATCTAAGTGGTAATTTATATTTTTCTGAAACAAATAATAGATGGATTTAATGCCATACATAATGAAGACTGAAAAACATTCATTGGACTAAACCACTGAAATTCTATTGCTACATTGAAGTCTTAGATCCCCTAAATTTTTTTGTGATAAAATTTTGGGGGTCCAGAAAAGGAAGTCAAAAGTTTTTGTCCTTAAGACAAATGGAATAAGACAAGCTTTCATTATGACCAAACCTCTTGAAAAACTAAGAATGTTGTTTTTAAACTAACAATGATAATTTACCTATTAACAATTGTCTTATAAAATCCACCTGGTTTCCTTGAGCTAATATCTGTAAACCTTTATTTTTCTGTATAGATGGACTGACTGTAGTACTACAAGCTCTCTTCACTTGTATTAGGTGAGCAAATTTATCTGGATCTATTCCAAATGTTTCTACATTATCTATCAATGTTACCTGAAAAATCAATGTACTATGTGATGGTTGCAATACAGAATCTTTTATTATTTGATATGATGTGCTAGAGTTGGTTATAGCAAAAATTACCAAGGAAAAATTCAAAAATTGTGATAATTGTGTTTAAGAATAAATCTAATATGGGTTGGAATAGCCTTGAACACTTTTTCTATGTCATCTTGGCTTTGCTTCCCTTATACCTAGACCAAGTATATACTTACTTTTTTATTGCCCATCCTCTGAACCACATCAATTTTAATGGGGTCTATTTTTCCTTTCTTAATTATTGGAGGTTTACCAGGAAAAGTTATCTGAAATCCAGGCTGCATCTTCTCAAATAATCTACAAATATTATTGGATTTTTTGAACAAACACTTAAGATAAAACTTTAAGGAATTGAGTTTTTCAAATATGGTCATGTGAGGTTTTATCTTTGATGTACAAATACAAAGACTGTGAAACAACTTGTGACACAGCAGCAAATGAAGGCAAATGCTTCTCTTTTGAAGCAACAAAGTTTTTTCCAATTACATATCTTCAATCCACCCATACTCTCCTTTAAGTCATTTAGAATGCACTACAGCTTTGTTGAGTAGCAAATGCTGTTTTTAAATTAATACTTCTTTCCACATACCTAGCCTTAGCTAAATCCCATTTCATAGTAACAACATCACATTCTGTTTTCCTTAACACTATCTCAGCTAATATTGGATCTAATTTTATTAACCTAGAGAAGAGTAAAAAAATAAATGTCTTTAGTACTTAATAACATTATATATTATTTTTTTTACGGGAATTCTTAAAATTATTTTAATATTGTTAAAAATCCAATTGCTCTGATGGTGTTTTTCATTATCTTTCACCAAAAAATTAGACTCACGATTTGTCTTCAGAAAGTTGTAGGTCATTTGTCTTAACATAATCAGTTAATCCTTGTCTCACTTCATCTGCTGTTATACCCTGTCCCTTACTGAAAATAGAATTGATAGATAGAAAAATAAACTACACAGGTAGATCTATCTGATCTATGAGACAAGAGCAAAATATATATAGCTAAAGCTGACCACAGTGGACCATCCTCTGGAGGAGAGACCATCTTTAAGGAGTAAATTGATTCTGTTTTTCATGGAATACCACTGTGAATTAGTCATAAAATTCCTTAAAGCTACCATTACCATTAAGTAAAAAAAAAGATTTTGGACTAGGTAAACAAATAAACATTATCATACCCATATTTTCTAGGTTTAAAAAAATATAAAAGATTAGCAGGAATACAGAAAACATCTGCTATAGTAGGTGATTGAAATTCATCTTCATTAGAACTAGTACTGGTAGGTATTACTATTTCTGGTACTTCAAGATCTTTCAATCTGTATCAAATATTTATAAATTTAAAGTTTCATTCATTCATACCATGAATAATAGTGGTGCATTTTAGTTATAAGAACAACCAAATATGTATGTTTATGATGCATATTTTGTATCAACACTTATTCTAACTTAAAAACAGCGAACTGTCAATATTTTAATATAAAATGAAAGAAATGGAGCTTGACAAGAATAAATATTGTTTTTGGAGAGGGCATATAAAACCAGAATAAGGATTTGGTTGTATTTGCTAGACTTGACCACAAGAAGTTTAAAAGTGTCCAACTGAATGTAGATGGTTTTGATAGTAATTAACAATAAGTAACTTTCTAAGTAAGTAATATTACTTACTCTTCATGTGTTTTATCAAATTCTACAATACTATCCATTCCTTTAGATAATGTTTTGACTTTAAGTATACCTTTAGCTTCTATTGTCTGTAGAAATTTGGAGAGCTGAAATGGTAATAAAGGTAAGTAAGATTATTTTAGTCATTTCCTCTCTGGGGATCCTCATAGTCAAAATAATAGAAAACAATTTCTTACAGGATTTTGTATGACCCTCTCACATCTCATACATTAGCTATTATCATCATGGAAATCGACTTCACAATGTCAAGACAAGAATAGTGGCCATTGCAGTCAAGGTATCAGTACAAAGTGCGGAATAGCTTGACTTTGTGAAGATGCATGGAAATAAGCATGTTAAGTTTTCACATTAGAATTTTGATTTTAGCAAGATAGTATAGTAGAAGTGGTATTTAATTAGTTTATCATGATATCTTACTGATATGATATATTATGACAATTGAATGTACTTTGAGAATTCAGCCTGCTGTGACTGTTTATAATTGTCAAATCAGCAGACCTGAACATTATAAAAACTGACAATAAAATCATATTGATAGAATCGATACTCATGTATCATAACATGTCTAATCAATTCTATATTAAAGGGGCAGTATGTAAAATTTTCAGTATAAGAAAATGTTGCGAATTATATTGAAAAGATTTTTTAAATATTCTATTAACTTCCAAGTATCTATTTGATAAATCTGAATTTGTTTTAAAGAATCTATTAAAACCATGAAGTGTGCTAGTTGTGAAGCCTGTTTTTAGTATTGGGCATTAAAAGCCCAAATTTTAGGTGAAACCTTCAGAAAAAGTAGTAAATATATTTTTCTTTACAATTTGGATTTATTTTGCTCGATACATCTATTTGTTTTCAACTCCAACCAAAAACATAGTGAATTTAAAATGTTTATGTAAACATTTTGAATAGATTCTGCATTCTAAAAATTAACTTAGTTAGTTAAAACTTTCAGTAATCCAATTGTTTCTTCAAGACCCGTTGGCCTGTCGCCACCAAGTAAACATCCGTAAAGCCCCTAAGGGAAATAACAGGTTTCTTTCCTTTAAGCAAACATATCTTTTTCTCATATCGATATGTCTATTCTATCTATTATAAGATTATGTTATATCTTATTAAGTCTAATATTGTTTTCATGTATATGATATTTTTTGATATGCTACAGTTATTGAATAATATTTAGAAATCAAATTATCAAGTAGTGTAAATTCAGTTCAGAATTTAAGGTGCCCTCCCACCATAGCGATTACTAGTTGTGTATGGTTGTCAATAATGAAAGTGGCCATGAATACCTCACGCAACTCAAATATCATTATGACTGATATTCTTATTTGCAGCAATTCATAACTGATGATAGCTTAGGTGTGAGGGCCCCTTTATATTGATTTCCATTGAATTCACACTACAAGATAATATGAAAAAAAACTGTATGTCTAACCTTCATATAGAAATGCAATAATTGTTCTTGCTACCAGTAAGCCAACAGGCAATAATGTTTACTAAATGCAATTGTGTTGTCTAGTTATTTGCTCTACACATTAACAGACTTTAAAGGCACATACATATCCAATATTCCGTTGATTACCTGTATATCATTGGTTACCTGTATCCCGTTGGTTACCTGTATCCCGTTGGTAACCTTTGTCAAAACTGCTTGACAAACGAATTAAAATATAGAACCAACAATGCTTTATTTGTATATTAATGAAATAATTGAATAGTTTAAATATCAGGAGAGCAAGTTATATATGAATAGCCCTGAAGCTGAATTGAATTTACTTTCATTATACTGACCTTTTTATAACTAGACTTTTTAATATCAATATATTTATCTTCCGGGCTAAAATATATATAAACAAAATTATTTTGATTTTTGATAATCATTGTCTTAAATAACAAGGATCTCATAAGTATCAAATATTGTAAAATCAATTTCATCTTTAGGTCATCTACTTGATCAATTCAGATCAAAGTGTTCCTATTTAAACTGTGTCTTTATTGAAACATGCCTGTAGACTATTTGAATTGATTATCCATGTTTAATATGTATGTTATATAACAAGTTGAAATAATGTGTGTATGGTTTGGATCATTACAATAATTGTTACTCTATTGATTAGAGTGCATATGAACTTTCATCACTTTTAATAATATTGATTATCTCATTGCTCAATAGAAAGTTTAGGGAGAAAATCAATTTATAGACAAACAGAAATATGGACAAAAATAATAAACATGGATTAATTTACATCACATATTAGGGCATGACAATAAATTTGATTTCTTGAGATGATCAAGTAAGAGTCTCAGATGATAATTCAAGATCCTGAGATGATAAATCAAGAGCCTGAGATGATAAATCAAGAGCCTGAGATGAAAAATCAAGAGTCTGACATGATAAAGCAAGAGGATGAGATGATAAAGCAAGAGCCAAAGATGGTAAATAAGGAGTTTGAAAAGATAAATTAAGATGCTGAATAGGTAAATCAAGACCCTGAGATGATAAATCAAGAACCTGAGATGAAAAATCAAGAGTCTGACATGATAAAATCAAGAGCCTCAGAAGATTAGAGCCTTAGATATTTAGTTCAGGAAATTGATAGTTGAAAGAGAAGTAAATATAAGTATAAAATATCTGAACTTTTAAAACCTAAAATAACTTAAAATATCATCCAGTTTTACAATACTTACCAATAAGGCTGTAAGAAATTTTTAAAGAAGATACCAGTTGATAGAGGAAGATCTGATTTCTTCATTTTTCCCTTTAAAGCACATAAACAACAGTAATTCAGCAATTCGTCCATTGCCTCTATAAAATACAAATATAACACAAAATGTTAGGAATTTTTGATAATCAGAAATCTTAATTGTTATGCTGGCTAATTTACATTCTATATTTAAAAAAATTGTCAGCCATTCGAATTCTACTCAATGTTCATTAACCAGGATAAAGGCTGCTAATGATAGAAATAAAAATATTTAATTGAATCAACAGTGTCAACAAAAATCAATAGATTTGTGCATAATGGAAATTGCATTATATCAATAGTCCTATAATTAATCATGCTACAGTTTGATTAAAATGCTGCAAGATATTTACAAAATCAATGGATTAATATACGATTGGGATCTAATATAATAATGTAGATATCAATATCTGAAAATCGCATGAAACTTTGAGTAACAGCATGATTCAAGTTCTGTTTTAATATTTCTATATCGCTTTACAATTGAATTGAGCACTATTTTAAAATTGAAAAATTTTAATTATTGAAGATATCAATATCAGGTATTATCACAAAATTACCTTTGGGATCTTCTTCTTCTTCAGAACTTTCTTCTGATTCTTCTTCTGATTGAGATATATTGGCAGTAGCTCCTTCAGTTTCATTATTATCATTATCTATTGATAGTGTCTCCATGGAGAGACCTGCAGATTGACTGTTAATCTCAGTTGACTTTTTCACTTTACTGGTCTCTCCTTCTTCATCAGAATCTTCGACATCTATATCCAGATCATCTTTTAGAAATGGAGGTACAGACTGGTCACCCATTTCCCTGAAAGAAATAAGGTTTTTAACTATTTCAATAATATTTTTTTGTAATTTGAAAATTAGAATGATTACAGTATGACCAAAAATAAAGATTGTATTTCTTTAGAAATAGGCTACTATAATGTGCCAAATGCCATGGCTAATATGGCAGGTGCAACTTATTAGATTTGGATGCATTGTGACCTAATTTGTCAACTCTTCGGTACTTAAAACATTAAAGGGAAATAACCACTAGTTTTATTGTATAAAAATAATGTTTTTAGCATAATATCTCACCATAATAGATCTCCCATCATATGTAATGGTTTAACTCCTTTTCCTTTCATAGCAGATAAATACATATCTTCTCCTGATAATAATGTTTCTCCTACAGCCATTGGTGATCTAAAATATTGATAAAAATTTTAGTTGAACTTTACTGAATCTTTCTCTTGTTAAATTGCTACATTGGAGGTTGCATAGATAAATTGAAATACTTTATATAGCTAGAAGTAAAAGAAGCCTTTCAGAAATAAACAAATGAAATGAAGTGTACTGGACACAGACTTGTTGTGACCTCTCATACCTTAAGTATGAGATCTTGACTTAACCAAGAAATGACGTTGAACCTTTATGTACCTGATTGAGACTTCACCTCTCCCGTAATAACTGATAAGTCATACCTATTTCCAACAAGCTTTATACTGGCAATATCACCTTTCTTAATACCACGGAATGTTCCCATATGAACTTGTCCTGATACAACAACACCTGGCAACATCAGATCTGAAGAAAATAATCCCTGAGTTCTGTCGCTTATCAAAGAATAGATTTTAATTTAAACTGATTTAAAATAAAATACAAGATAGAAGTAAATACAATGATCATGTGAAAGGTTATAACTAAAATTTTGGTGAAATTATGGTGAGATTTTAGTGGTACCGAAAAAGTAAAAGATGATTGGTTTCCTCACCTGCACCGACTGCTAGCTTAGTAAACACTGGAGGCCATGTTGTAAATACTGGTAACATTTCAGGAGCTTTCCACAATGCATAAACTGTAAAAATAAATTATTTGTGTAAGATTACAACATCTAATTTTACATGTAAGCAGAATTTTTTTGCAAAAAAGCACCACAAGATTTAACATGATAATTGCTATATAAAAAAATATTACCTGATGGAAACCATTTTTTGTTAATTTCGAAGAAAATAGGGTTCTTCTGACAAGAATAGATATTAGCTATTTCTCCACTGTGAAGTTCTACTTTAGCCACTGACATGTCACCTTTAGCTGGGAATAATTCTGATAGTACATTTTCCTCTATACGATATAACTTTCCTATGTCATTTTTAATTTTCTTTCTGAAAACAAATACAAACTCAAATCAAAAGTACACGAGTCTAGCTAACTTCTTTGCTGAAGTTAAACTGTTTCAGTCAAATTGGCCACTTTCCTTGTAAAAAGATACAATCTCATTTATATGAAAATCAAGAGTACAAGAGTCTTGGTAACTTATTTCAGTTCACCATTAGTTCTTTCCACTACACTCCTTGTTTTATAGATAGAGGATCAAAATGTTGCAAACAATCCTTTAATCTGACAAATGATTTGTTCTCATAAGGCAGTTGACCACTGATCCAACACTGTCTATTTTAAAGTAATGCAGGTTGACTGAAACTATGAGAATGAAATGCCTGCCAGTAGGCCTATAGATTATACTATATAGGAAGTCTATGGAGTTTTTTTTATTTGGTTGTGCAACTTACTTGTCTGATCCTTTTAAAGTATTTTGTCTCTTTACCCTAAATGGCTTTAGAAACATTCTTTCTCGGACTACTCTTTGAAAATACAATTAGAACCAGTCCAGTAGAAAATCAAGGATTGAAATGAAACAAACGGTACAACTGATCCAAAAATAAAAATATATATTGCATTCAGTTTTCTTTACTTTCGGTTTGTATTTTAATGCAACTTCCGGTAAAAATAAGAACTGTTACATAATGTCGTAAATAGATTGCTTCGCAAATAACAAAGTTATATTTAAGAAAATATCATTTGATGACGCATTATAATCAATACTTTGAATGTTTTTCACTTACTATTTTTATTTTCTTTATTTCTATAGAAGGATAGCTGATATAATTGTCGTAAATTAATATCCATTTAGACCCACTTTCGGCATAATATTTGTTTTCCCTGGCAACTCTAACAAGAAACACCTGTTTTATTTCCATTAAGCCTAATCTGACAGAAAATCGACCAAATTAATCATGCTAAGGATCAGAACATAACCGAGACACTTAATGAAGACGTGGACAAATTGACAAAATGACTGATATACTTTGTAATTGGCTCAATAGTGAGCTGTCAATTTCCAAACATGTTGGTGAGTGAATCAGATAATTGTACTTACTACTAGACTAACCTACTAATATTTTGTCTTTGCTCATAACTTTTTTTTTTATCAATTTTAACTTAAAATTAACCATCTTTGTTTGTCATGGAATATGTTACACAGTTTATAAGGCTATGTAGCAATGGTCAAGTGTTGTAAGTAGTAACTAGCCTAGGCCAACATACATAATCAATGACTATTCCATGTCTTTCGCTTCAGCTTAAATATACTTTGTCCACTCTGGCCTTCTATATCACTATGTTTTCCTTTACAGATCAACAGTCCTTTGCACGAGACTTCTCGTCAGGTTTTTTAATTGGTGAAGTATTAAATAGATATCAGTTACAAGATGACTTTGATCAATTTTCACAGAATACGTAAGTTGTCATCTCATTAACTTCATAAATATTCATGAATTAAAGATACAATCCTCGCAGGAATGGAATTTAGATACAAAGTGTAGAAGATCTGTAAAGCTTGTTAAATGATCACTAAATGTGTTATTCTATAATTCTGATGTTAGATTGAATTTTTTTTCTTTCAGGCAATCAGATGCCAAACTCAATAATTTTACGAGGGTGGAGCCAAGCTTACATCTGCTGGCTATTCCATTTGATACAAACATTGCTCGAGATATTATGACAGAAAGACATGGGGTGGCTACAAGATTAATGTATCAACTATACATAGCCCTAAATAACAAGAAAAAAGCAAATCTTACAGGTGTTGCCATGGAAACAATGAGACCTGCTGCTCCTGCTAAGCTTAATGCTTATGAAACTCTGATGTATAGAGAGGTAATTTATGGAGAGCGATTTGTTTCATATATAAAGTTTATAAAACTAGTGACTTGTTGATAGTTTTACTAGATTGTTTTAATAAAACTATAAACCTTCTCTATTTCTCTCAATGTGTATTGTGATGTCATAATGGCTTTGATTTTAAGAATAGGATAATCCTGTTAGGATAATGAAATACATGTAGAGTTCCTTCCCTTTCTATGATTGTCAAGGCAAGATATTGTTTGGGTCACAATTATACCATTTTGTATTGTGATGTCATAATGGGTTTGCCTTGAGGAATGAAGTAAAAGTTTGGTAGTAGGTATGGAGAGATAGTTTACTTATTAAATTAGTACTTGAGTATTGATTGTTGATGTGCCTAAACATTAAGTCTACAGAGTTCTTTATCCATATTATAGTCAAGGCAATATATTATTGTGGACACATTATCTGCTTTGTATTTTGATGACTTCATCGTATTGTAAAAGTAAAAGATTGGCAAGGAGTTTGTTAAAAGGTTCTTAGTAAAAATCACATGGATATTGTGGTGCAAAATTTAAAAAAAAAAGGATAAATAATTGAAGTCTGTCTATTGTTTGTGTCCCAAGAGTTCTCTTCAGGAGGTAGACCACAACACAATTACCCTCATGTATTGTGATGTCATAATGACTTTGATTAGGCTGATTTCTGCTGACACTGCCCTTCAGTACTGTGATGTCATAATGATGTTATCTTAAGGTTGAGATTGGTAAAAGTTTAATGAGAAGGTAGTAAAATTTTCTTGAATAAAATCATTTTAAAACTGATTTTAAACCCTTGATCAATTTTTTTATTGATTCTTAAAAAGTCAATTAGTCTATAATTCATGCGTAGTTGCGTGAGAATCAACTATTGAAGTTTCATTAGATAGATGGTTCAATTTATTGATTTTCTGAAGTGATTAAGTTGTCATGGAATAGTCATTTATTATCTAGGATCAATTGATTTTTACCTGGCCAATTTACTTGTTAGCTTATCTAATTACCAATTTTCTGATTTTCAAATGTTCTAGAAAGACTTTTGTTTATTCCACAATTAGTGTGTTAGTGTTGTCTTATTGTTCAATGTTGAGATAAAAGAAAGCTTTAGTTTAGTTTTAGGATTACAGGGGCTGTTTTGATTCATTTTGGCAGGATAATATTTGTGTGTAAATCGAAACGAAATGTTTAGGTTAAAAGAAAATTGGATTTGTTTTTACAGAAATTGAAACAGAAGACTCCTAGACAAACAGATTTGAACCTTGAAGCTCTGGTGTCAAGATTCCACGAGAAACAGATTACAATGGAGAAAATAGAGTTTGAGAAGAGATTTATAGAAGAGGAGAGAATTAGAGTTGAACAACAAAATCAACGCCAAGCCTTGTTAGAAAGATCGAGAATTTTAAAATCTAAACAAAGTGAAATGGTGGCTAAAATACAGTAAGTTAAAATTATAAGGTTCTTTTTAGAGATATTTGGACCAATTTCATTGCTGCAGGTTTGAATTCGGATCAAAATAGATGTATCAAAATCTAAATGATGACTTGCATGTGACCTTCGTCACCAATTCTGTTTATTTTTCAGAGCTGCTTCTGTTCATATACCTAAACCACCAGCATCTAAAACAATTCGAGCTGCTGAGATCCGTAGAGAGAATTTGAAAAATAAAGAGGCAAAGGTACGTTTTGGATTATTTTTAATTTTGTGTGAAATGAGTGAATATGACTCCTTCAGTATTTCTTGTAATCTCAAATTAAATATGCTGTCTGGCATCGACTACGATTGGAATATAGGAATTATTTCAGTGCATTCTTTCAAAACCAATGATAATAGATTCATTTTAAATAATTTTTAAAAAATTTGCTGGGTGTTGCATAAAGTCCTGACACAATTCATTTCATTATTGAACAACAATGGGAGCCCCAGTGGTACAGTGAGTTAAATGATCGCTCATTAACCTGAAGGATGGGACAATAATCCGGGGCCCCGTGTGCTACAGACTATGCACTTTAAAGATCACTCGACAGTTGGAAATTGATAAGAGCAGGCTAATGCATTGCATCTTCATCAGCCCGAAAGGTGCAGAAAAGTAGGATGTAAAACTCCATTCATTTCACTTCATTTGATTAACAATATCTATATTGTACTATAGCAAACAATGGATTCTATTGCTGATTTTGAAGAGAAAATGAAGGTAATTTTACCTCCATCAAAACAAGATGATGATTTAAGGTACGATATAATATTTAGTTCTGTATTGACCTTGTTTCATTTAATACCAAAAGATATGCCTTACTTTACCAAGATTTTACTACGAAGGCCTAAAAACATTTAAAGATGATATCAGTGGTCCAGTTATCTGTTTTTATCCAATTAGATTTATTTTTATTTTGAAAATCTGGCTATTATCTTAATTAGTTTTCAAGGATTAATCAGAGTATTATTTTTTATTTCATATTTTAGTGAATCAATAGATCTGCAATATTTGACAACTAATGAGGATGATAAAGCAGTACAAGATACTATCAATTTAATTATTCCAACATCAAATGATGAGTATATTTCAAAAATACGAACACGTCTGCAGGAAGATGCCTCGGCCAGGGAGGAACGAGAAAAAAGACGGAGAAAAGTTTTAGTTGATCAAATGACAGCTCATGAAAATCAGGAGGTAAATATAATGATTGGTTTATTTTGATTATAAACTCATCTCAAACCGTGTAGATTTTTGCGTTATGTTTCCCTTGATTCATGGTTTCTGGTAGAAAAGAATAGAGGTGACAGTAAGAAATGCTAGAAATTTTGCTTTATAGTTATAGGACAATAAACAAAGACCCTGTGTGCAACAATCAGTGCATGTAAACGATCCCTTGGCCTTTGAAATTTGAAAAAGAGTAGGCTAAAATTTCGCTCATTGTATGGTATTGCCGTCATCATTATCAGGTGCAGGAAAGTAGGACATAAAACTCCATTCATTTCACTCATTTATTTATAAATGGTTTTTGTGTATATTCTAGGCTGCTAGAAGAGAAGAGATACTAGTCAATAGATTAATGAGACAATCTCAACAAGAACGTAGAATAGCTGTACAGTTATTACAAACTAGACATGAGAAGGAAGTTATAACACGTAATAGAATCTACAGAGAAAAACAATATGAAGAAAGAAGAAGGAAAGATTTTGAAGATGCTTTGAATAAAGAAGCAGTAAGTTTAGTTACTTTAACCCTTTTCAACATGAGCGTCTGCTGCCAAGTCACATAAGGTTAATGCTATAAGATTTTAGTCATATTACTGGGAGTTTAGGGTATATGATTCTATATTTCATTTACACTCCAAAGGGTTAGACATTTTTCAATGGTTGGATTTTGATCAAACAAGATGGGAATGTTTTGTCACTTTTTTGTTAAATTTTCATCAGGCATGCTGATGTAAATTAAATTTTAAATATGTTCATATGTTGTACAATTTTTCATTAGGAAATGGCCAGATTAGCTAAAGAAGAATATGAAGAACAGATAAAGAAAGATAAAGAATTACATGATCAAATAGCAGCAGAACGAGCTACTTCTAAATATCAAAAACATTATGATATGTGTTCTGATGTGGTGGATCAAATCGTTGATTTCTCATGTAAAGTAGCTGAATATCGAGAATTAACCAATAAGTATGTATACTAATTACTTTGCAATGTTAAATTAATTGTATGATGTGTTCTTCTAAAGAAAGGACTTTTAACTTTCAACTTAAAAATGAACTGGCTAAGGTCATGAAATAAGAAATAGAAACAAAGAGTTAGAGATGTGATCATAATGATGATTGTGATAGAAGATTAATTTTTCCATTAAAAATGATAAATAACTTAAGTCTAATATTGAACCGATGATTCTTTCTTCATTTGCTTGCAATGGTAAAGTAACTTTATTACCAATGAATCAAGAATGGTGTTATATAGTATTTATATTTTTTATCACCTGAATTTACAAATTTAATTTCAGTTTATTACCTGGTAAATTAATGAGAGAATGGACAGCATTATTTATAGCTGGTCAGCCATTGTTTGATAAACCTGTAGAGAGTACCGAGCCTACACCAGAACAAATTCTAGAAGCAGAAAAACAACTTTTATTAGATGAAGGAGATTTCATGGAATATAAGGTGAGTTAAAATATGATATTATACCGAAGTTCTATCTAAATAATCTGAATGGCCCATATTTACTATACAATTCGAAACTATACCTTTATAAGCAAGTCATAATATTTACTGATATTTCATGTTTAATTTCTTGATCGTCTTCTTTCTGTGTAAAATCTGAAGTTAAACACTTAAAACAGGAAGTGAACATCTTTTATTTCATTCCATTTAACCACCACATGATAATTTACTGTATTATAGAATATGGTAGGAGAATGGCAGGCACCAGACGTAATAGAAGCAGCAGCTCCACCTAGAGATAATCCTATAGTGGGTCATATTGTTCAGAGATTGTTCAATATAGTTCACCCTCCATCAGTAAGTATCTCAGTTTTAACAAATTGTCTCCCTTTAGTCTTCAAGAACTATGACAATAATTGTCTCCTTTTTTTCTTCAAGATCAATCTCAATAATTGTCTCCCTTTAGTCTTCAAGAACTATGAGAATAATTATCTCCCTTATGTCTTCATCAACTATGACAATAATTATCTCCCTTTAGTCTTCAAGAACTATGAGAATAATTATCTCCCTTATGTCTTCATCAACTATGACAATAATTATCTCCCTTTAGTCTTCAAGATCATTGTCAATAATTATCTTCCTTTAGTCTTCAAGAACTATGACAATAATTATCTTCCTTTAGTCTTCAAGAACTATGACAATAATTATCTTCCTTTAGTCTTCAAGATCATTGACAATAATTATCTCCCTTTAGTCTTCAAGAACTATGACAATAATTATCTCCCTTTAGTCTTCAAGATCATTGACAATAATTATCTTTTAGTCTTCAAGATCATTGACAATAATTATCTTCCTTTAGTCTTCATGAACTATGACAATAATTATCTTCCTTTAGTCTTCAAGAACTATGACAATAATTATCTCCCTTTAGTCTTCAAGATCATTGACAATAATTATCTCCCTTTAGTCTTCAAGAACTATGACAATAATTATCTCCCTTTAGTCTTCAAGATCATTGACAATAATTATCTTCCTTAAGTCTTCATCAACTATGACAATAATTATCTCCCTTTAGTCTTCAAGATCATTGACAATAATTATCTCTCTTTAGTCTTCAATAACAATGTCAATAATTGTCTCCCTTTAGTCTTCAATAACAATGTCAATAATTGTCTCCCTTTAGTCTTCAATAACAATGTCAATAATTGTCTCCCTTTAGTCTCCCTTTGGAGAACTAGAATTTGAATACCTCATTTGATTCCACATGTCAGATCATCTTCAGATTTGAAATTAAAGTTCATAATGCCATGATTACAGTTTTTTTCAATCAATTTCAGCCACCTCCACCACCACCTGAGTTTCCACCATTTCCTATTAAAGCTTGTATTCTGGGTAAAGTTTTCAGTGGTAAAACATCTTGTATCAACAAACTGTCAGAAGGTACATTTTTGATCTTTAATTTCTTGACATTTTATCGTTTAGTTATGTATAAAAACAATCAAATATGTCTCTTGCATCACTTAGTTGCTATACCTAGTATATATCAGTCTACTGGGTGAATATTATAAACAAAAGAATGAACGTAATAGCCTCTTTTCTGTATATTTTGTTATATAACATGTTTGCTGGCCTATTTTTATATCAAATATTTATTTGTTTTCTTGATTTTATTGCAGAACACAGGTTACAAGTTCTATGTGTTGATGTTTTGGTTGATCAGGCTGTTGAGGCTCATAAAGCTGGTGAAATAATAGAAATTACAGTAAGTTTGGTTTTATGACACCTTTGTTACAATTTATTCACAGTGGGACCTATCACTACTTTATATCAAGCTATGTCCAAACACCTATGAAATAGTTTTCCAAAAAAATGTGTTGAAAGTAAAAAAAGAAAGTACAAAATGATGTTATCTTTGTAGGAAGAAGAAGAACATAAAGAAGATGTTGTAGCAGAAGAAACACCAAGAACTGTAGAAGGTATGTAGTGAAATTATTTTTTAACCTGGCAAATCCCTCAAATATAGTCTACCTTTTGCCCCTTTTAATTTTTTTAGCCCAAACTGATGCTTGCCTTAAATGTATTATCTAGTGACTAAACATATTATACCCTTTGCTCCAATAGTGTTTGGTTAACCCTTGTTTCTTTTCTTCCCTTCCCTTAGTAAAGTATCCCTGTATTTTTGTAGCAACCCCTGATGAAGCCACCTCTAATGAAGCCACCCCTGCAATTGTTGGTAATGAATCTACACCTCCTCAACCAACTCCTTTATCTAGTGAAAATGTTGATGGTAATTTCTTAGTTGTTATCACACTCATAAATATCACAATTTTCTTTACAAATTTTTAAAATGGTTGATTTTTCTCAATACACTAAATAATCAAAACACTCCTGCCGGGCACATAAATTTTTTAACTTTTTCATATTATTTTCCAGTGAAAGATGATCATGTAGCAGCACAACCTCCATCAAATGCAGCATCACGTTTGGATAGTTCAGCCAGTGTTCTTAAAAAATCTAGTTGTAGTGTCAATAATGATAAACCACAGGTGAGACTGGCTTCTATCTATAATCTATTGCATTACATCAGCATTAATCATCGAGAATGATAATTGTCAAAAGATTATAGTCAGGGATAATCTTTCTGAATCTTATTGAATATGGATACTATTTTGTTTTGATTTGAAAAATTGTAATGATGGTTTAATAATTGTCTTTGTAGCCTACAGCAAGAGCTAAATTAGGAAGTAAAGTTTTCCGATTTTTGAAGAAAGGAAAACCAGTTGATGAACAGTTGATAGTAGATATCTTAGTGGAAGCTATCAGGTTAGACTACTGCCAAATTTATATTGACATAAGATCTGACCATTTATATTGAGATAAATTTGAATAATTAAAACATCAAATGACTTGTATGGTCATAAGTCCTGGCACTACTAGTATTCTGGGATGATTTGCAAGGGAAATTGTTTGGTGACTATTCAATATTGTATAATTTTGTATTTTTGATGTTTGTTTTGTGACCATCATGTCCTAGAAACACAACAGCTGTTAAGTTTTTTCAACTCTTTTAATTTGGGGCTTGATTTTTTCTCTAGGAGAGTTCCAGAAAATACAGGCTGGATTATTGATGGATTCCCACAAAACTATAATCAGGCTAAACTATTGGAGAAAGCATTGAGTGGATTTGAAGAGAAAACTAAGAAAGAACCTGAAAAGAGTTCAGGAAAGCAGAAGAGATCATCCCTGGTACCTGACCCCCGTCCTTCTCCCCCTGCCCCAGAACCAGCTAGTGGTATTAATGTTGTTATTGTACTAGATATTGATGATGAAGTTTGTATAAAGAGGGCTGCTGGCAGAACTTGTAAGTCAATTATACCTGAGCCTAATATTTAATAGTAATAATATGGCAAGAAAGATCAATCTGGGGCTGTTGTTAGAAAGTTGACAACTCTCACAATTGGCCAATATTATGACTTCATTAACCAATCAGTGTCCTTAATATTGTACATTGAGTAACAAAGTTACGTGTTTGACAACCAATCACTGATAATTCTAGGTTCTATACAGACAGGGGAACAGTTCCACCAAGAATTAAATCCTCCACCTGAAGGTAGTGCTACAGGTGTTGGTAAACAAGAACAAGTTATTCCAGTACAGGATATGGCTCATGATATGGAACAAATACAACATAGGTAAGGCCATTTATCTCCTGTGTATATCAGATACACTTCTTTACAGATGTAAATGATTAGAATCATACAATAGACAAGTTGTTAATATTCGTACGACATTTTCTAAGATCTTCTTACTTCGTTTTACAGAATAACAGGATTTGTTGATTCCTGGCCTAAATTAGAAAAATGGTTTACAAGATTTGGTACACTGAAGGTAGTAAATGCTGAAGCTGAAGAAAGAACTGTAAGGTTGGAGGTGGAAAAAGTCCTTGAAGATACTTTGAAAAAGGTATGATTTATTCTAAATGATGAAATACTCTAAAAAATTTTTTAAAACTTGTACAAAATTGAAATTGAATTTTCAACATTTCATTTCTTTATTTCTTTGCAAAATGCCCTCGTTGCATAGTGCACACATCATGTTGTTACATGTCTTTGCCAAAGAAGTAGAAAAGTAGGATGAAATTCTGTTTGTGATTGTTAATAAATTATCAGTTTCTGTGAAACTATAATAGTGTGTATGTTTGTAGTTACAAGGTGGTGATGAGGAAATCAAACCTGAAGAACTACCAGAGGAAAAACCAGAAGAAATTCCTGAACCTGTTAGTATAAACTTGTTAAAAACAATACTCAGATAATTCTTTATATTTTACTACATATCCCATTTAATCTTATGCTATGACAGTACTAAGAATGCAGTCAATTCTACACCAAATGATAGACGTGCATACTGATTTGTGAAGTTTTTCCCATTTCCCTGAAGTGATAGATGTTTTTGAATTACTTCCAGTCATAAGATTCACATACCTCTGGATCATTAATTGAAACTATAAAACTTCTAGTATTACATAAATTTATTTCTATTGCAGCCTCCTCCTGAGCCAGTTCCTGAAACACCAAAAGAACCAGAACCAGAGAAACCCAAATCACGTCCAGGATCAAGAGGCAGTAGATCAGGTTTGTCAAAGAAATTCCTCACATCAATCATATGATAAGAAATTTAGTTTTACCTTCAGTTATACACTATATATAATGTTCAAAAAGTTGGACTGAGACTTTGCTTTTTAAAGATTTTAACTGTTTTAAAGAAACATGCTAGTATAACATGGTTTAGATCAATTGAAAATATAAGAGTTGTTTACTTGAAATATTGAATGAAGCTATTGATATTTGTAGGATCTGGTGGTAAGAAATCACCCTCCAGAACTTCATCTAAAGATAAACGTGAGAAAAGTGCCTCACCAAAACGTAGTGCTAGTTCCAAATCTAAAAAATCAGATACAGCAGTTTCTAAGAAAGGAAGTAGAAGTAAGTATTACCTGTGTTTTTATTTTTAAATAGAATAATATTCTAGCTGAGTCTTCTCGAAACTATCTTAGTGCTAGCATGGACATCTTAACTTCCAACACTCTTTCAAGGGATCCTAGTGCTAAGATTGTTTAGAGAATATAGCCTGATTATTATTTCATTTAAAGCAGCAGCAAGGTTTATTTCTTATGAAAATGTAGACAGTAGCTAAATTTGCTACATTTCATATTTCTATACATTTCATAATTTTTTATACAATCTTTTATTTTTCCAGCATCTTCACCTAAATCACCATCAGGTAAAAGAAGTAGATCAGGAAAGAAAGGGAAAACACCTGAACCAGAACCTGAACCTGAACCAGAAATACCAACAGGACCACCACCACCATTACCTGGTTCAGAAGAATGGGAATTCGTTGATCAGAGCATTGAATTGGTAAGTTTTGATTGTAGAAGTTTCTGGATACTGTCTCAAACAAACTGATGCAATCAAATTTTGTAATAAGTGTTGTATTTCTTACTGTAAACTTACACTTAATGGCAATTTTTTATTGTAAATCTTTTGAGAAAGTAGGGCCTGTTTGCTATTTGTGTCAGCTTGCTTGTTATGTATTTAGTTTGCAACACCAAATCAGGGTTGCAGATGAGTTTTTTTCACTGGTAGATTGGACCCTTTAAATACTGTTGTATGGAACTTCCAGTATTTCTTTCTTTCAAGCTTAAAGGTATTAATTAATGATATCAACATAATGCAACCCATGATATGTATCCATGGTCCATGTTTTTGTAATAAAGGAATTTTGATTTCAGGACCTTGCTAAGATATTGGCTGAACATTGGGAAACAGTGGAGAAATCATATGTGAATAATAGTAAAAATGTTTTCCATAATATTAGAGATGAACGGGAGAATATCTATAGATATTTCTATCAAATGAGGTAAGATCGACTTTTTATAACATACTCAGTAATTTAAGGATTTTTTATAATATGGATAATATACATCCTATTTTGAAATTTAGTGAGCCTTTTAGCAGTCAAATATAGTACTTATTAATTTAGAGACACTTATTTGTATTTGATACTCTCTACAATACTTTATAATACAATATCCATTTATTTTACAGAAAAGATTATCTAGAATATTTGAGAAGACCCGATCACAAACAAGAATTTGTAACACAATGGCAAAAGGTAAAATCTTTTTGGTCAGAGCCATGAATTGTCCCTCCCCATTGTATTCTGTTGTGCTCTTTATGAACAGGATTGAAATGAAATAACGTAAATATCCTTTGCATTCTGTAAGTTTTCCTAGGCTTATACGAACTCTTAAATTCTTAATGCCCATCAAATAAGAATTTGGAACTCTTCTGATGAATGTAACCCAAACATTGTAGGATTATAATGAGGTATCTGATGATATGAGAGAAGATGAAGAAACTAAAGCTGAATTACATCAAAGAGTTGATGATTTACGTGAGAGGTTATGGAGTATTTGTGATGAGAGAAAGGAACAGGCTGAAAGGGAACGTGAAGCTATTATTAATGATGGATGGTTAGATGATAGATTAGGTGTTCTCAGTAATCAATATATTACTCTCATGCAGGTAACATCATTTCATCTATATTTTACAAAGATAAGGTTTGGGGAATCCATTCTTGAAAATATGTTTTTTTCAAATTATTTATGGCTGGAACTGCTGACTTGTTCATGATCACTTTACATTCTTATTTGACTGAAATTATAACCCTTCACTACATTTCTGCTGCAACCAGGCAAATGCAGATTCCTGGCGGTATTGAATCCAGTAGACACCATTTTCTTCTTCTCAATTTGATCTTTATTATGTTTCAGACTGAAGTGGACAGGTTCCAGGATACAGTCAGACTATTAAAAGATTATTATCGTGGTATGGATGGTCAAATTCCAGATGAATTAAATCAGAATTACGCAAGAATACCTTTAGTTGAGGTAAGACATTTCAAAATGATCCAGGAGTGAGAAAATTCTGCTTGATCACTAGTTTTCAAGAACTCTTTTGGAGAAAAGTGTATTTCAGTTAAGAAAAAAAAATTCAGCATGTGCATCAGGTTCCAAGAGCATTCATCTTTTAACAGTTTTTTGTTTCCTTATTTATTAAAACATGATAATTAATTATTTCTAGCTGCCATTAGACAGACCTGAATCACCTGATAAAGTCAGTGAGACAGCTTCTACTCCACCAGTTACTGATGAACAACAAACAGGTGCCCCCAAATCAGATAGATCCAAATCACCAAGAGCTAAATCACCAAGAGAAAGTCGTTCAAAATCTCCTAAAGATGGTACCAAATCACCCAAAGAATCCAGATCTAAATCTCGAACACCATCAGCCAAGAAAAGAGATAAGAGTAAAGAAAAAGAAAAGGTTGCTGAATATCAACCTCCTAATTTTGATAATGATGGACCAAGAAAAAGGTAGGCCTTCCAATGCCTGAATAAAGTCCAGAAAGTGACAATTCAATGAAGTAGACATTAAATGTCCAATTTTATCCAGATCTGTTTTGTAAATGTATAAACTCTATAAAACTTTTTTACATGAGAACTAAACTTTATGCCTATAATAAAACTGTCGAACTTGTACTTTCTTTTTGATGTAGCAATGGACAGGTTTACAATGAATATTTGTTGTTTTCAGGATCCCGTTGATACCAAGACGTCCAGTGTCCCCTGATCCTGATGCCAAGACAGGAGCTGGTAAAGGTAAACCAGAAAAGAAAGCTGGTAAGAAGGATGATGTACCTGGCAGTGAAAGTCCAGCACCACCTGTTGATTTTGATGAAAAGTTGATAGTCGATTCTGCTTCAACAGCTGTCAGCTTTATGTCTCAGATGGTGAGTTGTTTTCTTTTGTTCCGCTTATGGTATCATCTAATGTATTTTGTAAAATGTATTGATAGAATTTGCAACAGAGTTATCAATTAAGTATTTTAAATTTCAAAATTTCAGTCTTGAATACCTATATGATATTGGTCATATTTATGAGTAATAAGATAATGGAATCAGTACTGTTACATCTTTTTATGTATTCTTATAGATGTCTACTGAATTAGCCGCTAAAGAGGCTGAAGAAGAAGCAGAAAGACAAGCTGAGATTGAGAGGGAGAAAGAACGAGAAAGAGCAAAAGCAGCTGCAACCAAGAAACCAAATAAAAAGGGAAAAAGTAGAAGTCCTTCACCTTCTAAGAAAGGAAAGAAAGATTCTGAGCCAGCTGCTACACCCCCTCCTGGTAAGAAACAAGTTGAAGACTTTTTCAAAGAATGACTCAGATCGTTGACAATGGTTGGGAGAGAACTGTGTTATATCCTCTATGTTTATTTTTAGTAACTGAAGAGCTGAGTGAAGAAGATCAAAGGAAGAAAGAAACCAAGGAGAAGATGAGACAAGAATATTATTTCGCCATTGCTGAGGAAGGTAGGATTTCAATTTGTTTATTTTTTCATTGAAAGGTGTCGACAGAAAATTTGATTATGTAAGCATATATGTAGCAGAATTATTATGAAAAACGCCAATTGTATTAAATATCCCTCAGTTTTGTCCTGTCACATATTTTAACTTCATTGTGAATTTATTGTAGAAAATGCTGCTAAAGTAAGAGTTGAATTGATCAAGTGTATAACACTATTAGTTCTACAAGATTTAAAGGTGAAAGCAGAGAATGTTTATAAAGATATGAATGACTGGCTTGGTGCTAGATTCCTCAAAGAAATGGAAAGGTAAGTCATTAAGATAAAATGATTGATAAGGGTACTCTATTGTGACTTCAGGTCTCCAGAGATACTTGGGCGAAGAGCCCTTCCAGTGAAGGAGACTATCCATTAGGAACCTGGATCCAAATGGATGTATCATAATTCAAGCCTACCGTGATGTTTTTTTTTATTCTGTGGACATCAGGGACAGGGTACATTCTGATATAATGATATGTACTCTGTATACAAATTGATGTTCCCCTGCTCTATCAGCGATGAACATGTTCTGCATCATCAATACATTTTTGTAGGCCCATCAGGATTAAGTATATGAGCCATAAATTTTATATTTTAGCATTGACCAACTGTCTGAGACCATGAGATTTGGTATTGAAAATAAGGAAAAGATTGAGAAGGAATTATTATTGGATCAGGAAGATTTTATGCTCAATGAGGTTGGTACAGATTTCTTTTTCATAAACCTGAATATGTGTCTGAAAGCTTTCTTTTAGGCTTTCGGATTTTGCTTTGGGATTAATTGAGTGCAAAGACAAGAATGAACTGATCTGTACCATTGAAATTTTGGACAAATATATACCAATATCATCAATAGAAGCCTAATTTAAAATTGAATTCTAATTTAGGATTATACAATATTTAAAATGGAGAGAGAGATGGAAGATAAAACAGTGAGTGATGATGTATCACAATCAAATCACGATCACTATTTTTTATTTTACAATGCATCTCCACTTACAAAACTTGCTTCACTGAGTAGTCATGTAGACAATAGCCAAGCATGTTTGTGTGAATTTGAATGTATTAGCATGTGATATATGTATGCTTAAAGACATTTGAACCCTAATAGACAAAGAATGCACAATTTTATATTATGTATAATTATGTGGCTGAAAGAGCACCCACTGATGCTGAAAGTTTTGAAATCACATGCAATAGAATCGATATATAAAATTTTCTTCATTTCTAGGATCTGAGAGTATTAAAGTCATCATCTAGTGTTTACGAGGTGCATGAAAAAGAAAATATGGCGGAGCTGTTCACTGTGGATCAGTTGTTAAACCTATTGAAACAGGTACTGTAAATTTGTAGTAATTCAAACGCCATCTGATATGATTTGCTTTGTAAATAAAAGGTGTCTTGAATTTAAATGAACAAAGTATGATATAATACAGAACAAAGTATGATCTAATAAAAGTATGATCTAATACAGAACAAAGTATGATTAATATAAAACAAAGTATGATTAATATAGAAATTAGATATTATAAAGAAAACAAAAGAGATAAAGTGGTTTTATTAGAACATTACTTTTTTATCTAATAGTACAATACAAGATACAAAATCAAAAATAATGTTCCACAGAAAAATTATTAGGTTTTTATATTTGATAATTTAGCTGTATATTTGTATTTTTCAGTTCCTGGAAATAGCTCCTAATGGTGTATTATCTAATAAAGGTTTTGTAGAAACATTAGAGAATATGGTTTCAGTAAGTTTTGGTATGGAAACTTTACCTGATCAATGGATGAATATTACTACAACACAGGTAGGCATCAATAATAATTCTTATTTTTTACCTCACTTTACTGTACTGAACATACTTGCTCCTCTGAAAAAAAAGTGGCAATACCACTGGACCTGGTCGGTTGTAAATATTGGTGTGATAACTTACTGATATTATCAGTTCTTAATTTCTTCACTCTTCTTTAAGATTCAAGAGATTGGTAATAACTTAGCTAATGATACTGAGTATGTAGATTATAGAAGATTTTTATTAGCCTTAACCAGACCAATACCCACGCCAACACAAGCTGAATTACTAGAAACTTTAATTCGATTTGAAGAAATGGATCAGAAACTGACTGGTGCTGTTACTAGAGAACAATTTGATAGGGTAAGTCAATAGGTAGAATCTAGATTGAGGTTTGACTGAGGGAATATGTAAGAAGAAATCTTAGATGTAAACATTACGGTGGCATCATTTCTATGCCTTGTCGGAAATCACCACTTGATAATTTCAAATTATTGGAGACTAAAGGGAGATAATTCAGACCTTATTTTTTTTAATGATCAGTTCTTATATCTAGAATTGTCTTTTATCTTATGCACATTATCTTCAGTTTTTAACATTTGATTTTAAATGATGGAGACTAAAGGGAGATAATTCAAATCCTTTTAAGGATCAGTAAAGTATAAACAGTTATTTAGCATTATCCATGATGCACTGGTTTTTAGCTTTTCACATTCTGTCTGACCTTTATGATAATCTGTTTCTTCAGACTGAGTTATGGTTCCCATTTGATGATAGTATAGAAGAAACTGGTTTTGATAGATTAAGAAGATTAAAAGGAGCTTTATTTGATATTTTTGGTAATCTGTCATCTTCACCATGTAAACTAGATTATATTAGTCTGGTGAGTTCTTATTTACTTTTAATTCTAAATGTAAAAATCTAAGAAATATTTTTTTTAACAAATTGTAACAATTTGTCCACCTCCTCTTTAACAACCTCAAAATGGTGTTTTATCAAAAAATGCACTTGAAGCAAGAGTAAATGAAATAAATGGTTTTCCTTATGTATTTCAGTTGATGTATTTTAGTGCTGTACCTAATTCACATGAAGGATTTTTAAGAGCTTTAAGTGTTGCTTCTGGTTGTCACATGCCAAGATTAGCTAAACCTACTGCTTCAACAACTGCTGGTACTAATCTAGATCATTCAGCTGATGAAGGAGGGTAAGTTTTGATGTATATTGTTCACGATCAATAATTTCAAATTCAAATCATCAGATTACAATTTTCTGTTTTTATTTGTGGCTTCAGGATTTTTCCTTAAGTACTTATCCTTTAATGACCTGTAAAATAACCAAGAACTCTCTATTTAAATTTTAGCCGTGTGTCATCATCGATATAATTTTTTTTATAATTTCAGTTTATTACCTGAAGGATTAGATGTAGAAAAAGATGAAAAACATGTTGAACCTCCTATGACAGGAGAAGTTATACCTGAAAATGCTATTGATGCTAAAGTGCCTTTAGATGCATTGTACAAGGTAAACTTACATAGTTTCAATCCTATCCTGAATTGTTTGACTTAGTTTCAAATCATGTCTAAAATTTAATATTATTTTGTATTAAAGAAGTCCATTGAAAGCTGCTCAACAAACATATTTAATACAACTTTATATTTCTAACAGGTATTACATCATGGTGAAAGTACACAAGGTGATAGTCATAGATATACTGTTGGTACAGATCCTGAAGAAAATACTTCTAAGGTAAAGGTTGTTTTATTCTCTTGGTTTCCAACCATGACTGCAAGCACCTCAGAAGCATACTTCTCCCAGATATCATAATCATAAAGGTTAGGGTGTATCAAAAGTCCAAGGATCAAGACAAATTGGTTTCTATATGAAATCATCTGTTCAAATATGTTTTCAGGAGAAGTTAGCCACTGTGTATGTTGAACTAGGTAGTGAAGATTTAGAACCAGTATTATATAGAGTATTAATAGAACATCCTCTTATACAAGATATAGTCACTGCTTGTAAATCATTTAAAGCTTTGGTAAGTACTTATTTTATGTACATATTACAGCTTAATTTAATTGTGTTATAATGTGTGCTTCAGTGGTGCAGCCCCGAAAGAGTTTTTCAGATATTTCGCCCCCCGTGTGGATGTTGACCTGGCTCCACCACTGGTGTGCTTTATCAAAAAGTCCTTCCAATTTTGATCTGTTTTGTCAACAGTATGCATCTAATAAAATCCTTAATGTTAGATGGTCATGAAAACACTGGCTTAATTACAAGTAAACATATCTTTTGCATATGATTATAATTTAGTTAGAACATCCTGTGTAATCTGTATATTTTTCTATATTTCAGGATTTAAAGACTATACTAGCTAGTACTGTATCTGATAATATAGATGCTACCAGTACCAAAACATTAGAATAAATTCTCTGGCTAGATTCAACCATTTCCATACTGTGATATCCATAAATTATCAGCATTTTATTGTCAATTTTTAAAATTAATTGTTATGTTTGAAGGCTATTTATATATTTTTTATTGTAAACCTAATACAAATTAAACTGAAAGTGTTGATATTTTAATATGTATTGCATACATCTGTAACAAAAGCAAGCATCCTAGTAATAGGTATATACCCAGCGAAATATTGAGCAAATTTCAGCCATCTGTTTCACTTTTTATTACGTCACTCAAACAGACTGGACTCATTAAGATAACTATTTTAATCCCTCTATTCATCCTCACAACTTCTGGAAAGACATTGCCCAATATCAGGTGTGGGCAGGAAGAACACAACTATTTTTATATAAAATTTTATTTGAAGTTGAAATGTATGATTTTAATATTTGAAAGTCACTGACCAGATCTACATTACAAACTTTAAAAACTATTTTTGAATTTACATATAACTAAAAATTCTATTTGAATGTGACCAATAAAAACAATGCATAAACAATGAAATTTCTGCATTCATTACTGTTTAGACTACATAGGTCAATAAAAATGTAAAATGGTGAAATATTTATTCCATAATATTGTCTTATGTTTGAAAATTGATGAAATATTTCTGAGCACTAATCTGGCGATGGGTCTATAAAATTATTCTTTAGGAGCTTCTGGTGGGTTAGCTGCTTCTTTGTCTTTATTTTCTGGAGTGCTTTCTGGTTTACCATCAGGTTTCTCTTCTGTAAAATATTATTAAAACTTGTAAAGGACTTTGACAATGGAGGCTTGAATCTAAGATTTCAACTCCTTGAAATGTTTCTCTAACCTGATGCTTGGACAGGTGCAATTTATGTCTTGTCTCAAATTGGCCTTCTGATCAAAGTATTGTTCTCAACCCCCTTTGAGATACTCTTGGCATATAAACTACTTTAATTGGAGGATTTGAGTTTATAAATCATTACAAAAATATATCTTTATTCAAATATTTACATTTATTACAAATTTCAATCAATTAGTACCTTTCTTGTCTGTAGTTGTCTCTATCTTGGCATCACTGAAAATAGAAACCATGCCAAAACTTAGTATAAATGATAAGAAGAAAAGTCATTGCATTCAAAATTTAACTTGAGCTGAAAGTTTTTCATACTTATGTGTTGACAGAAGGGTATTCATTTATTGTAATATAATGAACTGATCATACAAGGATGTTAGAAATGAATATTATCTTAGAATGTGACAAATATTGGAAATATACTCACCCTTTCTCAGTGATATTTTTTGCTCCATCTTCTTTTTCTGTTTCTTTCTTGGTTTCCTTTTCCTTTTCTTTCTCAGCTGAAAAAAAATTGATACACTTGTCAGACTATTCTTTCTGTCTTCAAATGCTGAAAAGCATTTTTATTAAAAGGATTTGAAAGTGGTTTCTATGTCTCTTAGACACAGTCCCTTTCTGAACCATTTTGTCTAATGTTTTTAAATGATCAGCAAGATACATAAATCAAGAATCAAATAAAAACCTTTTTCAGCATCTGCCTTCTTCTCTTCATCAGTTCTAGCTCGTTTGGCTTTAGGTTTGTAATTCTGTCTATCTTTTCTACCTCCTTCTCCTTCATCTTCACTATCAGAGAATTCTTCTTCACAGGCAATTCTCTTATCACTAGCTCGAACTGTCAAAATAAATTTATCAAAGTAACAATACATTTCTTGGTTGACAGAATTCCAGAACATTGCTTGGAATGTAGAAATGGAATTTAAGACTCAAGGAAATTATTTGCAGTGGTAGTAAGGAGAAAATAGTTACTTACTGGAGATTCTTTCATCTGGATTGTCTTTGTCTTCATCATCACTTTCTTCATTCAATGCATCTTCTGGTATAGCTAAAAACAAGAATGATCATGGTTTATCTTATCAGAAACTTGTTCCAAATGTTCCAAAAATCATACTTTCAGGAGTCACAAGAAACCCTTTAATGTTTAATGTCGCTTGCAGGCACTGGCTGTGATACCAGAAATTTTCTAACCACCAATTTGACTGTTGGTAATGAAAAAATAGATAGCCAAGACTAACTTACGTTGCATCTGGACACCAGGAGCATGTGGTAACATTCTGAGATTTTCAAATAATCGAGTTCTGAAATTAAAAAAACAATATTGATTTACAAATGAAATAGGTTTTGTCAAGCACATAAAAGTTTGAATGATTATAGCAAGTTTTAACATAATAAACATAAACCATTAAATCCTGTGATTAAGAGATGACTTACTTTATTTTGTCCATGTATTCTACGGTATTTTGATTTGCCATGTTCGATTGACTGATATGTAGTTTAAAATCTGGTCCATAATATTCAAAATAATCATTGTATGGTAATTCTGAAAAAAATAAAGAATAATACCAGATGCAAAATAGACAACTTGATAACATGTAGACAATCGCACATCAAGTGATAACAACCACTTTTCTTTTATAAATGAACAGAACATTTAGCTCCTGTATACTTATATTCACAATGTCATAGAGTAAACGATTTTTTAAAGTTTATATTTGATATATGAATACAGATCCCTGCAATGAAAATCTTACATCCTTTACTACAAGATGAATTCAATTCTCTTACCATTGGCTATTTCTACATTGAGTGCTATTGATGTTTCATATGTCCAACATCTAGCAACATTTCTGATGGTATAGCCTCCTCCACCTAATAATAATATTGGTAAATTCCATTTCTTCATAAACTCTACACATTTACCATGACCTAGAGTAAACAACAAAACATTTCAGGTGAAAATACAGTTCTGTTAATGAACATTTTAAGAGAAGAAATCAGTTCTCTATTGAAGGGACGATACGTGACTACAATGTACAAATTTATTCTGAGCACAAAAGTCATATAATAAAAATCAAAGTCTTACCACTTAATGTGAGATTGAAACAGCCCAGTCTATCACCAGATAGAGAGTCGGCACCACACTGTAATACTAGAGCACTAGGTTGATACATATCCATAACTTTAGTCATTACCTACAATAATAATAATTATAAATATTATATTTCAATCCTCTTACTATGTTGTTGGCAAGAAATAAACTTACATCAAAAGAGAAACACAATAAAGTTAGACTAAGTGGAATAAATAGTCAAGTGCAGCTCAGGGCAAAACTCAAAATAATGGCGAAAGTTTTATTTGACATCAATGTTTAATATGTTCCTAAAGAAAAAAAGATATTCTTGTCATACGCAAGTATAACTAATTTGTACTTAAATATGAAAACACATACCGGTTTAAAAATAGTTTCATAATTTTCATCATCAATACCATCTCGTAATGGGAAATTAACTGCGTAGTATTTTCCTTTCCCTGCACCGATATCCTGAAATTATTTTACTTAGAATATTTTCAAGGTTTCAAGGCTTCAATAACAGGATTAATGTTCTGCTACTAGTTGGTGGATCTATTTGTGACCCTGAGAATAACATATTCATATGCTACAACCATTCTTCATAAATGATGATTTGAGAGTTTCTTCAAAAATTCTTGAAAACTTACCCTTAAATCTCCAGTACCAGGAAAGTATTCACCATATTTATGAAATGACACAGACATGACTCTATCTGTAGTATAAAAAGCTTCTTCCACTCCATCACCATGATGGATATCAATATCTATATATAATACTCTCTGATGATATCTACAATAATTATAATGTATTAAGTTTATATAGCGTTCACAACTCAAACTATTCATTTATATTTAATGGCAAATATACAATGAAGGAATATGGTAGCTGACACATTTACTGGGATGCCTGGGACTATTATGTTCAAATGAGAATTGTATTATATGCATATCATGATTCCTAATATGGGTTTGAATAGAACAGTTTGAAAAATACATTAGAAAAAAACCAATAACAAAAGTACATACTTGAGTAATTCTAAAATAGCTAGCACTATATCATTAACATAACAGAAACCAGATGCTTCAGATTTTTTAGCATGATGTAAACCTCCTGCCCAGTTTATTGCAATATCAGCTGCTTGTTTGTTTAATTTCACAGCTCCAGCTACAAAAATAAACAAAAACTATTCATTAAAATAGATTACAGGGGTTGGAGCCAACACAGGACCGACTCTCGAAAGCACTGGGTATGGCATAGAAAATAACTTTTAGCAGTTTTTGTGATGAAGGACAGTTAAAACAACTTACCCACTGAGCCTCCGGTGGATAACTGACAGAACTCATACATTCCATCAAATACAGGACAATCCTCCCCAACATTAACTAAAAATAAACAAAAAAATACACAGGAGTTTTTAAATTGTATACATTTACAACCTGGCTGCAGAGAATTTTTGAATCGTTAAACAATTCGAGGAATAACCCTTCTACCTTATAAAGCATGCTATATAAAGAATATATTCTATAAATTCTTACATCTCTGCATCTGTTTGTTATATTCTGACATATTGTCTGGTCTAATACAGCGTAAAAATTTTATATAATCATCACTATGAAATTTAGTTATTTCTTCTGCTGTAGCTTTATGTGGTCTCTGAAAAGGGAAAAGAAGAAAAGTTCAATTAAGCTTAAAATAAAATCTTTTATAAAAAGTTCTAAACTTATTGATTGTAATTGTCAAATGTATAATCTAATTTCTTACAATAATGGCCAAATTAACACAATTAACAAAATCTTTAAGTAATAAAACAAAAAACACATTTTTTTTTCAATACTTACATAAATTTCCATCTTTCTGTAAAGACCATAATTCAAAACCAAGTTATGGGTCATCCTTATTCTGTGTGGTTTCATGGGATGACCCTGGCCATAATAATAGTTCCCAATATCGCCTGAAAAACAAAGTCATTAGTAATGAACGACCTTCTTTTGTACTTTGAAATACTGATTTATGTCTTTTATCCTATCTGTTGTTACAATTAAGCTTCTCAGTATCAGTTTAAGTGTCAATTTATTGTAAGAATTTTTGACAGTGAAGGGAATTACCCTTGTCTCCATAACTATTACATCATCAGCAGCTTAGCTTTATTTCCAACTAATGTCGAACAAAATATTTGTTAAGTATACTTCACTTTTTAGCTTTCATTTTAATATGCTAATTCATCTTCATATGGAGGCTGGTCCAACAAGGAGAAGAATAGGCAAATTTGGTTTTAAAAATTTTAAAATAATTTTCTAAAAAGCTATCTTTTGAAAAATTAACACGAAATTATGAATAAGAGAATGGATTGCAGTACCAACTCCACAATTTTCTGAATTCCATACAAACAGGAAGAACAAAAGAATTTAATCTCATGAAATAAACATAAAAGCCTACAGATTAATCTGAAGCTTTCAATTTTACACAACCTCACAATAAAAATGTTGGTTGCTCATAATATACTAAAATGAAGATCATGAACAATGCAAACAAGTTTATTGCTTTCCATGCCTTATGGCAAGAAATGCATTGCAATCAAGTTTCCTGGCCTTCCATACATTCTGACCAAAACTACATTGCAATCGAGTTTACTGGCTCACCGTACTTCAATAAATCACAAAATTTCAATATTTGAACACTAAAAGATTGCTAATTGGTAGCTACTTTAAAAAATAACTCTTCTTCCATAACAGTGTAAATATTGGACACTTAATTCACATACTGACGCTGCACTCAACTACAATACAATGCATTCGAGTTTGATGGGCTTCCGTACTTTTCAATTTGTAAACATTTATAAGTCATCTGAACATCATTCAATAAGAAAACACATTTGTCAGTTAAAATTGCACAATATTTTGATCACAGATGTCCATAGCACATTTATTCACCAAAATGCGCCACAAAGGCGCATTATTATCCAACAAAATGTTTCTTTTTTCTGCTTGACACGGTTTCAATTTTCATTTCTTCCAAAAGAAAGAAAGTTTTGGACACTGACATAAAATAAATCAGAATAACTCAGGATCCCATAACTCGAAATAACCAAAATAAATATTTCTGAATATCTACTCACCGTCGTAATAATAACAGCATTTCTTTTTGTATGCTTGCGAAGAAGTCATTGTCTTTGTATAAAATTTGCAACACGATTGAATTTAAGATGCGCTTGTTTTAATGCCAAATTACTACAGTGGCGTCCCCTGGTGATTGTTTCCCCTTTAAAAACAATGACGTCATTATTTGACAAGTGTTTGGATTTTAAACAGAGTTCTCCCCCTTTGACCACAAAAATAACTCTATAGTTTTTGTTAATGAAAACTATTGTATTTATCATTAGTAAAAAATTTAGTGCACAATTTATGACTTTCATTCGATGAAAAAATTCCTAAAAGAATAAACTAATGATATTGACAGTTTCTCACTTTGAAACTGAGCTGAGGGGGACTGTGAATATAACTTTCCGATAATATTAAACCCCGTTATCTCACATAATACCTTAAATCAGGTTTTATGAACCAAAATTATTTATTTGACTGACAATTTGGCATAAAAGCCTTTTTTACAATTGAGCCCAAACATTAAGTGAACCCTGCCCCACCCCGCTCCCTCATAGCTAGGGGCATAATAATGTTCCAATTACTCTAATCCCCCACATGACTAAAGTCCTAAAGAACCCACAAAGGGACGCCCGGGCGCTCTACAAATTTAGGCAGAATATTTTTATTTAAAACTTTCATATAGCCTAAGGTAAAGGTACACAAATCTTGAGATTTTGGTCTTTAAGTTTTCGTTAATGTGAGCCCCACGTACTTAAAAATCAGATATATACCCTTTAAAAATGGGGTTAGTAGCAGGAGTATACATATAGCCGTAGCGTAGCCCCTATACTAGACTACTTCGAAATTCAACACGAACATTTATTTTAATATGTTATGAAATTCTGCTAAAAACTAGCCTAGTGAAGGAAGCTGTAGGCCTACAACAGCATGACATTTCAAGTAAGGGGCGATAACTCAAAATCCCTTAAATCATCTCCATAGTACGCCTAATTACACCAAACTTACCCAGGATTATGTGCATTTAATAACAACTTACGGAAAGTGAAAACAGACAATGTAAGGACTAACTGGGCCTTACAAATTCCCGCATTCTCCTTAGTCCTTGCATTATAGTTGAAGCAATGCCAAGATTCTCATAGGTCTCACAGTCACAGACCAGACAGATCAGAACAACCATTGTCAGCCTAGATTGGCAGACTAGCCAACTCATTCAAGATAATGAAGATTTGTCCAACATATTAGTGTTATTAATAGAATGATTGCAAGAAATTAATGAAATTAATGAATTATTTATTGGGGTAATGCCCCTTTAATGCCTTTGAGCAATTCCGAAAGAGTTATCTGCCCGAGTTTTCCAAAAAAGTAAACGATCGTGTTGGGTAAGATATAGTGACAAGAGATTCCTCTTCCAATTCAAAGATCACGCATTTGTGCTTCTGCCTCTGACTTCACTGTGACACTACAGTTGACAATGTAAACATCATTTTTCTCCTTGACTTTGCTTTGGCTTTAGCTACTACTAAGTCTGCCATTAGTTTGTTTCATATCACAAGTTCCGAAGTTTTGGAAATTTGTCGTGTAGCTAGTATAACTATTAAATTAATTACTGCCTTAGTGTAATCAATGAAATATTTTAACTCAGATATGAATTATTATGATGTAAGCTTATTCAGAATAAGTTCACTGACTGATCTATACTTTTTTAATCAAAGATATTATCAGTTAGATCTATCTATTTAGCTGAGTGCTGAATGATAATGCAGAATGAGCCCATCATTATCAATGCCCATGCCAATGGATATGATTTCATTTAAAAATATAATTTTAAAGATGAGAAATTTCAGTCCCAAGTATGAGTTATTTGCGCACTAAGACAAACGTCTAGCAATTGAAATTAAATTAATGAAACAAGAAGGCAGACTAGAGTAGTGGAGAGTAAATGATAGCTGGATATTGCTAATAAAAACAACCTGAGAGGAATCCCACTACTATCCAAACAACTTTATTTGATAGTAGATGTAATATGAAATGAAAGTGTCAATCAAACAATTTGTAGTTTTATAGTATTATAAGTATTGTGCTTAAAAATTGGTTGAATGATTCCATTGAGCTAGTGTCATAGTATTTATGTCCAATACTGTTTAAATAGGCTATCTCTATAGTAGGTATTTACATATTGGTATGTGTAAAAAGTAGTAGGCCTAGCCTAAGTGGAAAGGTAGTTGTTTTTTAATATAACTTTAAGGGGATATATCTGTGGTATGACAGTAAAAAACAGCTGTGATCAATTTCTTTAAAAGTTGAAGAGCTCAGGGCTACTGAAACTGGCACTTCAGTTGAACACACAAATTAAGTTCATTGCAATTAGTTACGAGTAAAATTGAATCTTGGATATAGGAAATAATTTGTATGAATATTTCTTGTTTATTTTGTGTGCATTAATGAATGCAGAAGTTCATTTTGCCAATTTTGCTGAAAATTTGTTGAAGACAAGTATATTCACAGTCTTTCTGAACGAATGAGGTATGATTAGTGTATAAAGGTAAACCCACTATAACTATACAGTGGAATTAAACAGTGGTAGTAGCTATATACAGTGATCTAGCTAGCTATATAGTAGATTGACATGTTGAGTACCGTCAGAATGTTATAGTCAGTGTAAGTGACAACAATGACAATACTAATCACTTGACAGTGTCACAGCCAATATTATACTTGATTATTTGATTCATGTGAAATATATCTCATTAATTTGACCTATCTCACTGACAAATAGGATTATTTCTATTTCTAGATCTGTGTTTGATATAAGTTGTAAGAATTTAATTGTGATCCTGTGAAAGTTCTGTGAAAACTGTATCATTGGATTGAGGTTTACAGAAAAAATTCATTATATTAGTGAAGGTATGTTCAATTTATTGACACTTTTTCTTTCTCAATTTTCATTAGAAATCCCTGCAGTGCCAGTGGTACTGTTCAACAGTTAAATACGTAAAGAATTTTATTTATTTGGTTAATTTTTTAAAAAATGGTTTTTTGTTGTATCTGAAGCCCTAGTTTTTTTTGATGCTACAAACATTGTTTTGGAATACAGAAGGTCCAACACATATATTGTTTATAAGGTTTTGTCTTTGATTCCATAGCTTATCTTTAGAACAATGTTATAACAACCACAATGAAACTGTTAACTAAACGATATGTAATTTGGTTATTTTAATTCAAGGCATAGAATAGTGCAAAATTTTCAAGAAATATACAACACATATAATACCAGTTTGTATGACATAGTGTTATTAATGTACTTAAATATGAAATTCACTCTTTGAGCCTACTCAAAATCTTAATGATTAAAATCTCATGTTCATATGATTCTTAATTGCTTACTAATAGTTCAGTAAGCTACCTTACTTTAAGATAAGCTATTGTGATATCATTTAAAATCACTGAAGTGAATATGTAACTTGAAACAAAAATTTATTCATTATGTTCAGTATTGATTGAATAAGGAGTGCAATTATGTCAAGCTCAAATGCTGCTCAATGAAGCTATAGAATATATGACTAATTTTAAGGGTATGGTTTTAATTGGTAAGACGTTTAGGTTGGGCAGAGATGAATAATTTCCATAATGCAATACTCGGTTTCATACAAGTGTTGTATGTAACTTGGGTTTGTTGGTTTGTAGATGATATGCTAACTTCCCCTTCGAGCAGAAGTTGATATCATAGACTGTGTTTGATACACATGATTGCTAGCTTTATACCTGATTGTATTAGGTAGTTTCCCCAATGACTTAATCAAAACAATAGGATATAATATCAGCACATCTCCAATTGACAACATGATAACAATGGACGGCACTCTTTAAGCAGTTGTCTATTGTTATTACTGGTAATATCTTGCTATACTCCAGAAAATGGCTTGAGGCTACAATCAATTAATTACATTGTTTTCATTGATAAATTTTATTTGATTGTTTTATTCAAAAATTAAATTGAGTGACTCATCTGGAATTCCAGAAAGGATTGAGTGATTGTATGAAAAAAAAAGTCATAAAAAAGATGAAGATGAATTAGTAATGGAGTAATTCCCTGACAGTAATTTCCATATTAGGCAATTGAAGTCCACAATTACCTAAAGATTTGAGTTAGAATTGCTGAGATAATTGAGCAATATATTTACTGTTTTATCAGTTTGGAAGTTGATTCTGGGTCTTCAAATTTATAATTTACATCTTTGGATATATCTTGGTTTGTTTGTATTCAATCTTAGATTAAAGATAAAATGAATAAATTGTGTTAAGTTAATGGAATAAGCCATATTTCTGTAGTTAGATTCTATAGTGTTCAAAGAATCAATTTCCTGCATGCAACACAGCAGTATAGAAAAATCAATATTTTGCACAGTATAATGCCACTTGTAGATCGTTTAAACAGCGTAGAACGCATCATATCTTCGCTTCAAAGGTCAGAAAATTGATGCGTAAAGTTAACCCTTGTGACATAACGTAAAATATTAAAGGCGGTTGGCCTGGTTCGAGTTGTAATGGTAGTATGACTCAGTCTCAGTGTCCAACCAATTAGGGAGCTTCGTTCTCTTATTGATGTGCAGATGAATGCAACTAGTGTTGATGGTCTGTGGTGAAGTGTGCATAGTAATGAACTATTTTACTAGTGAATGACAGCAGGATACAAATTGACTGCAATTGGTTTAAACAATTTGATTATAGTTATTTATAACATAAATTGATGTTATAACCCAGATATTACTTACCAGTGTTGTTTATTTTCTGGTAAGTGTTATTTGCTTTAAAATTATTTTTGATATCATATATAAGCTTAAGCTTGTATGTTATTTATGTCATACTTTGAAAATCCAGTTAGGATTATGAAATTTCAATGCCCTAGTGAAAATATGGAAATATTTCCTCATTTCACTTGATGATGGCAATGTAAATTGTTGAAACGTTGTGTTCTATAAAACTCAGGAGTACTAGTAGTATTCTATAAAATTGTATCATTTAATGTGATCTCTACTCCTAAAGCATTAGGTATTAGAAGTTTC